CCAGTAGGCAACTCCCCAACCCTCGTATACTTGATGACGATGTTGGTGGTTGTCGTGATTGTGGTAGTTGTCACGTCACGGCAGTTGGAGTACATGTTGAGTGAAGAAATAAAGAGTACTGTCATTATCTTCCGCCTCAACCATTAGTACTCTCTCTCTCTCTCTCTCTCTCTCCAGAAAGCATAATCGATGATGGTGATAGATAGTGGTATTGATGGACGATAATTGAAGAGAGAGAATATGTGGGGGAGGGAGAGAGGGATATCTCTCTCTCATGGACGCCAAAGTAGAGGAATGGAAGGGGGAAGAAGGGGGAGTGGAAGGGTAAGAATCATAAATCTCCCCCTCTTTACTTACACCTGAATATTGATGACTTACCTGTCGCTACCTGGACTAGGCGGCACCACCACCTTCACCCCCTTCTGCGTGAGGTTACTGAAGGTGTTGCCTATACCCCTTCGTCGTGGCAGATGAAGTAGTTTTAAGGCGTATTTATGAATGAGCTACGGGTATCGACGTCAAAGGCTGGCTAGTTTGACGTCAGGGCAGGTTAATTTGATGTCAGGTGAAGGTTAAATTTGATGTCAGGTGCAGGTTAAATTTGACGTCAGGTGTAGGTTAATTTGATATCAGGTGAAGGTTAAATTTGACGTTTGGTGTAGGTTAAATTTTACGTCAGGTGAAGGTTAAATTTGACGTCAGGTGTAGGTTAATTTGATATCAGGTGTAGGTTAAATTTGACGTTTGGTGTAGGTTAAATTTGATGTCAGGTACAGGTTAAATTTGACGTTTGGTGTAGGTTAATTTGATGTCAGGTGTAAGTTAATTTGATGTCCGGTGCAGGTTAATTTGACGTCAGGTGCAGGTTAATTATACTCTTATGTACAGGTTAATTAGACACCCGGTACAGGTATTCCAGTATTAAACTAGACCTGGGGGCATATGGTGGTTGTATGGAGTCTTGTCTGTTAACTGTTTTATGAAGTAGGTTAGGTGAGGAGGTGGTGGTTGTCAGCGAATGGGCAGTGATGGTTTTTTTTTTTTTTACAACCCCCTCTTCCGTCCACCCACCCACTGTGAGGATAAACGAGACCTTTCACTCGTTCCCAGGTGATCACGAGACTAAGAGCTCGGAAAAGGTGAATTGGATTGGGGGTTAGGTTAGGTTAGAGTAGGTTGGGTTGGGTTAGGTTCTCTACTGCCAGGTGATGGTCTGTTGCCACACACACACACAACAAGTAGTCGCTAAAAAGGTCAAGGAAGGTCGTTCAACACTCAACTATACGACCATTAAAATATGACCCTGGGGGGTGCACGATATAAACCCCCCAATACTCTGTTATCTTGGGTAGTAAAATTTTTGCCTTATCTGGTGACCTCTGACACACACACACACACACACACACACGCGGGCGGGCGGGCGGGGATGATTAATGTACGGGCGTGTTGGTAGTTCAAGCTGGGCGATAGGAACCAATAAATGATGTGGTAAGTTGGTTTATAGGGAGAGGGAGGGAGTGGGTGAGGAGAGGTTGTTATTGTGATATGTGGTAAGCTGTTTTACGTGAAGGAGGAGGGTGGAGTGGGAGGGAGGGGATGGGGTGAGTGAGAGGTGATGTGAGTGGGATGATAGGCTGGAATTCGAGAGAGGGAGGAGAGGTTATTGTGATGTGTGGTAATCTGATTGTTTATTGGGGGTGAGAGGGAAGGAATGGGATCAGTGGAGTTAAGATGAGAGGGAGGGAATGGTGAGTGGGGTGAGAGGGAGAAGAGAGGTTTGTTATGGTGCAGCGGGCAGATAGGTGGATCAGATAACGAGACGGTGGCTGGTGGTCGACTCTTCAGGTTGAATTATTCATATGAGAGGGAGGGTGGAGTGGGGGTGGGGTGGGGCGGGGCTGGTGTTGGCGCCCTGAACCATAGATGAACACCATTGCCTCTGCCCTATCGATCCCACCTCCTCCCCTGCCCCACCTCCTCCCCTGCCCCACCTCCTCCCCTTCCCTCCCCACCCTACCCAAACAGCCACCCTTAACGCTTAAGATACAGGGTAGGGTGTGGCTGTGTGAGGTGGTAAATATATGTGTGTGCCTCTGACCACCGCGTCCCTCTATCGAATCCCTTCCCGTTCGTGTCGGATGTGAGAAGGGAGTTGTACCGCGTGACCCTTAACCGTACATGACAAGTTTTCTCTGGGTACTCAATTATCCTCTGGACCACTGGACCCAGGGGAATGGCCCTCACTACATCTCTGGGCGGATGAGGTAGGCAAAAAATACAGGGTGTTTCGAAAGTGATATTTTACCCTTCTTTTCTCTCGTCCACTTCTATCTATCTCTTCCCTCTTCTTGTTCTTCTTCCTTTCCTCTTCCTCCTTTTCCTCCTTCCATCTACCCTTTTTCCTCCTATTACTCCTTCCTTCTTCTCTTCCTCCTCCTGGTTCTTCTTCCTTCTCCGTTACTTCTTCCTCTCGTCTATTCTTCCCGTTCGCCTCATCTTCCTCTCTCCCACCCCCTTCCTCCCTCCCCTCCCTTTCTCCCTTCCACCCCCTTTCTCCCTCCCATCCCTTTCTCCTCCCACCCCTTCCTCCCTCCCTCCCTTTCTCCCTCCCATCCCTCCCTCTCCCCCACCCCTTCCTCCCTCCCATCCCTTTCTCCCCCCCCTTCCTCCCTCCCACCCCTTCCTACCTCCCTTCCCTTCCTACCTCCCTCCCTTCCTCCCTCCCACCCCTTTCCTCCCTCCCTCCCTTTCTCCACCCACTCTCTTATCTCGGGTCTGCCTTTCACTCCCCTCTCACTCACCTCTCCTGGGGAATAAGGGCCTGGGACATCCTAATTGGGGGGTAATAAAACAGTAATTCGATCCACGTTTAATTAAACTACATGTGATAGGTTGATTATTATTATTATTATTATTATTATTATATTATTATTATTATTATTATTATTGCTGAGCCGTAATTCACCATTCATTCTACAAATCACTGTTGTGATTACGTGTGTCGGGGGTGAGCGTATCGATCCCCGTATGGCGTAATATTCACTTTGTTTATGTTGAGACGTGGATGGTGGGTCGTAGCAGCACCCTCATTAACACCGACCTGACGAATTGATGTTCATAATGACCCGTAGTGATGATGGTTGGAGGTAATTAGTGATCATTTGTCACGAGCTGGTAGTTGAGGGGGAGTGGGTGGGTCTCTCTCTCTCTCAAAGTTTATCTATGTATCTGTTTACCTCTATATCCACCCATCTATTTATTTATCCATCTATCCATCCATACTTTTATCTATATCCATTCATGTATTTTTATTTATTTATTTTATTATTTTTTTAAGCAATCAGGAAGAGACCGGGGTGGGGGGGGATGACTTTCTCTCTGGCTGGGTCACACACCTTACCCCAGCTTAGTGAAAGAAGACCCTCTCTCCCGTCTAGCCACACTATCCCGCCTCATCCTCAGGCTAGCGGGTGTTACTGTATCCTTCAGGAGGAACAGGATAGGTGGAGGTATGTCATGGGATGGATGGGTTGGGATACTGTACCCTGAATATCATGGGGTAGGATAAAATACTGTCTGTACCCTGAAACCCCTGATATTTGAAGTAATCCCAAGCCCTACACTGTCCTTTCCCTTCCTTGACTATCCCACCTCTTCCTTGGTTTACCTCAGTGACTAGGGATAAGGGATAGAATGACCTGTATCTTAACTTGCCATTACTATCTCTTTATCTGTTAGCATTATGTAACGTTGTCAGCCCTTCCCCGTTCTCTCCCTGCTGGGGGCTATTGAACTCACTTAAACTTGTGGGGCTGTGAGGAGGAAGTGCTGGTGGTGTATTTGGTCTTGTGTAGGGTGTGTGAAAGGGTGCCCAATAAACTAGCCCCCAATGTTCCGTGTGGGGGCAAAATAATCGAATCTGTAAGGAAATGTCTTGATAGATAAATCCCAAAGTCTATCCGGTCAAAATCCCATTACAGGGTATTAATGAACCATTGCTTTGTTTACCTAATGCTTGAAGTAAGGACTAGAAGCTGATGAAATTGTACACCGAGTAATTGTTTATTTGTCTGAGGTGGTGAGGAGACGTTGCAGGGAGTTGAGACTTAGGTGTTGGCTGTGTCGTGGAGGGAAGCGTGTGTAGTCCAGCTGTTGTAAGTGTGTGTCTAAGTGTCTTGTGTGTGTTTGAGTGTCTTGTGTGTGTTGCTTAGATGGTTTGTTATGATTGTGAGGGGGGGTTGAGTAGGTAGGGGCTGGTTTGGATTTTTAAGGGGTAGAAGGGAAGGAGGGGTTGTGGTTTTAAGGGTAGGAAGGGAAGGAAAGGGGTGGGGGGTAGTGTGGAGGAGGAAGAATGGATGTTGGAGTTTAAGGAAGAGGGATTTTTTTATGTGAAATGTGGGAACCGAAACGAAAACATTACAACACTTAAGAAAAACAAGCACCATTATTATATAAACATTGTGTACTGTACCTTCAAGGAGAATTGACAAGGGAATCAGAGTTAATGTATAACCAGCCGCTCAGCCAGTCACCTTCGTCCCTGTGTACAATTGGATCATCGACATGCTTTGTGTGGTCTGTAGTTGGGATATCGGTAGCCGCTCTGAACTTATATTCGCCACAGTTACCTCGGGATGGTTGTGGTTAGTTGGTAATTCGTCACACCTCCGTAGGGGTCAAGTACATGTAGATTTAGCCTGGGTCAATCTTACTTGCCTTGTTATTGTTACAGAACCTTGTCTTGTCTCAATTTTTTCGACCATCTTTCTTCGCCAGGGGGACTTGTTTGGGTGAAATTTAAGGTTTATATGAAACTATTGAGTGTGTGTGTGCGTGCGTGTGTATATATAAAGAGTTTTTATTAAATTTTTTTTGAACTACTATTTCATATACTGTACAGCATGCTCTAGCTGTAGTATTGTTCTATGAGCCATTTTATTTCAGTAAATACGTAATGCTGTAATTTTAGTCAATAAATTTTTGTGTTGCTTGTATTGCAGGAGTCAGCCAGGGAGCGGGAACACTCCAATGATGAGGAGAACACAAAGAATTCAGGCAAAACTGAAGCAGCCGCCAGCAGTGCCACTACTACTGCTCCTCCCGCCTCCAGTAGCCAGGAGTTGCCCCCCAACGTCAGGAGTACACTCCAGATTCTCTCATCAGAGAACAAACTGCTACGGGAGAGGCTGCTCCAGCTGGGGGTGTCCCTCGACTCCTCTCCGCTCTCAGACCAACAGAAGGAACTGCTCTTCAGTAAAGTCTGCTCTGTCTCTCAGGTTGGTCATGCTCACTCAACCTCTTCTGTGTTAGATGCAGGTATTTGAGTTTGTGGAACAGCCCGGTAAAGTATGATATGGTGGGCTGTGGTCTCCAAACCTCAGACCTGAGTATTGATTTGAATTGAACTGGAACCTTTTGCTTATCCAGAAAATAACATAAAAAACCAGCCAGTTTGGATAATGTTAACTTAGCTGAGGCTTTGGTGAGCTGCAGTACTGAGCATTACGTTAAAACACTTATTAATTTCCTCTTTTCTCTCTCCCTCTCTTTTCTCTCCCCCTCTCTTTTCTCTCCCCCTCTCTTTTCTCTCCCCCTCTCTCTCCTCCTTTCTCCTCCTCCTCTCCTCCCTTTCTCTCTTCCTTTCTCTCCTCTCTTTCATCTCCTCTCTCTTCTCTCTCTCTCTCTCTCTCTCTCTCTCTCTCATTTTATCTTTTGGCCTCTCATTCTTTAGTAATAATAACCATTATCCCACAACAAAATTCGCCCATAAGTAGGAACTGTGTACTGTCCTATATACCAAATCAGGTTATAAGACTGATAGAGCCAGATAAGATTGTGAGGAAGGTGATTGTTATCAGTGCGTATACAATGTGCTGGGAGGAACAACATAGTATTGTGTGGAGCACCTTGGGGCAGTGTCTCATTCACTAGTCCTTGTGTCGTCACGTCTCTTGTGTTTTCAATATCCGTTACTGGAATGTATAATGAAGTGTCGAGAGGTAAAGGTGCAGACCATAGAGAGGGAAGCTTAGTGTTTACGTAGTGTTGCGTCTGTGGCAGGGTCAGTGATGGCGGTGACTCTTGATCAAGGTAAAAACCGAGTCAATGGTGCTTAATGCCCCTGGCAGTTGATTCACCTGGATGACAACCACAGGAACAAACTCAGAAATCATGGCCACAAAACTCAAGCTCCCACAACGTCTCTCCAAAGAAAGTTTTCGTAAATTAGTGTCTGGAATGTACGGGAAGAGCAGCTTACCGGCTATGCCAACTCCATCTTTTAAAAATCATATTGCGGTAAATGAAAATATGTTCTTAGGTTCTTGCCATTGTTTTTTCCTGTTGACAAAGTGGACTGAATAGTTGCCTTGAACTTCATTTTGTACTCTACATGCTAAGGATTTATGCTGGATGGCTGTTTCTTGATCTAATATATTTTAAGATAATATTTGACAATGCATTTTTTCAGTAGATGTGATTTAAGAGTGAGGAACATACATACAGATATATCATAAATCATGTACGGACAGTAAGTGTAGAGGTAGCAATAGGTACAGTATGGGGTACACTACAGTGCTTAGTTATCAGAATTTTTAACCAGAAGCCAATTCTTTTTTTTTTTCCCTCTGGGAAGAAAATATGAGAGTTATTGGATGAAATGGAAAAGAATGAACAAGTTTTATAAGTCCCATAAGAAAAATGTTGCCTTAAAAAAAAAAAAATATAGAATAATAATAATAATGACGTCCACATTACATGAGTTCTAAGTGATTAACACACCTACATCCATGTGTTAATAGAACTCAAAAGGTGTCTTATAAGTTATTAATGAATTACCAAGACCCCGATACACTGAGGAGGAATTTTGATGATTACAGGCACTACAGGGTATAGTTTTGTCCTACAGAATGGAGGTGAAGATCCATCCTCGTGTGGTGACCGGGGAGAATGGGACAACAAATCCACCTCCAGCGTGTCGGAGATGTCGGTGGCTTGCCTGCAAGACCGCATTCAACAGATGGAAGAAACTCACTACTGGTAACATCAGTCGGATCTATTATTCTAGTTCCTTTATGTTCCTCTGTGATTAATAGTGTGGTTAATGGAGATGAAACTTGTATGTATTAGGGAATAGTTTGATGTATTGCTAACTTGAGCCGTTTTTATTCAGTTGGAGGATATTTTGATTAGCTGTGATTTTTACACTCGACAGCACAAACGAGGAGCTTCAGGCTACTTTACAAGAGCTGGATGACCTCCGAGAGCAGCTGTCTGAGTGTCACCTGGAAGTGCAGCAACTACAGGAAGAGAAGCAGGTACAGTACACACACACACACACACACACACACACACACACACACACACACCTCAGAATTCGGTATAATTTTGTGTCTTTATTGTCTTAAGGACTGTCTGGATGTTGATTTAACACAGTAGGTGACTTGCCCATCTTCAGCATCAACCTTGGTGTTATAGTGTCAGATGTACAGTACAGACAACAGTTATTAAAGTGAGAATAGAAAGAGAGAGAGCGATAATGCTATTGATGGTTGAGTAAAGTTTATGTTGTGGAATACAGTTAGAAATATTAAGACATGACATTATATACCTTGGGGGGGAAATTGAAGTAACATAAATGGTAGATTGCTTTAACAGCATTGTAATCGTAATTAAAAAATAAGTAACGTTCAGTATTTAGGATTTATGGAAGGTGGTATGTGGGATGGGGAAACTAATAGCTACTGGGTATTGTCTCCATGTTTGTTCAGTTGTAATGTGGAAGAAGAACTTAACATATGAGTATACTGTACATTTATATTATGATTAAGTAAGAAGATTTAAATTTTGAGAATGTTAATATATGTGTACTTCTGTAGTGGTAGTATAGAGAACAGAATGAGGTGTTTCCTACTTAAGACTGGTAAAGGCTTTTTATAAATTTATTACACCACCTTGATATATTTATTAATGTTTGTTTATTATTGTTATTATTGTTATTGTTGTTGATTTTCCAGGTTTTACTAGAATCTCTGACACAACAAACAGAGAAGCTAAATGAATCTCGGTCTCACAACGACACTCTTAAACACATGTTGATCCAGCAGTCTGAGAATAGTCAAGATCTGTCCCAGTGTGAAAAGACTCAACGGCTCATGGAACTACTCAAGGTAACTTTATTGTGTTTAGTAAGGAATGACGTTAGAGTTAGGAACCAGACTCAGAGACCTTGGTGTATGGAGAGCTGCTATTAGGTAACCCCGGCTAACCAACAATAGCATAGAAAATAGCCATAACAATGATGGTGATAGCATAACTGTGTTTTAATATGATGGAACATAGAAGTAACCTAAGGCTTCAAAGTAGTCATGCATTTAAAAGACCCCCTGTGTTAATTTTTTTCTTCCCAAGTATAGATTATGAGGAGTTTTTCTTTCCTTCATCTTAGTATCAGAGTCATTGTGTGGCAAAAGAACACCATAGCAGAACACATCTGTTATAGTATTTATAGATAACAAATGACAGTTAATGAAAGGAGATTATTGATCTTTATGCTGGCTTACTGTGGAGAAAGTCTTGTAAGGGTGAACAGGGGAGGTAGAATATTAGTTTTGTCCCCATTTACCTTTCATAGTACAGTCAACCCTCACTTTACGTGGTTAATTCAACCCACGGCGGCCCGCGTAAAGTGAGAAACGCGTAAAGTGTACAACATAACATATGGGATTAATTGAAATAGAGACCAGGCCGACCCCCAAACTCCACTTTTTCCCGACACAATACGTACGTTTTACTAAAAATAACCTCTTAACTTTATGATGGTATTCACCCACACATAATATAGAAGGGAACAGTCAATAAGAGAAGAATAAAATGAAGGTTAGGTTAGAAAAAAACAAGGCTGGGGTTAACACTTACATTAGTAGAAGAGATGGGTCAGCGTAGGGGAATGGAGGCTGGTTCCGAGGCAGAGGGCAGGCTACTGGCCCTCAGGTGAGTCTTCATCGGTGTCATCCACACTTACTGGTGCCTCCCTGACAAATCCCTCAAAGTCATCATCACTGTCTCTACCTCTGTCACTATCACTGGCTTGGGCTGGCTGTGGTGGGTTGCGGGCAAAGAACTCTGTTATGCTTTGCTGACGGCTGGTGTTTATGTTGTCGTGATAAACCTTGATGTAGGGCTCCATAGTCTGCAACAGCTGGGTAGTGAAGATTTCATACCTGTTTGCGTCAGGGTCGTCGGAATGGAGGAGCTTGGCTTTCTCGATACACTCGATGGCACCCCTAACATTACTATGGGATAAGCGGCGTTCTTCTTGGGATGACGCACCACCTGCCTCTTCACTGACGTCATCATCATCTACCATCTCATCGGTAGTCACATCAGGATCCCTTATCACCTCCAGGATGTCGTCGTTGGTGGTCTCGGAGAAGCCTGCAGCTGTAACACTCTGCGCAGCTTCTCTGGCAAGGTCCACTGCTACTGCAACAGTCTGAACCTCACCAGTCACAGATTGACTCTGCCTACGGCCGGAATGCCTTGCAACACATGTCTCCATGCGTGACGAACAGTTGCTACAGACAGCTGATCCCATGCCTCCACCAAGAAGTCCACAGCTTTCTTGACGTTGAATGTTCTCCAGAATTGTTTTAAAAGTACTTCTTGCTCTGCCAACTGTTGATCCTCGTCGTCTTCGCTCTTGCTATCGGTGTTGGTGTCACTCAGGTTACGCAACTCTTCCTTGGTGTTGGTGTAGTCGTTCAGGAGCTTGAATTTTTTAGTAGAGAATGCAGCTTTTACATTACAGATTAACTCTTGGTCCATGGGCTGTAATATAGACGTAGTGTTGGGAGGAAGGAAGACCACTTTTATGTTGGGGTGACGATCTAACAGTAGGGGCGAGTGTCCTGGTGCGTTGTCCAGCAGCAACAAAATCTTGAATGGCATATTCTGTTTCTAACAGAATTTCTTCGCATCGGGAACGAAACAGTCATCAAACCAGGAGAGGGACAGTGTAGAGAACATCCACGCCTTACGTGCGGTCAGCCAGTGGACATTTAGCTTGGTCATGTCCATGCTCTTGTAGGCGTGCGGCTTGTGTGCTGTGTGGATCACCGATAACTTGAGCTTACAGGTACCGGAGGCATTGGTGGTAAACAGGACGTTGATGCGCTCCTTCTGCAACTTCCGGCCCCGACACTTGCTGGCATTCTTCACAACGAAGGTCTTGGAAGGTAGTTTTTTCCAAAAAAGACCAGATTCGTCCATGTTAAACACCTGGTCGTCGGTGTACTGTCCTTCCTTCATAATCTCGCGTAAAAACGGAGGAAATTCCCTAGCCGCAACACAGTCAGCACTAGCTTCTTCACCACCAATGTTGATAGTGGTGATCTTGTTTCTCTTCTTAAACCTCTGTAACCACCCAGAGGAAGCATTAAAGGGTTTGGGCTCTGTAATTCCCATCTTTCGTGACACTGCAGCATACAGTTCACGTGCGTACTCCTTAACTGAGCGCGTGTCTACCACCATGTTCCGTCGCGCCTGACGCACCAAGTAGCTCACAAGTAATTTTTCTGTCTTGAGATGCACCTGGTTGTGGCAATACTTGATCATAGAAGCACCTGTAGACTTTGTGATGTTCATGTGCTCCTTTATCTTGGCTGCATCCTTCTTAATTGTCCTGATCGTAGAGTCGTTAACACCATGCTGGCACGCGAGATCAACCTGTCTTGTTCCTTTCTCCAACTCTTGTATGATCTTATACTTAATTTCGTAGCTTAAGGAACGTCGTGTCTTCTTTGGCTTAGGGCGGCTGGGTCCAGGTAAGGAAAGGTTTCTCTCTGGGGGCGGTGGTCCGGCGGAAGCCATTTTACAGAACAGTGGAATCACGTATACACGGTGTGGCCTGGAGGGATGAAACTGCCGCGGCTAGGTCAAGCGTCGTCTTTCCTCCCTCCCTCCCGCGGGTGGACACGTCATATTACTTTAAACCAATCACAGCTAGCAGCGGAGGGAGGTAAGGATGCATGGCCCAATTACAGTCCGATACGTCATATGACGTCACTGATAACGCAACAAAGACACACACTGCGCAACCTACTCGCGCCGCTTACACAACATGGCGTAAAGGGGTACACGCACCGCGGAAAGTGAGCATTCCGGTTTCGGCAGGGTACCGCGTAAACGCGTAAAGTGGGACCGCGTAAAGCGAGGGTCGACTGTATAGTACGGGCATTTGTTCAGAAGTACGGTAATCGACAATAAGAAGGATAATGACGATTAACTTGATACCAGTGCACTTATAATTGGGCAAGGGTCTTAGATAGGTGTCAGGTCTTGTAGTTGACTGTGGTGTGGCCAGAGTACAGTAGTAAGATTAATTGATAAATATTAGAATCACATTTCAGAGACTGTTTATTTGCTGTGGGGATTAGTATGGGGTAATGTAACCAGTATTTTCCTCCTAGTCATTAAAATCTGTTTCATGTCTTAATGATTTAACTTATTGTACGACAGAGTGCACAGGAAGACCGTGAACTACTGCAGATAAAACAGGAAGAACTGGAACAACAAATTGCTACCACAAAGGAAGCAGAGGAGCGATGCCATCGTGACTCTCAGCTCATCAGAGACAGGTGTGTATTAGTGCATGAAGACCATGGACCATGACTCTGCCTCCAACATCTTGTAATGGGACTTTTTTCATATCTTTTTTGAGAACCATGACTTATTTGTACTATATTATATGTACTAGTTGAGGATATAACAGACCTTTCCTGTTTCTTTTTAAACATTTGTTGTCTGTTTCTCCTTTTGTGTTATTTATCACCTGACCACATTGTTGCACTCTTAAGACAGCTCTTGTTCCCCATGATCCACCCACCACATGAAGGAAGGGAGAAGCAATGATAGATGTTATGTTCTTAATTTATTTTGTTTTACAGAATGAAGCTCTTGGAGTCTATGGTTGAGGCTGCTAATAGTGATAAGAAGGCAACCGAGAGCCAGTTAGCTGAGGCCCTTGAGGCCACTAAGGCCACTGAGATAGAAACAACAAGACTGAAGACAGCCCTGGACAGTGCTAAAGAAAAGGTAGTTTGTGCTGGAGTTTTGTCATTGGACATTTTTTATGTTATCTTCAGAAAGTTTCACATTTTTTATTCAAATTCATGCAGAATCATTTAAGGATTTGTAATCATTACAAAGTTTCATTCTAAAAAAGCAAGAGATATTATTGTTCATTGATATATGCATTTTTACTCTTTCAGGCCTTGAGCTGTATTCATTATCTCATAAGTTATCATTTTCAGTCATCATACATTTTTGCTTACTGGCCTACTGGCTTGTGTATTAACTAGTATTTTTTACACTCAGATAACAGAGTTAGAGGCAGCAGTAATATCTGGGGAGAAGAGTAAACTACCAGATGTGTTGGAGAGAGTGAGACAAGAGAAGGACTCCCTGGAGAAAGAAAATGCTTCACTTCAGCAGAAAGCCAACGCCATGGCTTGTGAGAATGAGAGACTCAAAGATCAGATATCCACACTACAGGACGATCTAATGGTAGGATGTGTGGAACAGAGTGCTACTGTGGAACTTCCAGAACTTAACATCAATCAGGTGAAAGTGACCTTAGTAGAAAGAATATAAGAAGCAGTTTAAGACTTAGAAGCACATTATGGTAATATGAAAAAAGATTAAATGAAAGATGCAAGTTTGAGATAGTATTAAGGAGGAAGAATTATTAAAGTGTTGTGTGGTATGACGGGGGATAAATGAGACATGTATCACTGGTACCTATGACAGGGAAGCATCATAGCAGAGTCCATATGTTACCGTAGGTGAAGAAAATGAATGGCCGAATAAATGGAATATATCTTTGCTTATCGCTCCAAGAACCCAGCACCATAATGGGGTAAAGATGTACAATAATTAAACAAAAAAAAGGGGGTAAAAATGTCTAAGAGTTGTGGTGTGACAGTCGGTTCCCACGGGCATTCCCGCTGTATAGGGGGGTAGGGTATGGGAACCTATGCTGTTTGAGGCAGTTTTCTTGCGAGTTTTCCATCAATTATCTTCACTATTCCTCCATTCTTTTATAAGGTGGATCAAGATTTAATATAACAAAGTAGAGATTCCTTAAAGACAAGTATAAAAAGCAACAAGAAAAGATGTACAGGCAATAAATAGTAGTAATCCATACACGAAAGCAGTTGAAAAGTTGAGGAAACAATAAAGTAATTAATGGAAGGGAAGAGGATCTTTGTTTACTGACAATAAAGGATGGTTATGTCACTGAGGGTTGGCCAGAATAGTTGAAGTGGCTGAGATTATGTTGAAGGTATCAATGTATGGAGATACTAAATGTTAAAAGAGTGTACAGCAGTAGGTCAGATTTAGGGGAATGCCGAAGGTAAGACGGCAGGATTGGGTGTAAACTAGCTAATGGGAGAGGCTTGTGAGATACACACAACAGTTTGTGTGAAGGAAGCTATGTATGGACCATGTCCTTTTGTAGAAGTAAAAGGATTGTGGGGTGTAAAGCAAGTGTGTAAGATTTAAAAACTCGGGTGTTAAGGTAAGCAAAACTAACAAACCTCATGCCATATCCAACACCTTGGGGTGGAAGGATTAGCTTAGCCTTGGGTAATGAGGTGGCAGGTGACTAACTCTCACACAAAGAGTATAATGTACTAATATACAGACAGTGATTATTCAGATTCAATAATGATTTACCCCTTAATGACTACATCAGAATTTTTTTTGTTAAAATTATTAGCTTAAGATGTCTACAGGAATATTACTCTGTCATTTGTTAAAGAATTGTGTACAGTATTATTAAATTTACTTGGAACTAAGATGAGGTTGTTCTTTATTCTCTAAGGCTAGTTCATCAACCCAGGATAGACTAATATACCCAATCAAAGAGCAGTTCCCAAGATCATGATGTTTAAAAGAGACCAACATATCCTAATGTACAGTAGCTAAAACAACTATCTGTGCAGGCGGGGGTCGATACTCTCCAAAATTTTACGTACGACTAACGACAGCCCTCGTATACCAAAATTTATCGTCCATGGTCTCATATTGTTTCCCACAAAGTATGCACAGATAGTTGTTTTAGCTACTGTACAGTATTGAATTTAGGAGATGTCAGTCTCCCAGTGTATCGAATTGGTGAGATGTCAGACTCGGTGATTTTAACGAAGACAAAATACCCAATGTTTTGTGATGTTGCAGGTGGCCCGAAACAATGCTCGCAGTCAGCTGGAGGATGCCGACTGGAAGAAGACCCAGTTAGAGAAGGAATGCCACCATCTACAGGATGAGGTGGAAGTCATGAGAGCCACAGTCGAAGACCTCAAACTGGCATGTCAGCACCACCTCGAGGACAAACGAGACCTGAAGGCCAACCTATCGGAGGCTCAGAAGAAACTTAACGAGGCCACCGATAAGCTGTCTGAAAAGGATCGTTGCATCAGTGAAGAAAAGGCACACTTCAATAAACAGGTCCGAAGCTTGTGTGTGATAGTGACGACTCCCTCTTTTGTTTCTGTCGTTCTCTTTTCTTTCAAGGTCCTTTCTCTCTCCCTCTCCTTTCTCTCTCCCTCTCCTTTCTCTCTCCCTCTCCTTTCTCTCTCCCTCTCTTTTCTATCTCCCAGTCTTTTCTCTCCCTCTCTTCAAACAGCTCTAAGCTTTTAAATCTTTACTCAGTGACTCTCTCTCTCTCTCTCTCTCTCAGAGTGCCTCATGTCACACCAGTGTAGGTAATGACCCGATCACTATCTGTCTTGTTCTTGTTCCCAATTATTAGGTAAAGTCCTCTTTAATGCATCTAGGGAAAGAGTAAATCCCCCTGAAATGTGGCTTCCCCTTGTGAAGATGTAATTAACAAGCCTTCATCATTGTTTTACCTTGTATTATTTGTTTTTAGCCTTCTAAGCATTTACTTTAATTTGGCAACACGTGACCTAAGCTGTTTCGTTACCAGGGATGTTATTAACACAATCAATTAATCGTTGTTTTGATTATAGATTTTTTTAAGAGAATGTATGTATAAATGTCACGCCTTATAAGGCACAACTCGGGTTTTTTGCCAGACAATAATAACTTTTTGTTTTAACTGTCATCACTTTATGAAAATCAGTTTATATAAGGTAAAATTGCCTTTTTCACATAAGACAAAGTTTGCTATCACAACCTAATTAAATTACCTGTATACTAATTGAAGGAAGTCTTTGCCATTTTACATTTATCCTTATTTATCATGATGTATATATTAATGGTTACTTCTTACATAAAAGGTGGAGGAATGGGAGCAGTTCCAGAGTGACTTGCTGATGACAGTTCGTGTTGCAAATGACTTCAAAACCGAGGCACAACACGACTTGGAGCGCCTGACCCAAGAAAATGCCATGTTGAGAGATAGACTTAAACAACTGGGGCAAGACCTCGAGAAAGCCAAGGGTACGTATTTTATTTGTGGATTTATTTATTATTATTATCGTGCGTAGTCACCATGGCAGTTTAATTTTCTCGTGGCTGGTGTAGCAAGGGTGATGGGAAAGGGGGTGCACCGAGCAAGCTTATTGAAGAACTACTGTATGTAAGATGGGTTTTAAGGAAAGGGTGTGGTGCTGATTGGTGAAGTTGGGGTTGTGTGAAGTAACAGGGGATAAACCACACACTTGGGGCCTTGTTACAGAATGGGGAATACCATTGTAAGAGCAGAAGGTTTATGGCAGTTAGAAATAAAAGTTGAAGGCAATTTTTTTTGTGTGTGTGTATGCGCGCGTGTGTATTCAGCCACCTTGCATAATGTAAGTAAAGATTTCTAAGAGAGGAAAGCCAAAGCAATGTCTCAATAGATGACTTTAATGACTGCTTGGTGCTGCTGTGTACTCAATCCCAATTGTTTGTGTTATTGTACTTGGGGTTATTTCAGAGTTGGTTCCTGAGAATTGTCTCTGCTTGAACTGTTATGCATTAGTTCCCATTATCTGCTTGCTTCTGTTGCTTGTTTTTATCGACAGTTTGGGTTAGAAATGCATACTTAATATTTATATATAACCATTATTGCCCTTAACAGTGTTATTATGTGAAATATTAAAGATTTATTGAGATGTGTAAAATCGAAGAGATGGAAAGATGGGATGAAGAACATGGTCTAAGTGAGGGGATTGATGCCTGGGTTAACAGTGACTATGTGAATGAGACAGAGGCCACAGTTTTTAACAAGGTTGTCGGGTGTTGGATTGTGCATTACATTCTCACCATAGAAACGACACTTAAGAATTAAATGGCTATGCTTTGTGTAATAGACCTCAAATAATAGTGTTATTGTATGTAATGAAGTGAAGAAAATGTCCGTTACTTAAATCACAGAATATCAAAGTGAACGTATAAATATTTTAAGATGATGAAGGTTATTTATATTGAAATAGGACAGTTGATATGTCTTAAGAATTAGGCATTCAATCTTGAGGCACTACCATTCCACCCAGCTGCAAATGGGGAAGTGGAGACGGTCGAGTGCAGTGCCAACCATCTTGCCTCCTTGTGTACCGAAGACCTACTGTACTATACTGTCCATACCAGACCATCATGGCTATGGGACCCATTCTCACTAGTCAGTATAGTTAACAGCATATCTTAAGACTTCAGCATGAGTACTAAAAGATCAATAATCACTTAATACACTATTTAAAAGGGGCCATTATCTTCTTGAGTGGGATCATGGAATAGAGTTAACGATGGTTCATTAAATTTGAAACATAACTATTAACCACCGTATCACCTTAGTTTTGACTCAATGATTGGTTACGTGTGTCTGTAAAAGGACCCATATCTCGTGTGGGAATCTTAGAGCAAGGCTGATATGATTGTTGACTCCTGGACATGCATTTAGTGAGTTTTCTTCAAAAATTCTGGCTACACAGGTATATTAGAAGCCTAAATTTTTAAAAATATTTCTGTGCATTTAAAAATTTGGTTACCTGTCTCATCTAAAGGAGGTAAATATTTGTGTAAAGAGTAATTTAGAGATAAGTGCTGTCTAAAGGCTTAATATTTTGTGTATATATGGTAAGATTTGTATAGGAGCTTGCTTGATGTATCGGTATATTGTTAATAATTCTTCAGACATTACTGTTGAATTTTTGACATTTTGGGTCTGCTGGTGATTAGTATTTGAGGTAGCTTTTAATTCAGTATACCACCCTCTGCTTCAACTGTGGGTAGATGTACATGATTAAAATTCAGGATATATATAAAAATTATTTGAATTTTATCCTCGTTTTGGAAATTGGTTGACTCTGGATAAGGTAGGTTAAGTCTGGTAAGGTTTTGGTTAAGTTAGTTTAGGTTTAATGAAGAAAACTTAACTAACTCCTCCTAAAATAAACTTAACCAATCAAAACCAGTTTCTAAAATGAGAATCGAATTTGCGGTCATTGTGTTTTGAGACCGAGAAAGATTCAGTGTAAATGTTTTTAAGAGTAACTCATTGCCTTGGTTTTTGCAGTACATTATTATTTAGTATCTCGTGTCATACAGCGGTGAAAGTGTGCAGCCCAGTGAGTAATAGCAGTAATACTGCCTTGAACAACGGCAGCAGCGAACGCCGTGCTGTACGTGCTGTACCCTCATCCCTGCCTAATGGTGATCCTAGCATCCTTACCGACCGCCGTAACCCTCGTCCCCTGGCTCGAGGAGATTCCAGGGTTAAATCACTTATTGGTGAGCATTTACCTGCTGCTGGCAAGTTTCCCCCTGGTAAAGAACATTTACGTTTTTTGAAACCTGTTATTGTCTGGAATCCTCCACCACATCCTGAAGCTTGTGTTCATCTCCAGAAGCCTCCATTAGTTCCTACGAAGCCTGTATTATCCCCCAGAAGCTTCTATTAGTCCCCAGAATCCTTTATTAGTCTCCAAAAGCCTCCCAAGTCCTTAGTAGCCTCTAGTAGTCACCAGAAGTCTTCATTGGTTCTTGAACACCTCCCAGAGCCCCCATCCTTACCTCACAGATTCATTAACTCTTGCCTTCACTTCCCTCATCCTGAATGAAATCTTGTAAGTATTGTTTTTTTCTTCTGTGTATCTTTTATCTTGCTTACTTGATTCTTTGCTCTATGTACTATGCCCTGCCAGGACTATGGATGGATATATACCTGGTGTACAGTATATAGCATTGCACTATTCCTTTCATCAGTATATCCATACATACTTCAGACCTGCTCAAAGCTGTCAGCCTCAAGCAAATTTTTTAGGGGGGATTGTTGGTGTATGATGTAAGTGTGTCTCTCTCCTATTATATTTGTATTAATTTTTACGTTACTGCAGTAGTCGCGTTAGAAGTGTCGGAGAAGACAGTTTCATGTTTGGTTTCACATAGATATCTTCCTATCACTGCCGTCACTTTGTGTATGTCGTAAGGTGGATTTATTGCTACTGATAAATAGGGACTTGGAGTAAGTTAAAACAAGGTTAAACAATTGCTTATGAAAGGAGAAGGTAATGTATTGCACCTCCTAAACACAAAAAATTGAATGTCTATCTAAAATGATTTTGACTGAACCAGATTATTTATTTTTTCAGTAGAGGTAACTTCCAGTAGTGTTATGTTAATCTTGTGTGATATTTTAACCATTATATAGAAAATTATACTCCATAAAACACTATTTCTTGTGATGTTTTTTATTGTCTTAACTATTTATAATGATGTAAATGGAATATTCTTGGTTTTCTAGGTAGAGTTTTGTTTTAGCTTAAAGATCTCTTTGTGTGTCATGTTATACTGTAAAGGATCACTGGATAACAAGTCTCTTTATAATAAGTCAATGAACCAACTTGAATCATTATACAGTATAAGTTAAATTTTCATCACAGTACCATTTACTAATTTATATTAATTCCATGTCCTGCCTTATTAACAGAATCTATAGAGAGTGCAACACGACAGACACGCGCAGGCTCCCGAAGCTCCTCCACGTCAAGTTTGTGTAGTACGAGCAGTGAAAGTAACATCAACAATAACAATAAGACTTCCACTCCGATCCTCAAGCGAGCAGACACGGAAGTAGGTTTATTACTGTTACATAGTACCGTACTAAAAACAAAACAACAACTCCATAACCTAAAGGAAGCCAGAAGAATATTAATTAATATCAGAAACTAATTCCAAGTTTATCAGCAAGAATAATCAGAATTTCAACTTTATGACTTTACTTTCATAAATCATGTTAGGAATTTTGATTAACTCTTCATGGTTAGATTTGAAGCAAATTTACTTTTTCTAATATTTTCAGTATGACATTAGTAGACCATCAATCATTTGTAAACCTTTTGCTATATAGTATATGTATTCTTAATCAAGTAATATTATCTATTTATATACCTATACCATATTGCAAGTTTGAGTAATGCCACAATGTCTTGTGTGTTAGTACGCCTGTAATGTTATCCTTTGTATGAGCAATTTTAACGTCATTACTTACAAGCTTCAGGAATTTTATAAACATCATCGAGTAAAAATAAAGTACTAACGTGTCGATTTTCACGATTATTATAAGTCGTTCTCTAAATTGCTCTCGCTGGTAGGGATTAATCATTGTCGATATATTATACAGGAACATTAGTACAGTATGGAGTTATTTCAGTCTTTTCAATAATAGATTTTCTTTGACAGTGTGTGATCCGTGGTGTGTCTTCATCGCCACTGAAGGACGCAGGAAACACCCTCGGTTCTTCGTCGGCATCTTCGCCGCGAAGGGCCATCCAACGGAATTCTTTCACCGAGGGCATCACTCAGTCGTCACTCAACCAGTCGACCTTCTCCAAACCAAACCCCGGCTCTTCTAACCTCTCCGACAACGTTAAAATGTCGCAACTGACCGATAAAAGCTCGGGCAAAATTTCTAATCTCGGTTCTGGGGAAAATAATGTCTCAAAACCCATTTCCATCTTGAGCAGTAAACTCGACCATTCCATGAGACGTAATAGTTACGGACAGGTGAGCTTCAAATCCACCATCTGATAAGATTCGGTATCTTTAAACTCTCGAGACTGTGCCTGTAAATGAATACTGTATCTTAGGTGCCATGTTGTGGAAAGATGAACACTTTTATAGCAGCTAGATTGTGGCCACTCCATCGCTCTCATTATTTACACAATTCCCTTCCCACATTTCCAGATCAGTGCCGTGGTGGATAAGAAAGACCCATTGGCATCTCTAGCGCAAAGCGGAGGTTCAAAGAGAAATGCTCTACTCAAATGGTGTCAGAACAAGACTTTGGGCTACATCAACGTGGATATTACCAATTTCAGCTCCAGTTGGAATGATGGTCTTGCTCTGTGTGCCATCTTGGACACATACCTTCCAGATAAGATAAACTACAAATATCTTAAACCTCAAAATAAGAGACAGAATTTCCAAGTTGCAATATCGGCCGCCGAATCAGTCGGCATACCTAATTTACTGGTAAGCGAAAAGATAAAAAAAAATATTTAGTTCTCTCAATTTACCGTGCATGCAAGTTGAGGATGTTAGGAAGTGTTTGTGTGGGTAAATTATTTAAAGTTTTGTCTAAATCTGTGATAAATGTGAATAAAGGCATAACAGGTGGAGGTAGAGGACTCCTCATAAGGAAAATAACAAAAAAGATTCTTGTCTTACCTTTCTCACCATTACATGAAACACTTGTGAAATAGGAAAATTACCCAGTGACTAGATATTACCTGGCACTAAAAATACATTTAATGATAAAGACGTGTGATTGGCAGCACTACAAACTGGTTATAAATTTACTGTATCAACTTGCTGCCCTGTGTTGATGAATGCTTTCTGCCTCATGCCTTTAAGTTGTTTATATAGTAAATATAAATTGCTGAGGTATTTTTAAACACTAAGGGTCTGGTGATGTAGGTTTATATTACTCTTATGGCACGAAATAAAACACAGAGTAAGATCCAGTAATGACATCGACACTCGCTGACAACACAGTCTCTCGCCACACACAGTTGTTGGGATTAGTTACCTTATAGACTTTGACATATAGTGCAGTCAGTGTAGAAACTAAAGGTTCGTACACGCGAGACCCGTAAAGATGGCAGCAGTCTGGGAGGGACATCCGGCAGGATTTTGGTATTCTAGACCCATTTTGTCACTGTGCTGAACCATTTATAAGAGAATTTATATCATATGTAAAAATAAATGGTTGCAACTGACCATGTATAATCAGAACTATATAAAAGTACCACATAAATTGAAGGTTTACTTAGTACTGTAATTCCTCGATATATGCATGTTCAGTGTATGCGAATTCACTTGTGCGAAAATCCCATTCCTACCTGGAATTTAATTTATGCGAGCAAAATTCAGCCTTACGCGAGATGTCACGCTCCCCAATACGAATTCCAGCCTCGATGACTGTGCAGATATCTCCACTATCACCCACTCTGTAAAACCTCCATCATCTCGTCTATCCAAGCCGATTTATATACTTTAATTGTTAAGTACACTGGAATGTACACTATTAATTAAAAAATAATATTGTATTAATTTGTTTTATGGTTTATTTGTGTTGAAATTGTGTTAAACATGGATCTGGAACATCTTCATTTATGGAACACATCCTATTATTTAACACAGTACTGTATTTAATATATGCAGTTTCGGTATATGCGAGGGTTTTCGGGAACACGTCCCTCACATGTACCGAGGACTTGCTATATAAAATGATTCTAATATTGTCTATTTCTTACAGGATGTAGACGACATGATCACATCGGAACGTCCAAATTGGCAGACAGTCTATAACTACGTCACGTCCATCTTCTGTCATTTTGAGACATGAGTGTAAAGGAACCACGACTCATAAATCGGCGTTTGACCGCACTCCACGCGGTCACTCAAACGCGCTAGCATTAAAACATTACGGCGAGATTATTGCGGCCTTCTCCAAACATGACATTAGATCATATTTTTTTATTCTCATTTAAAAGTAAAAAATATATATATATATATATATAGATATATAAATAAATATATAAGTTTGGCTGTATAAACTGAACTTCCTCTCTTCTTTTGCAGTGGTGAAAAGTGCCTTTTGTCATATACTTTTTACTTTGAGTGTTATATATAGTTTTATTCATCATCCCTTGTATCACACATAATGGTCTGATCTTTATTGGCACTACACTTGTTTCTCTTTCCTCAAGAATCACAAATGTCTATATTTAAATAAGGAATCAATCTGTCTAGTCTGAATTTTTGCTTTGCGGAAAAGACGAGTAAAATTCTCGTTATTTTATCTGGCTGTGTATAAAGTTCTCAGTGTAAGAGATCACTATATATATAATAATATAATCCAGTACAAAAAATTTATTACTGCGACATTATTGACAGAATTTCATCACTCCAAGTCAACTACAACCAAACGGTCATAAGAGATTCTATGGATTGTTTGAACCAATTCTGTTATCTTCCCCAAGTGGGAATGCAAGATGAAGATGCTGTTTAAATAGCTGTGATAACTTTCCTCTAAGAACATAAGAACTAATCTCATTTGTTTGTTTCTCTTTTGCATCCTCTTTTGTACGCGACCGACAGCTTACGTATTAAGTAACGCTCTGGCTCTAGTTGGCCGGGTGCTAACTGAGCTGCGAGGATTACTGCGTCCCATTACGTGTCTATGCAAAAGGTACAGAAAATGTTATGCTATGTGACATTAGATCCTCAAATTTTGTAACTAACTTTTGAGGATAGTAGTTTGCATTGTCAAAATAACAGACATTATGGACTTTTAAATGTAAATAAGACTTTCTTTTGGCATAAATTATTTGCAGTAAAGTTGTGCCTTAGCTAATCATTCATTAAGGTAATCCTGTTTTATATTATTTAAACATTGAAACACAGCAGTTTTCATGCTTGATTAAGTAGGTTATATTGTGTGCTTCAATAAGTCAGTGGAACCGATTCATCCATTTGAGGTTCTACGGACCGCGACTCGGAACGTAGCGTTTCGGCTCGGTCGACCAAATTAGGAATTTCTAGACCCGCCAGCTTGAATTGTCTTTCGTTCCCAAGTAATAGTGAAATGCCGTTTACAAATTTCACGCCAGTCTTCATCAAGAGCTTAATATGTTGAATTCTATCACTAGTGTACAAAGTTGTATAACCACGGCCGGCCCGATACGTTGCAGCGGCTATGTAAATATGCTTGTACAGTACATACGTTTAGGTATTAAGGGTGATTACATATGAAGTACATCTAGTGCAACAATGCATGTATGCTTGCAAGTTCCTATGGCACACATGGAAGCAGTATTATAATAAACTTTGAAGCTTCCTTTTTGTTTGGCATTTCCTTTTTTATGCCATTGCTATAAATAGTTGCATTGGCATATGGGTTTGTCTAGTCCATCTGTGTTCATCCATCACACTTGATTCCTTAGGATATGCTTCTGCCATAGTAGAGGGATATCAACACAGGCCTTTGTGGTGATAGTGTATAGTATTTTTCAGATGTTGGCTCAATTTTTTAGCCCCTGTAAGTTATTAAGACATTTGTGTATTGAAATAGCAGTGAAATACTTGAACCTGGTATATCTGTGCTGTATGTGGATTTATGTAAAGTGTCTGCTTAAAACATTGATCCCTATTACCTTTTTATGTGACAAATAAAGATATAAGTTAAGGATAAATAGAACAGTATAACAAATGCAAATTTTTATGCGATATTTTGTCATAGTTTATCATGTTTCCCTTTGATTTTAACTTCAGTTGAAATTGATTTGGCATGAACTCGCCAAGTACAAATATTTGAAAATAATCGTGACCCATCTCCGTCGTCCAGATTTGCTCGATCTCTTCCTGCAGGCGAGGTACCGAAATGTAAAAATGCCTCTAATTACACCCACCTAAACGGATCTATATTTATTGTGGACTCTGTATAGTAGTAGTAATCTCCTTTAAAACTGTCATTACCACACTGCAAATCATTGTATATAACTCCAGGTTTAAAAGCTCAAGCAGTACTTTGGTCAATAATGTTTTCTTAGATGAACTGTAATGGAGTATTGCCAGAGTCTTGTAAAATTGCTTGCGAGTTAAATATACTTTGTAAAAACTTTTGAAATATTTTGTAGATGGTGAAGGGGATGCAGTATGGAAAAACAGTGAAATGAAGTGCTTACAAGAATTTCTTAATGCAGGTGCAACAGTGGGGCGAACATCCACTAGCTGATGTACTATACTCAGACACAGACAGGTAGCCATCAAACTTTAGTGGCTGAAACACTTGAAGGCCACTACAGGTTCACCGAGAGCCAGAGACTCCACCGAAACTGCCGTGCCAATTGACGAAATAACTTGGGAGGGACTGTAGTCACTCCAGGCGGACCTCCCAAATGTCTGAAATAACAAGCAGGTCATCTAGGTAAGTAAAAGTCCTGTCCAAACCCTGGACGGTATAAATTCATCAGCCTCTGAAATGTGGCTGGAGCTGCACATATTTAGAATGGCATTATCTCGTACTGAAAAAGTCTATCTGGGGTCACAAATGCAGTGATCTCCTTAAGCTCGAACTAGTAGTACCTCTTCTATAAATCTGTCTTACAACTAACATTATTCTTAAGTATCTAAACACTTTATACAAAATAATCAGAGTTGAAACTTTTCTGAATCCAACTAGTCCTTACCCTGATACCATCAACACGTATATTACTCTCATTTTCCCTGATTATCACCTTAGTACTGGGTTGATCCAGTCCACAATTGAATTTACTTAGAAAGATTATAAATAAAAAAATATTTATCAGAGTTGCAAGTTTCTCTACATTTGTCACTTTTTTCACACATACCGTACACATCTGAATCTCTAAGTAATGGTCACTCAGAATAAGGTCAAAAGTACTTTTTTTTATAAACATACAATAATTGATCTTTAAGCTTTGGAATGACACCCACACAAATGCACACACTCAGGTCTCACCACCAGTTGTTTCATCAGGTGAATGGCCTGATGGACAGGGAGGTGTAGAAGGGAAGAAGAGTAAGTAATGCCTCTCTTACTAGTTAGGAGAGACACTGGCATCATTGTTGCCAAGATATCTTTAAAGGGTAGTAGACCTTTAAACTGGACTGCATTGGTTGTTGATGTGCATGGTGAAGAGTTATGTTTGCATATTTATGTTGCAATTTAGAAATTAAACTGGAAAGTGAGAGAATGTGTTGTTGCCTTGCATCAGTTAGTTGTGGAAAGTGAGTATGTTGTTTGCCCATGTGAGTTGTGGAATGTGGTGCAATGGGAATGTTTGTGAGTATGTAGGTATTTGTGATTTTTTTTCTTCAATTTTCTTTTCCAGAGAGGGATTATCAATTTGCAGTAAAGACGTAGAGATTGGAAGATGTATTAGCAGTTATGCAATCATCTGATGGGTATCTGTGACTGGTTTGAGTAAAGATACCAGTTGAGAGTTCTCAAGTTCTGGTTTGTAAGTCCTAGCTAGGCTTGTTGTTGTGTATAGGAGTAGAGTTCGTGACTTTTAAGTAGGATTGGGCATGGAAGCATAGCGCCGATACCGCTACATGGCTAATGCCATAAGTACTGACAGTTCTTGGTTTGGTTGTGTTCCCATAAGGACCGTTTCATTTTGCAGTGGACTCTTGGGAATATCTCCGCTCGTTCAGGATCCCTCGAATGTTGCTGTCTCTCGCGAGTAGGACATGACTTTTTGGAATAGTCAAACAAATCATTCCTTCGACTCGATGGGGTCCGTTTATCGATGTCCTAGCTTGAGAAGTCTAAGTTAAATCTCAGTGGTGTCCAGTGAGCATTTGATCAATCTCCTCAATGAAAACTTTCTTGATATGAGAAGCTGTGGGTATTGTGTAACAAATTTTTTATGTAATGTATGTGACCCTATTTTTATGCTTTTTCCATATTACATTATTCTCCTATGTATGTGTATTTACCTGTATTTTGTTTCCCTATTCAATGTTGTTAGTGATAATAGATTGTTTTTTTTAAACTACCGTTTATCCCATGTATGTAACCATTGTGTTCTTGTTTGTATGCCTTTTTGTGCCAGATGCCTGTAATAATTCTGATGTGTTATGGTTGTATGTAGTGTGAAACCATGACAAAAGGTAACAGTTATTTAAAGAATCTGTGTAATTACTGTACAGTACATGTTTAGCGAACGTTACCGCATAATAAGAATCTTGGGGAAGGGGGGAGCTGTGTCATGGTCACAGTGACTGCTGGTCTGTTAGAAACCTGATGATTCACATTATACTCCACGCCCGCAAAACATGTGGATAACTGGTGAGTTATCCCTAGGAAGAAACGCATTTTCCCTCTCTAAGTCCTGCCCATTTCGGGTACTTCAGTTGTCAACGTGTGTATTCCACATTTTCCTGGCAAGCTCAATCTCTAATTAGTTTATGTAAATCAACTTAAGAAATTCACCAGACCCGTGTCAACTGAGGGTCATCTTTGAATGTGTAACAGTTGATTCAAATGTAATTTCTGTCATTGAGTGAGTAGCCACATCTGGCAACTAATACCGTATATAAACCTGTGCGAGAAGGAGTAATCCCTTCCTTTGATGACTTCCAAATTATCTCAGGTATGTGAGCCAGTGTTCCCCGCCGAATATCAGTGTTCATGTTGTAACAGTGAAATTGTCATTTACCCAGTGTAAGAATTACTATAACATAAATGTCATCTGTCGTTGCTAGACGAAAGATTGTTTGTGATTGAGTCATCATCAGCCCTTCCTTTGACAACTTCCAAATTATCTCAGACCCAGTGTGGGGGTTATATGAACACCCCACCGGCTGCCCGGGGTTGGGGGCTACCTAACAGTTAGCTGTATTGGACGATGTCGCTGATTCGGCAGGATTAAACTGCTCCAGTCTGCATAGTGGGAACTAGACCCTAGACTCTCGCCACGTGTCAGACTACAACCGACCATAACAGCGATCTTCATTTGTTGAGACACCAGTGTTATGCCCTGGCACACTCCATACAGTTATATGGTCCACAGTATTTTGTTATATATGGTTGGAGATAATTAACCAGAATATAATTATCCCATGTTGGATAGTGAACCCATAAAATTGTTAGTATCAGTATTCACGTGTTATGTGTTGTGAGTGCATCCTCCATATGTACTGCCAACAGTTCTAGTGAAGGTACTATCATGCACAAAAGTCGTGTCCACTACCCAGCCACAGTGAGGTTTCGAATAGCCTTGAGTCTGAAGTTTCGAAACAGCTGGGGGAAATGCTATGGTCGGCCAACAGATGTCGCCCACTGTAGTGTGTGTGTGTGTGTGTGGGGGGGGGGGGGGGGATAGAGGAGGTGGGGGTTAGTCTAGTAACAGGATGTGTGTAGGTGGAGCATAACATCGTGAATTCTGCAAACACTGATAACAATAAGATTGTCATGAAGATAGTTAATATTATTAAGCATGGCGAGACATGTGTAACAGGTAAATAAAAGCAAGCACTACAACGACCATATCTCTGCCGTTCATGGCTACGACGGTGAGACTGATGGGCACACCAGTAATTAATTCTCCGTGACTACCAGTAATGGGAGTCACGGAGAATATACAAGTTGTTAACAAGGTTGGCGCCACCCACACCAGGGGAAGGAGGTGATATCGAACACTGAAACATGGCGAGGTCTCACTCCTACCATCGTTGTCACCAACAGGTAAGTCACATTAATTTGTCAGCATAGCCCATGTCGTCCTTATACTATTGCAGGGTGTCCCATGAGTGACAGCAGATATTTGTAGAGGTGAAAGAATATGTGATGTTGAGTTGAAAATCATCTATACACACAAGCATTTTTCGGTTTACTTTAGGCGTGAGGTGGGTTGTAAAAATTACGCAGGGCAAAAATTTGGCCATGTTATATTTTATTTTTTTTACCAATTGCAGCCACACTGTGTGCTGTTGTAATCCTTATTGGTGGATTACATAAGGCCTATTAATAGCATGAAAACCCGTTTGAAGATACTGTAATGTTCCATAACTTGCATTAAACAACATCATACGTTCACAAGTTCCAACTCCTCGCCTAGCCTCTACCCACCCAACTATTAAACCTCATAATTTGAGCATCGTGGGTTACCACACCAAAACACACTCCCCCTCCACCATCCCCCCCACCATTCCCTCCCCCACCATTCCCTCCCCCACCTCTTCCCTTCATCCCTCCCCCAAGACTAACGTCAATCAAACATTCCATCCCATCACCTTCCCCTGCATTCCCCAACCCCCCTCCCCCTATTCTACCCATGGCGATGAATTGGACTACTGTAATGAACACTCACAGAACCGACGACATGGCTCCTCCCCCTTGTATTTAGAGTTACCAGTAGTGTTGTGATAGCACCGAGTATGAACTTAAGACCAGCTAACCCAGATGTGTGGGTTTCAAGCTACTAGTGGAGAGCGACTTTCTACAGGTACTACACAATGGTCAGAGCACTGACACAAGCACTTTGATCTACCATATTGGAAACAAAAATATTACATAATATTATTCATTACTAAGTGAAAGTGGACCCCATAGTCCTGATGATATGTGAGGGGCAGTGCTAAAACAGAACACTGAGACTTTCAATTCCCAAGCTATCTAGTTAGGTACCCATTCTGCAAGTGGGTCGGCTGAGGGTGCCCCACTCAGTAGCCGACTGTGGCCATTGGGTCACCAGGGAAGTATGTCCACTCGGCCCTTGTGCCCTCACAGTTAGACCAGGCAATTTTTGTATGGCACAAGGATGTCTGATCCCCAGTTGGGAAAACCCCAATACAGTGTATTAGTAATGGTTTTATATTTTGCTTTTATTAAACTGTCTTTACTGTAATAAGTACATGAATTCCATGAGAAAACCTTTACATGGAGCTAAAAAAATTATGTAATTATTGTTTTTGGTCATGAGTGATTGGATAAATTGTGTACAGTACTTGTCATATTCATGATAATGTACTATATATTTTCAGTTTGATTACATTTTAACATCTTATAAATTTTCCCACAAGGCATACATTCAATGCAGTATCTTAAACAATATAAAAGTACTGCATATAAAACAAGGTGTGAGATGTTCCACGGCTGAGTTTGACACATGTGTCGCCTCAGTGTCTTCCTGCCACACTCCACAGGCACACTTGATCCATCATGTGTGTTGTTGGTGTTTCTGCAGTTGCCTCCTTGTGTGGTGTTTCAAGCACGCTAGGTTTCACTTCACCTACATTATATTGTCGGCGTGCTGGAAGCAACAGATGCTTTACTCTGCCCTGGGCGCTGTACCTTTGGGTTTCAGGTCCAAAGGCAGGTCATTGTAGATATCCTTAGGGAGGTTCTCTGGTGGACAAGAGGACAGAATTGAGTTTTGTGATTATTGTCCACATGAAGCTACTTGTTGCCTTGCAGTACTAATTCAAGTTTTAGGAAATCTCAATTCAAAATAATTCTAATCTCAAGATTGTTTCCAAGAAAACTGAAATGGCTATTATTTCTTGTAGATAATTCAATTATATGTCATACAATGATGCGTATCATATACTGTTCAGTGCCATATATGTCCAAGAACTGAAACTTCTCTGTTGATAAACACACAAACACCAACCCACTATGATATTTTCAAAACTCTGACACACACACACATGTTGTGGTGCCCACTGCCTTAACTCACCATCACAGCTATACTTGAGGTCTGACCAGGTAATACTTTCCTGGGAGAAGCAGTAAACCCCGAGTCGTCCACCAGCCAGGTGGTTATCATAGATGTTGCCAGAGTCAGATTGTAGTGTTTGGCCTCTGTAGATACGCAGGCGGATCAGGCCAATGTTGGGACGGTGCCACAGACGCCAGCGATAGGCAGTCTTCGCCTTCCATCCAGCATTGTTAGGGTCCTTCCACAGTAGCTTCGCCTGCCAGTTCAACCCCATTATTACTCCTCCAACTAATTGTAACACCATTATTACTGTGCATGACCTGCAAGTTCAACATAGGGAAATAACTCGTCAACTATTGGTTATCATGATTTCTAGTCGAGAGAATTTTGATGAGGCTCCGTTAGCCAAAAGTGAAGCACTCACTTTATTTATAACTTAATATTCAGACAGTTCATTAGTTTAAAAGTTCACTGGTTCAATGCTTAACCAAATTTAAACTAACCTTCAGATCAAAGAACCTTCAGATTATTCATACTGAGGACCATTAAACATTTGAAACATAGGGTAGTTCTGGTACACAGCACCTCACATGTTAGAGGGCTGCAACATGATTTGCTTGTATGTGTTAGGTTTCAGGGGTTCAAAGTTAGTATATTACTAATTTTTAGGCTCGGGTCTCCTTCACACAGTCACCACCAGACCTCCTCACCTGGTTGTTGGTGGTACCGGTGTGCCAGAGAGCATTCCTGAGCCACATTCCTGGGCCAGTGGTTGATTGTACCAGCTTCAGTTGGATGCCCGGCTCACCTATGGCTAAAAATGGTTTCTTTGCAAAATACTCCTGTCGTCCTTTCTTCCACATGACCACGTAGAATTGTTTGTTACTTTGATATCTGTAGAAACAGCCCTAAGGGTTATTAAAAGCTGAATATACTGTACATCCAAGATTAAACTTTGAATATTCATCATCGCAGGACAGTACATAGGATGACTAAATAAGGCCTGAACAACACTCACCCAAAGATAAAGCCCACATAGTCATCATCTTTATCGCTGTCAACAAAGAAGGTCCCTTCATAGTTCACTGCTCCGAAATTGGCCATCCCTACCAGAGATGAGAGAGAGAGTATTTGAGTTTGATCTGTAGCAGTTTACATAATGTCCATACCGGGTACCTCTGTATCGACCCTTCAATTCTCCTAAACTGACATGATGGAGAGAGGAAGTTGGACATTCACCATAGAAATTGTTAATATCTTGGGTCTCTGAACTGCCCTGAAGCACTGTAAGACAGGTACAGTATTATGGTGGCCCTGAAGCACTGTAAAATTTACTAAGTTCATTATTATTTTCATTTAAAGATATGAGACCTGTTTCAAGCATCCAAACATATATATAATAATAATGTTGGCTGCCCCCAAGGTTTGAGGTTGGCTGGTCCTTGGGATGCAATGACATGAATCTGTTTAAGGTGTAGAAACTATTGCAAATACAACAACCAGACCCCAAGTTAACGATGTTGTATGACCCAGTGGTAAGGAATAACCCCTTGGCTAAGTATTACCCTGGAACACAATCTATCAATCAATTAATACCTAACTCCTAATTACTGCTGGGTAGACAGAGGCAAATGGCATTAAGAAACTTGCCCACAGCTTCACAGGATAACTCGCTTATGAGGTGAGCTTGCTGACCAATATACCACAGGTTGTCACACACACTATCTCTCTCTTACCAACAGCCAGGCCAGGGTCAGAGTTTAATAACTGGTGTATCTCAGCTCCCTCGTTCAAGATGACCCACTCGGGGTCAAGCTGTTTGGTGCCAGTCGGGTCCAGTGCCACCGTCGTAAATGTTCTGTTGATCATCACAGTCATTAAGGCACTACTGCATCATAAATATATACATAATGTAATCTCTTCATATGGTATTATGAATGAAATTAGAATTTTACTCAATAATATATCACAAGACCTGAAGGAGTTATATTATGGGTTTAAAGTTGAATTATATTGTTTGGGAACCTATATGCATAAATAAAATATTTATAATATATCTAAAAAATGGACTCCTGAATTATTTAATCCCCAAGTCTAAACTGAAACATGTACAAGTGCAGAAATGTGTTCCTACACCCTTTGTGGTAACCCAGGTCTCCAGACAGCCAACCTATATGACTTATAAGTACAACAAACCTCTCCACAAATCTGCCTGTCGTTATACACCCAATACCCATTCCTTCATAAATAGTGATAAAGGTACTGTACTACTACTGTGACGCTGCCATTTGAAAACATGGGTTACCACGGGTGTAGCAACACATTTCCACAACTGTACCTGTACAGTATAGTACAATATTTCAGATGTGTCGAGGAGACATTAATATCTCTCTAATTACAGCTGTAGTTCTGTTACCAAGGACACTATAAACGTCTACCTTACACATACGTACTGTACTGTACTGTACTGTACTGTACTGTATACACAAGTTTCCAAAAGTTGTATTATGCCAAATTCTAACTTCTCTTGTGTCTAACCGAAACATTGATTTTACATTGATAAGTACAGTAATAAATTGTCACCAAGAACCTGATAGACAACTAATATGTCGTGATGTAAACAATTAAAAGAATCTTCAAGTTGTTCGCCTCTAACTAACCTGAAGTCTGTTCTATGAATCTCGGCATTCTTAGGGCAGTTATCAATGTGGTCAAAGAAGCTGTCGCCATCTGCGTCTTCATTACAGACGTCGCCAACACCGTCATGGTCTCTGTCCTTCTGCAGTGGGTTGGACACAAGTGGACAGTTGTCGTGGTTGTTGGGAATGTTGTCACCGTCCACATCATCATCACACGCGTTTCCGAGACCGTCCTTGTCTGTGTCCAACTGGTTGCTGTTGGCCTCGTTGGGGCAGTTGTCTATATTGTCCTGTATACCATCCCTGGGGGCACACACCACACATCATATGGGTGACCTTCAGAGTGTGTTGGTTCAGGTCTACTACTAACTTGTTGCTCCTGTTAGACACTTACTGATCATGTTATAAGGGAAGAGAGAAGGGATATTTACCAACACTCTTGTAACTGGTAAGAAAAAGTAAAATATTGATAAAGATAAGTTCTTATACGTAATCTACTGAAATTAAATATTTACGGGAAGTGTGTTTTTAATTTTAGGAGTTTAATTCGTGAAGAGATTTTGTGTGTGGTCATAATGGTGAAAATATCACGGCGAGGGTGAACACTGCGGTAGAAAGAACCTTCTACGGGAGGCAGCAGGAGAGACGATGACAGACCCCCAAAGTGAATTCATTTGATATAGAAAGATAATACCGAGGTGAAGAAGACAGGAGACTGGCTTAAAGGATCTTGGTGCTGAGGGCGAGAAGAGAGGACACGAGGAGTACAGACTTACTTATCCACATCTTGGTCAGTGTCGCATGCATCTCCCACCAGGTCATTATCCGTGTCTGCCTGGAGCGGGTTGAACATTTCCGGGCAGTTGTCGCACAGATCGCCCAAGCTATCCATATCGGTGTCTCTCTGGTCAATGTTGGACACCGTCGGGCAGTTATCCTCATAGTTAATGAAACCTGAAATTAACAGAGTAAAATGTGTCATGCTACAGTGTTGTCATCATCTGGTTGGTTTGTATCGATAAAATACAATAATTCCCAGGTTTCATGGAGTGGAGCTGACCTGAAGGCACAATCTTAAGAGTAGGATAAGGAAAAGTAACATGATCTATACAGTACTTAAAGGGGTTTAAAGATAGGGGTTCCATACTATAACTACACAGTTGAATATAAGGTTCATTGATCCCATTGGCCTCTACACACCCCTTAACCCCCCCCCCACTCCCCCTCCCTAATCCTCGCTCTCTTTCCCTCCCTCACCCACCTCACGCCACCCATTGTTCCTCCTTCAACCCCACTCCCGTCTTCCCACCTACTCCTTTCCCTCCTTTACCCCATGATCTCAACCCCACCCTTACCTCCACCTCGTCTAACTCCCTCACTCCACCTCCCCCCACCTAACCCTTTCCCCCCTGAAGACCAACTCACCATCACCATCCGCATCATCGTCACACGCGTCCCCCTTGCCATCACCGTCTTGGTCCACCTGTTTCGGGTTCTTCTTCCCGGGGCAGTTGTCACACACGTCACCATGGCCGTCTTTATCTTGGTCCAGCTGGAGCGAGTTGGTCACCAGGGGGCAGTTGTCCTGTTGAATAACCCTTCTGAATGCTTGGCAGGTTGATCAGGAGTACAAGTATTACAGAGTGTAGTGTACTAACTCACCCTAAGTATGTGAATGTGTTTGATGTCTTGTGTGGATAAATGATGAAGTTGTTAGTTTTGTTTTTGTTTTAACTGTTTAAAGATGTTGGTTAGTAATTTATTTAGAATCACAAGCTTAAGTCATTGTCCGTGAAGGGTTAAAACATAAACCCCCTCGTCTTCAAAGAGTTATAACTTTGGTCCTAAGAGGATTAGTATGCTCACATTTTTCCTGACGCCATCACCATCCGGGTCATCATCACACAAGTCACCAATACCGTCATGATCGGCGTCCTCCTGGCCAGAGTTGGGCGTGCTGGGGCAGTTGTCTTGACGGCACTTAGGTTCCCTGCAGGTCAACTCTTTGTCAGGGTAACCATCCAAATCACTGTCTTTTGAGCACTGTATCCCATCGCCTGCAGTCCCCACACCACACTGAGATGTAATAGTCACATTGTAATTTCTAGATTTATTTAAGATAGATTAAAAACAAATGCACAGTATAATAATGAGTGGTTCAGTTCTTGTCATACAGAAACTTTGTTCAACCTGAGCAATAAACTTAACCCTGGTCTGGTTCTCATTGGTTTTAGGTGATGTTATACATTGGGGCAGGAAAATGGGTTGAGCTCCCAGTAATTCTAATATTTTTTTTTTATGTTAAACTGTGATGAAGTACAACATTTATATTTGAAAGTTTGACGAACACACACACACACACACCTGGCCCTCACAGATGGTACAGTACAATACCTGGTCGACAAAGATGGTACAGGTACACTACCATAATCTCATAGCTGTAACATTACCTTGCCCTTGGAGGTACAGTGTACACCGTCTCCATGGAAGCCAGAGGGACACCCGCCACAGATGAAGAAAGGCCGAGTGGGAGTCTGGGTGCACTTAACTCCAGGGAAACACGGCTTGCTCTCACACGACCGTACTGGAACAAATGGGACTTCTGGAATTCCTGGACCAAATGGAATTCCTGGACCAAATGGTTCAAATGGAACTTCTGGAATTTCTAGACCACATGGGACACATGAACCTTCTGGAATAACTGGACCAAATGGTTCAAATGGAACTTCTGGAATTCCTGGACCAAATGGTTCAAATGGAACTTCTGGAATTCCTGGATGAACTGGTTCAAATGGAACTTCTGGAATTCCTGGACCAAATGGTTCAAATGGAACTTCTGGAATTCCTGGACCAAATGGTTCAAATGGAACTTCTGGAATTCCTGGATGAACTGGTTCAAATGGAACTTCTGGAATTCCTGGACCAAATGGTTCAAATGGAACTTCTGGAATTCCTGGACCAAATGGTTCAAATGGAAATTCTGGAATTCCTGGACCAAATGGTTCAAATGGAACTTCTGGAATTCCTGGACCAAATGGTTCAAATGGAACTTCTGGAATTCCTGGACCAAATGGTTCAAATGGAACTTCTGGAATTCCTGGATGAACTGGTTCAAATGGAACTTCTGGAATTCCTGGACCAAATGGTTCAAATGGAACTTCTGGAATTCCTGGACCAAATGGTTCAAATGGAACTTCTGGAATTCCTGGATGAATTGGTTCAAATGGAACTTCTGGAATTCCTGGATGAACTGGTTCAAATGGAACTTCTGGAATTCCTGGACCAAATGGTTCAAATGGAACTTCTGGAATTCCTGGACCAAATGGTTCAAATGGAACTTCTGGAATTCCTGGATGAACTGGTTCAAATGGAACTTCTGGAATTCCTGGACCAAATGGTTCAAATGGAACTTCTGGAATTCCTGGATGAATTGGACCAAGTGTGCTAAATGGAAATTCTGGAACAAAAACAGAAGAGAAATGAGGTTCTTGTCCTGATACAAATGTTATATTGGGTTTAAGTCAATGGGCCAGATACACTCACCCCAAAACTCTACCACACTGTTTTTCTGAATTGTATGAGTCTCCTGAACATAATCAAAATATTAACAGTGAAACAGCAGGGACGCACCACCCCTTTTGATCCTTTAAACTAGAGAAACCAAATGAGTTACTGGTGACTATGACAAGTGGCAGTCTTCACCTTATTACTCAGACACGCCTCGAGGCCCTCAACTATAATATAGCCTCAGTCAATGTTGGAAAATGTTGGAATATCTACCTTGGGTGCATGTGTCCATTGCTTCAAGAAGACATTTGATGTTCTTCTGCTGTAAGGAAAAAAATAAAAATTTATGGTGGGAATACTAAGAATGACACACACACACACACACACACACACATACTTTATTCATACATACACCTGCATCATATAAGCACGTCTACAATAAACTGACCCAGGAACCACTAAACTGACCTAAGAGAAGTAAGGAACACCAGCACTATTTTAAAGCATTGATTTAAGACTGACAGAAAGATAGACTTAGATTAAACTGACAGTGATTGTGCTCTTCTTAGTCCAATAGGCCTAGATAATACGTAGATGTATATATTTAATTTTTTGGGGGGAGGGGGTACAATAACAGACCTATGCAGTACATTGAGGTAAATTTTACTCACCCATTTATTTATATCATCTTGAAGATCCTCACAGAAATCTGGTTGGCCATGTCCTCTCTCAATTTCACCTGGGGGCGAGAAGGTGTATTATATTGTCATGTTAAGGTCTCTCTCTCTCTCTCGAAGATCAGTAATCACGAGCTTTTAATTGTATATCTCATCAAAATTACTAGATTCTACTGTTGTATTAAAGTGGTCATGTATGTATGCGTGTGTACTTATGTGTGTGTCAGAGAGAAAACCCCAAGACTCACTGAAGGAGGCAGCTAAAGTTACCACCATCAGTAGGACACCAATGGCAGACTTCATGGTGGAACGACACACAAAGGCGACCTCGGGGGGTGTGAGCGGAGAGGACACGTCTTCACAGTACCAGTGTTGGGTCAGGAATGAGATGGGAGGGCGCGGGGGTCACCTTTTATACGGTTCCGGTGATATGCTGTTGTGAACTGTATCTCTACGACCACAAACTCACGTACGTTGATTATACGTGTACTAAGGGTATTTATTCATAACATTATTTCGCTTTAAAGGTTTATTTGGGGTTCAATATTTACGTATAGTGACAAATGGATCAGCTGTTGGTTAATACACAACACTATCTTAATATCATGGGTATTAATGGACGGCTCTGTTGACAGCTTTAACCATACTCTTCCTTCCATAATGGCAGCTTTAACCATACTCTTCCTTACATAATGGCAGCTTTAACCATACTCTTCCTTCCATAATGGCACCTTTAACCATGTTCTTCCTTACATAATGGCAGCTTTAACCATACTCTTCCTTCCATAATGGCACCTTTAACCATACTCTTCCTTACATAATGGCAGCTTTAACCATACTCTTCCTTCCATAATGGCACCTTTAACCATGTTCTTCCTTACATAATGGCAGCTTTAACCATACTCTTCCTTCCATAATGGCACCTTTAACCATGTTCTTCCTTACATAATGGCAGCTTTAACCATACTCTTCCTTCCATAATGGCACCTTTAACCATACTCTTCCTTACATAATAGCACCTTTAACCATACTCTTCCTTCCATGATGGCACCTTTAACCATACTCTTCCTTAAATAATGGCACCTTTAACCATACTCTTCCTTACATAATGGCACCTTTAACCATACTCTTCCTTACATAATGGCACCTTTAACCATACTCTTCCTTACATAATGGCAGCTTTAACCATACTCTTCCTTCCACAATGGCACCTTTAACCGTACTCTTCCTTCCATAATGGCACCTTTAACCATACTCTTCCTTACATAATGGCACCTTTAACCATACTCTTCCTTAAATAATGGCACCTTTAACCATACTCTTCCTTCCATAATGGCACCTTTAACCATACTCTTCCTTACATAATGGCACCTTTAACCATACTCTTCCTTACATAATGGCAGCTTTAACCATACTCTTCCTTCAATAATGGCACCTTCAACCATACTCTTCCTTAAATAATGGCACCTTTAACCATACTCTTCCTTACATAATGGCACCTTTAACCATACTCTTCCTTCCATAATGGCAGCTTTAACCATACTCTTCCTTCCATAATGGCACCTTTAACTATACTCTTCCTTACATAATGGCACCTTTAACAATACTCTTCCTTCCATACGCACCTTAACCATACTCTTCCTTACATAATGGCAGCTTTAACCATACTCTTTCCTTACATAATGGCACCTTTAACATACTCTTCCTTAAATAATGGCACTTTTAACTACTCTTCCTTACATAATGGCACCTTTAACCATACTCTTTCCAAATAATGGCACCTTTAACCATACTCTTCCTTATAATGGCACACCCTTTAACCATACTCTTCCTTACATAATGGCACCTTTAACCATACTCTTCCTTACATAATGGCACCTTTAACCATACTCTTCCTTAAATAATGGCACCTTTACCATACTCTTCCTAAATAATGGCACCTTTAACCATACTCTTCCTTACATAATGGCACCTTTAACCATACTCTTCCTTCCATAATGGCACCTTCAACCATACTCTTCCTTAAATAATGGCACCTTTAACCATACTCTTCCTTAAATAATGGCACCTTTAACCATACTCTTCCTTACATAATGGCACCTTTAACCATACTCTTCCTTCCATAATGGCACCTTTAACCATACTCTTCCTTCCATAATGGCACCTTTAACCATACTCTTCCTTACATAATGACAGCTTTAACCATACTCTTCCTTACATAATGGCAGCTTTAACCATACTCTTCCTTCCATAATGGCACCTTTAACCATACTCTTCCTTACATAATGGCAGCTTTAACCATACTCTTCCTTACATAATGGCAGCTTTAACCATACTCTTCCTTCCATAATGGCACCTTTAACCATACTCTTCCTTACATAATGGCAGCTTTAACCATACTCTTCCTTCCATAATGGCACCTTTAACCATACTCTTCCTTCCATAATGGCACCTTTAACCATACTCTTCCTTACATAATGGCAGCTTTAACCATACTCTTCCTTACATAATGGCAGCTTTAACCATACTCTTCCTTCCATAATGGCACCTTTAACCATACTCTTCCTTACATAATGGCAGCTTTAACCATACTCTTCCTTACATAATGGCACCTTTAACCATACTCTTCCTTCCATAATGGCACCTTTAACCATACTCTTCCTTCCATAATGGCAGCTTTAACCATACTCTTCCTTACATAATGGCAGCTTTAACCATACTCTTCCTTCTGTAATGGCACCTTTAACCATACTCTTCCTTACATAATGGCAGCTTTAACCATACTCTTCCTTACATAATGGCACCTTTAACCATACTCTTCCTTCCATAATGGCAGCTTTAACCATACTCTTCCTTACATAATGGCAGCTTTAACCATACTCTTTCTAACTTGATTTTAACCTTAACAATACTATGGGGGACTGTAATTTGTTTCACTGTTAAAAACAATATATATAATTTCTATAATTAACCCAAAAGAATAAATTTCTGAATGATTGTTTGTGAACGAATATAAAAAAATTGGGGGGAATCCAAGATATTTTTTTCTAGGTAACTGTCTATGATGGGTAAGGTAAGGGATCCCTCTACATGGTTGGTGTGGTGACTTGTGGTGTAATGGTCAGCATGCTCGCCTCTGTCTACCCAGCAGTAATTGGGGACCTGGATGTTAATCGATTTGCGGATCGTGTTCCGGGGTAATGGGTAGCCAGTGCAGTTGGCGATTTGTCCGGTCTTCTCGGACTATTCCTTGACACTGGGTCGTGCAGCTCGTTAACTCAGGGGGTGGTTGTTGTGTTGGCGACAGCTTCTACACCTTAAACAAATTCACGCCTTGGTGGCCCTAGGGCCGGCCATCCTCTTTTCACGAGGGTTGGGTTAGGTTGGGTTAAGGAAAGGAAGTCGCTACTACAAGTTCTTTCTCTTAATTAATATTATCTTGAGTGTTTGTAAGGAGTTGATTACCACTCGCAGCTGTTAGAAGGATATTCTTAGTAGTAGTATCTGCTGGATGTGGTAAAAGGCTTGTTACAGACAGGATGTGTTCACCAATCAGCCCTTTGATTAAGATGGTTGCCTCCTAGCACCATATATAGCTGTGTCCTGCACGTGGTATAAATGTTGATTATTTATACATACTGTAATATTTAACTCTTGGTTTTGGTTTTATCCTCTTCACCACTGATCAGCTCGTTAGCCGCTTGGCCGATCGGTCACGACTCTGCTACGCACTGTTGGCAAGTACTGGGCATGCACCGGCTCCTGAATGTACCTGATGCTGTTCTTGTGGTGTTTTCTGGCACCACAAGAGTGAGAGAAATATACTGCCTCCCTAATTAGTGAACACAGGTGTATGACCTCTCACTCGTTACCAGCAGGATGACTGGTGTTTTGTCAACTCAAGTTTATCTTTTACTCTAATTATATTTTAATTTTAGAGTGAAGAGTTGAGACCCACTAATCCTCCACCAAACACTGGGTGACATGGCATTGTATTAAAACCCAGTAATGTGCGACTTTACTTTGTCTCACATGAGGCATGCACCGCCCGTTCTGCCTCACATGTGCTATGCAACCCTGCAGACAACAAGTCTCCTACACCGCCTGGAGGGAAGGAGGAGTATTGTAAATCTCAGTGGCGTAGCTAGAGTGTGTGCCGCCCGGGGCGGCCCTTGAGTTTGCCGCCCCCCCCCCCGTGACCCTACAAAAAATACATATTGCACAGTGACTCACTCTTTTATATATATATATATATATATATATATATATATATATATATATATATATATATATATATATTAAATAGTTTGCCTTACTGTTGTCAGACAAAAGCCACCCCGATCAAAGTAGGGGGCTTTTGTCTGGGTGGCTTTCGTCTGGGGGGCTTTTGTCTGGGTGGCTTTTGTCGGGGGGGCTTTTGTCTGTACCCCAGTGAGGATAGTGTCTTAGTATAAAATCGCAATGCTGTGAAACAAAATCTTAATATTTAATCTCAGTACCGCAGCAAAAGTCACATCAATATTTTTTAACCAATACTTTAATATTTCTTACCTTATAGTATTATGTCTTCCAACGAAGTAAATAACTGGATCGAAAACACAAGAGAACTTAAAAGTCGTCTAGCCTCCCCTCGTCTTGTCACGATGGAGACTTGTGCAGAACTGAAGTGAATTGCTTGTAACTGGTGGATTGGTCGGCTGTACATGAACTGATATGACCCGAGACTGCATGGTTTTGCAGCTACTGGAGACGTTAATTCTTCCCTTTGTATCGGCGGCAAGTTAATCCTCGTCGTGTCTGACCTAACACCTGACCCACACCACATGAGCTCACTGGCGTACTTGTTTGAAGTTGTTTCCTTAATCCTCAACAGGTTACAGGTTGTGTGTGTGGGGGGGGAGCATAGCAAGGGTGTACGTAGCTCATGACGTGGCCGTGATGATGTGGGTCAGGTGTTAGGTCAGACACGACAAGGATTAACTTGCCGCCGATACAAAGGGATGGATTAACGTCTCCAGTAGCTGCAGATATGGGTGATGAGCAGACCCAAAAGTGCCGCCCCCCCAAAAGTGCCGCCCGGGGCGGACCGCCCCCCCCCCCTAGCTACGCTAGTGGGCATCACTGATCAAAATTAATAGTCCAGTATAATCATAAAATTGTTGTGAATCAAGAATATTACCTAAAATATACTGAGTTAATGATAGCGCTTTGTGAACTGATCTCTGGGGCCAAGTGCAAGTTGTATCAAGAATACATGTCTCACCTTACAAAGAGTGACCAGATCATTAGCTGACGACTCGCTAATGAGTGTCCTGTTTTGTCGGCCGGGTGTCTCTCTCGGAGCAGGTTACCCACGTTAATCACTTTAATTCACGACAAGAAAACTTAGTCAAGATCCTATTGCTATCTTGATACGAGGGAGGCATTAACTTATCTAGACAATACATAGAAAAGTTTTCTTTGTTAATATCATCTGGGAATAATTTAAGAAGACGCCTTTGACCTTTGACCTTCCCATGAAAACGATCAATTGACCTGGTGATGTAAAATGATAAATTGGTTCATGAGAGTGCGGGCCTGGGCGGGACGGGGCGGGCCGGGGCGGGACGAGGGATCAAAGGCGGGTGAGAGAAGCCTGATGACCTAGGTGTTAGCACATAGGTAGTGAGGAGAAAGGTGTGACGCGGGAGTTGAGCATCCATCCCAACTTGTTTTTAAATCGTATGTTAAAATATTAAATATCTTATTAAAATATTTATTCATTCATAAGTGGCGTTATTTCGTAATGTAGTTATTTAATGGCTCTTTTTTTTTACTTTATAACTTCATATTTGGTTATCAGGTTTAGTTATTACCTTATGAATACTTAGACACATTAATGACTCAAAGCTTTTAAACCACAATACATTTTTAAAGTTCCTACAACAATATTTTTCTTTCAATGCCTAAATTAATTGACAAATAATCCACAAACTATTAAACCACATTATTATACGAGTTTCTATATTATACGCTAGTGATATTTGTAATGGATTTCTCCCCTACAAACGCTGTTTGTCGCTGAGTAGCCGACCCCACCAATTCCCCAGTGTATGCCTCGTGGTCTAGGTCAACCAGCGCAGCCATACATCACGGAGCGGGGGTCAACTACTAAGCCACGCCTACCCCCGCTATATAAGACCTGACCTCGTGGTGATCTCTCTCTTTCTACCTACACCAACCAGCCAGCAACACATCCTCCTCCGCCGCTTCCTGGCGGCCCTCGCTGCCCCTCCGCCTGCCTGGCGGTCCTCTCTCACGCCGGCGAGCATGGCGACCCACAAGCTGATCCTCCTCTGAGCATCTTCACCAACCAGCTCTCTCTACATCACGCTTGTAACCATGCTGCCTTCCCAGCACCAAGCTGCATTGTACATCCAATACAACATGTATACAGAGAGCACATTGTGAGTTCCTTTCTCCATCCCATCCTGAGTGTGAACCAAACAACCTGAACCCCACAATACCACATCAACACTCCTTCCTCCTCATCTTGCATGAAGTTATATACCTCTTCTGGTAATTTTTCACATTCGATGTGGAACCACACTTCACAAACATCACAGCTAACTGCTTTGTCGCTATCCTTAACTGTTAATCCACATTCTCCAAACATTTCGGTGTTCTTCTTTCCTCCATGTTTGTTGACACTTGCCTTCCTTCTCCTGGGTCCTTGGTCTCACTCATTTTGACTTCTTCTTTATTGTACGTATATACAAAAATTTAATGGGCTTACCTTCCTGTATGCCTCCGTATATTCACAGAACTGCGTATCTACTTAATTTCCACTTATGTTCCTTTGTTATTCATAAATTTGGGCAAAATTACAAGAACTCTATCCTATCCCATCCTATTACCAGGACCTCCACACTTCATATTTTACTCTTATCTTTTGTCTCATGTTTTTTTTTATACATTTTATATTTTTTTTCTATTCTTATCAGATGAGATAAGATTTTGGGTTTTTATTTCCAATTTTGTTTTATTTTCCATCGTTTGGAATTTAGTTTGGCATATAATTACAAGGATGCTACAGGAGTAAATTGTTATCGTGACCTCCATGAATAAGCTATCTGTGATTTCTCCCTCACTCCGGTGCTGAGGTCGAGAGACAATTTAGCCAGAATATTGCTAAATCAAAGCTCAGATATCGGTTGAATTCAAGTTCAGTCAATGCGATTATTGCCGTGAAAAATGGACTCAGAAGTGTTGGAAAAGTTGCCATTCATATGAACTCCCAAAACAATTGGTAAAGCAACTAGGCACAATGACAGCATCACAACTCTTCGTCAGTGCCTGTGTCTATAGGGACTGAAGACGAATAGGACTGCATATTTTTGTCTCTGAATTAAGTGTTGAGAACTTAACATTTGCATATTGATTGACACGTTTATTGAGATACAAAAAACATTAATACATCTCAAAGGGATGAAGTGACATAAGTCATCCCCACCCCAGTCCAGGAATGTCCCTCTCAGGACTCACACAAATCCCTAATATTTCATTTAATCAGTTATATACATACATAGTTATAATCTAGATGCAAAATTTCTATATTTCTTTAATATTTCATCTATTTTCCAATTTTTAAACATCCACTCTATTTGCTTGGGGACATTATTTATATGGACATTTCTATATACATTAAGCAATGGGCATTCCAGTATATAATGTGGCAGGGTATGGGATCTGGGTGTTCTACAAACTCCACATTCTTTATCCTGTTCACTTCTCTCAGCTCCAAGTTCCCAATAATATTTATATCCTAATCTTAACCTCATATACACTGAATCTTTCCACCTACTCCTATCTTTCCCATATGTAAATTTTGTGTTCATGAGAACATGATGGTAATGTTTCATTGTTTCACTTTTCTCGTATATTTCATTCCTTTTGAAATTATCTTCTATTGATTGTATTTTCCGTAATTTGCTCCTTAATTGTTTCAAGGTTTTAGTATATATTATGTCGATCTCGGCCTTTTCCGTGGCTCTTTTTGCTATTATATCTACTGCTTCATTAAGACCAATTTGCATATTGTGTAGGATACTTGAGCGATATTGTGTTGAGCAGATTTTAAAGGCTAATCACTAATTTTCATCCTCAACATTTGGCAACACTGATTCCAACTACTGGCACTAGTCACTAGTGAGTCAGCAGTTGGTGGTGTAGGGCTGACGGGCCGACTTTGTCATCATTTTGTAAGATACTGTATATTCTTGATTTTATTGAAATTTTACCGCTGATGATGAATGACGAAAGTTTAATTGGTTATATGGATGGTGACTTTGCGGTATTATTTTAGTTACGTGGTACAACCATCTCATTCGGGGATTTTGGCAGAGCAATCTCTGTAGATTAATAATTCTATGACTTTTCTTCTATGACACTATCTCGTGAATGGCAAATAACGGATGTGTTTTATTCTTGTTAATAAGATCTTATACAGGAACACTTGTCACCTGCTCACTTTGTTTACAACCGACCTACTGTATGCGAGTGTACTCTCACTAACACAAAAAACGTTAAATTACACCATAACACTTCAACAAAGTTGTTCCATTGGTACCAGATATAAAAATAAGTACTTTCTCTTTAATATGGCAGAGGGTTTAGTTTTTCCTATAGTTTTTGATGTATTTTGAACACTTTCTATTGGGTTTTTTCTTATATCAAATCGGTAAATTTGCATTAGTTTACACAACTCTGTTAGAAAGTCAAAACTATGTTTTTCTAGTGTATTTTGGTGTGTTTTGACCTTGATTTCCTTCGGTAATTGCCTGTTTTTTAGTTATTGGGGGGTTTGGGTGGGGCATTTTCTGATAACAATTATGGCCAAGCAAATACAAAAAAAAAGCTAGAAAATCGGGCATATAAACCAAACCTAACGTGACCTGACCTAAAATAACCTAACCTAACCTAACCTTACCTGACCTTACCTTACCTAACCTAACCTAACCTAACCTTACCTTACCTTATTGGCCTTGTTCTGGTTTGTCATTGGATTCTGAGATTAGTACAGGTTGCTGACGCTGATTCTCACTTAATGGGGGATATAGGAAAGGAGTTACCACAATGCCACATATGTTGGTCTTGATGATATTTACATTCGTTCTTACACTAAGGACACTTTACGGTGGTCGGGAGAACACCATGAGATCTAAAAAATGCTATAGTTCTTAGTTTTTTCCCCCAAAACTCTTAATCAGCTCCATATAATTGAAGTGACACTCATTGCAGACTTCCATGGTTGGAAATGAATTTGAATTTCGAAATATGAGACCCAAAATAAAATGTGAATCTGATTGGGCCAAAAATACTGTGAATTAAATCACAAATAATTTTAATTGGTGGCAAAAAAAAGCGCTTTTGATTGGCCGAATGACATGTACGGGGACGCATGCACGTGATAATTTATGAAGGGAACACGCTGAGTGGGAGGTCGGGTAGGCGATAATGGCGGAAGATTAATGGAAGAAAATAGAGAAATATCTGGCATGCGCAATCTCCTTTATTATACGGCTGCAACGGTAATGTAATAGAAGAAAATTATCTTAAAATTAGACGTCTTATTTGAATGTGATAATAATTAGACGACTAGACTCACACTACTTTTGTCTTTCTTGGCAGTGATGCGGCGGTACACAGCCAATCTTCTTTCGACACTTACTTTTAGTGTATGTTTATGAGCCTTATCAATCTTTTAGCTGCTCTTACGTCCACAAAAAAAAAAAAAAAATTACACTACGGCTTGGAAGTTAGGTTAGGTAGGTTTGTTTGGTTAGATTAGGATAGGTTAGGTGTAGTTAAAATTGTAAATAACCCCATTTTAATACATTTTCCATAACTATAACAGTGAAGTTGTTCACTAAGTCAAGTGAAAATAACGGAAATTCGATTAGTGGAAATTTTGACTTAACGGAAAGGGGCAGCTTGAATTAATTCACTAAATCGAGAAAATACTGTACAATATTAGTTAATCGATTTTGCCTTAGCAGTGTTTCATGCCTAAACAGCTCAGTAAAGTAGACACTTCTCCCACAGTGACAGATTTTTATTGAAGATAAGACCAACTTGACTCTCCTATCCTAGGATGGAAGTGCATTATTTTAGGTTAGGCAAGGTTGTTACTTATTGCCAATAGGAGGCGGGGAACATGGTGGGCTTGTCCAAGTAACACATGCCATGTTTACAGTATTCTAGTCTTAACAAATACTGTAGAAGGAAAGCCAAAATTAGGTAACTCTCAAATTCCTCTACCTATTAAGGGATATTCTAGTGGAAAGAAACAAATTTTTACGAAATTGTCTCCTTCATCTCTGTCGGATATCTGAAGTATTGCCTTGCACCCTATATAAAATTGTGGATAAACAAGTAAAATATTACAAGTACTGTACAGGCACTTCTTATAAAACCTATTCAAGTTCTTATCAGTATTTTTTTTGTTTTTTACAGATTTGTCAAACAGTATGGCAGAGAAGATGACACATAATGAGCAGGTAAGAGTTTCAATTGTTTGTGTAATGATTTCAGTACACTTAAGATGTACAATATATGTAATTTCATATTTAAACTGCCCTCAACAAACCTCATCAGCAAACACTTATTTGAGGGTTGTGACTTTTTTATTGTTACAGGTTGACAACCTTTTATCCGAAATTCCGAAAACCGAAAAGCTCTGAAAACCGAAAGTTTTTTTGTGGGGCCTTTTTTTTTTAAACAGTGATTAGCCCACCCGGGCATAGATCACTGACCCACATTAGGGCCTGGGGGGCGAAAATGTAATAGTAATAATAATTATTCATAGTAAATAAAAATACCGTACACCAAAAGAAAATATGATAACATTAATAATAATAATAATAATATATAATAATAAAATTAATAAAAATAACAGTAATACAGGAGCACTATAATAATGAAAAAAAAAAAAATAATAATAAAGAAATACAAGAATGAAAAAAAAGATCCAAAGTGAGAAACACGACCTAGACCTATGAATTATTATTATTATTATTATAATTTTTATTATATTTTCGCCCCTCAGGCCCTGATGTGGGTCAGTGATCTGTGCCCGGGTGGGCTAGTACATATTTAAAAAAAAAAAAAAAAAAAAACCATTCTGAAAACCGAAATTCCTCTGGCCCCAACGATTTCGGATAAGGGATTGTCAACCTGTAAGTGAGCTCTAATCTTAGGTGAAGTGGCTCCAACGGGTTACTCTGTTATCTTTATGTTCATGTAATAGAAAATTCTTGTTAGGATGTACAGTATTGTGGACATCTAATATTGGTTATGATTGTCTTTATAAGGATAACAGATTGGGAATACCAGCAGGGAATCATAGCTGGAATTACTTGTGGAATATCTGTACCCTGTAATTGATTTTGAGACTTCAGATGAGGAGATTAATTTGTAGGATACTGTAGTATGACATTCAGATTCAGATTTGCCCCCGAGGGGGCTAGTTTATTGGGCACCCCCTTACATCCTGTGCAAGGTGAAGCGCAGAAGCGTTTACAGCGCCCAACAGGGAAGTATGAAAAGTTCATACTTGCCTTTATGACTCATACATTAAGGGTGTAAAAGCCTGAAGGGTCATAGGTTCTGTCAAGTTACATAAAGTGAGAGAATGATGAGTGTGTGGGGGGAAAGTTCCCGGTACATTTTATCTGTTTATGGCAAAGAGCGGCAGGTCCCTAATAATGTCAAATGCCAGGCCTGTGACTAGGAGGAGGGATATCTGGTCTGGGAGGGAAGAGGTGTTGGTAACGGCTGGGGACCTATAGGAGGAGGTCATAGGGCAAGTGAGGATGTAGTGAGATAGGGTGTGAAAGTCGGGTTGGCCACAAAGTTTACAAACAGTGCGGTGAGGCTCAGGGTTGCCAATGTACTCCCATAGGTACCTGTACCCGAGGCGCAGTCTCATGTATATAAGCTGTTGAGATCGAGTCAGGGATTGATATTCTTTGTAGTGGCGGTTGTCGTCACCGGTTATAGCGTCATAGTGGCATAGTGTGACGCTACCCCGTTGTTTCAGGTGTGTCCAATTTTCGTTGAATGCCTCTCGTTGTGTGGCGTATGACATTCATGGCTTGTTCTCTTCTCACTAATGATTTCCAGTTTTGATAAAAGAAAATGGCCTCTGCTAATTAATCATTTCAAGTGCTTCCTTCCCTCAGTAAAGATAGTTATTGTTGGCTGCTGAGCAAATAAAGCTTGATGTTTAGCTCTCTAGAAATGGCCCTATGTAAAATATAGTACCCTCAGTTCAGCCTTATACAGTATGACAGAACTACCATATAGCTACAATTTGCATTAATATAAGGGAAACTCCTAACTTAGAATTCTCTTAGTCTTGAGGATATAAAGTGAAAGACCAATAAGATTTAGATGAATGAAACTGCTTTATAAGGTTAATAGATTACTCTTAAGACTACACTTTTGGTGGCTTTCATAATGCAGGGTAGCACAAGTTTGTAATCAAATCATCTCTTATCAGTTACTGTATTTATCATATTGGGAGGCATCAGTTTCAAGGTGAAGAGAGCAGACTATGCCAGTATCTAAGTACTGTACACATACTCCGTGGCTAGTCTCTGAATTTATATATTACTATACAGGTACACAGTATTTTTTTTAGAGCTACAACACTACAATTTATTGTCATGGCATCCAGATTAATGGTTAGTGCGGAGTATTAAAGTTATTCAGTAAGATATAGATGCAGTTCTCTATTACATACTGTATACTATATTGAAATTTGAAGGATTTGGGGTGTTTTATGTATAACTAAACATAATTCTCTTGGTTACAGGTAGTTCAACGGGCCCGTGAGGCTTATATGTCTGGCAAGACCAAAGATGTTGAATTTCGGAAGAAACAATTAAAGGCTCTCATGCGTATGTATGAAGAGAATGAGGCAGCATTTTGCAGCGCATTGGCCAAAGACCTCCATAAGGTAAGAATGGTTTTAATTGAATACCTGAGTTGCCCTCAGTTTAAAATAAATTCGGTCATTGTACTGTATTTGATGCATTGCAAACAGTTGATAGGCTTGGTTGAAGACTGTCTTCCAAACTTCAGCTTAGGTTGGTCTGATGTTTTTAGACTAGAAAATGTTTTAGTGGTGAACTGGTTTGATCGACATGAACCATGACCTCATACAACTTTTACTGTTGTCGGTAAAATTAAAATAGCAAATGCCTGTATCATACCATAGCTGGCCTTTTTAAGAAGGTATAGAATTGTGTGATGTCTGGGTCATGCAGTAATGAATGGATTAAACCATCCCACACATGCTTAACATTACAGATTTAATTAAGTTAGAGGAAGTAATGGCAGAACTGGATGTTTGAGTGTTATGGAGGGAGGAGACAAATGGCCATGATCATTGTTTATGTTTGTTTTTTCTCTCTAACAGCCAAAACAAGAATCAGTTTTGCTGGAACTGAATCTTCTCAAGGATGACATCAGACATATTCTTGCCCGGATCGATGAGTGGACTAAACCAGAGTCGGTAAGTCTGTTTCTTTAACTTGAGGTACAGGTATTTAGAATTTTAGCTCATGGTACAGTGCAGAAAGAACTAAAACAGAGTAGAACTGATGCTTGTTTACTATTATTAGCTGTCTGTAGCTGCTTTACCATTTGTGCTTGGCTTTAATGTTCCTTCCCAACTCTCACAGCAGGGCTTAGAAATATCCATACAATTAAGAAAAATAATCTTGACAAGATTTCAATGTAAACTTAAAATATTAGTTTCCTTAATTAATTCATTGTGTCACAGGTATAGCTAGTTAGAGTCTTCCCATATTTCTCCATTTCATACAATTTTTCAGACTAATAAATTATGTTATCCAACAGACGCCAACCAACATAGTAACCTTATTTGATAAGCCTGTGATTTATCATGATCCCTATGGTGTTGTCCTCATTATGGGTGCTTGGAACTACCCAGTCCAGCTTGCTCTTCTTCCAGTGGCAGGTAAGTGAATTTTTTAGGTATAAATTACTCTGTATTTTGAAATAAACTTAGAATACTGTAATTTCATTGGCCACCAGCCAATTTGATTAGCGCCCTAGGTTTCACAACTTGATGAAATTATTTTGAGCATATAGTTTTAAGTCAATCTAAAGATAGAAAGAATCATTAATTCAACATTGATTAATATATCCACATGCTTTTATTAACTTCACAACTGAATGCTGTAGTTTTTTGCTATTGTGTACAGTATACTGTACAGTGTTTTGTTTACACAGGCATTTTTCTATATCATATCACTATATTACAGGTGCCATAGCTGCAGGTAACTGTGTCATCCTCAAACCATCAGAGGTATCATCTACAACTGCTGAAACCATTGCAGAACTGATTCCCAAGTATCTGGATAATGTATGTTGAGATATATTATGTATTTAACCTTATGGGTAGAGCAAATCTTTAGTGCAGTAGTACAGTACAATGAAGAGTAAATGATACAAGGGTGGTGAAATACAACAACAACAAAATATTAAAGCATTTGTTTCAATTATTGTATCTGCGTGAATTTGGAGGATATTGTGGAATCCGGCACGGCTATTTCTGTAGCTTACTGTAAATGTGGTAATTTTTGAGTGGTGGATATTTGTGGTAGGAGACATGGATTACACCTCCGGCACCAGATGTTCATTCGAGTTTGATAATAGATGCAATCCACTTTATTTAACCAAGGGATTACGCTGTAGTTGTTTATGGATTAATCTTATATTTGACTTAAGATGAATGATTATTATGAGTCTAGGATAAAGGATAGGTTAAGAAAGATGTGAGGGAGGGAATCTACTGGACATGGTTGGTGTATGGACGATAATGTGTTGCTATTTTAGTCCAGGGAAGAGTTGAGGAGTATGGTAGTTACAATGCTTCATACCTTCAAGGGATGACTGAGTTAGGTGTTTTCATGCCTCACTGATAAGAGCACATAAAGGTGGTATGGGCATAAGGAGTTAAGTAGATAATTAAAGTAGGCGGGTAATCTTTGACTACCTCAGGGAGTGTTGAACCGGCCATGCCATTTTATAGTCATGATTGACCCAAACAGGATTGGAAAATGGGGTTGATGATGATGATGACGACACATTACAGAATTTATGGAAGATTTATTACAATTTATTTATTATTACAAGAGAAAGATTAAGATTTACTGGCAATGTGGATATATGTGATAAAACTCAAAGAATGATTTAGATTGTGTCCTGTGGGTGGACTAAGTATTAATTCAGTACAGTAGTTGATTAAAAAAAAACTTTTGCTCTCCGCACTTTATTAGCACTGGGATATTAGCCTTGATACAAAATAAATCATGATTTTTTTTAATTTGCAATAATTAAAATCATCACATTTCATAAATTTATAAATGTTAAGAGAAATGTTTCTTTCATTTAGATAACACTTGTGAGTATGAGTTTAGGTCTTTCTCTTCTCTGTTTAATGTGTTTTTATGCCTCATCTCTCTTGTCTATTCCAGGAGTGTTTTCATGTTGTGTGCGGAGGAATCCCAGAAACTACGGAACTCCTCAAGAGCCGCTTTGACTACATTTTCTACACAGGATCACCCCAGGTTGGCAAGATTGTAAGAGAGGCTGCTAACAAACACTTAACTCCTACCACCCTTGAGTTGGGTGGAAAAAGGTAAAGATTACTATTTACCCGAGGTCTCTTTTAAACCACTTCAGTTGTCTTTACATGCAGACATATATAAGCATATATGTCTAGAACTCTTCATTATAAGAATTTTTTTGTTTGAAGTGTGTAAAAAAGCATTGTAAATTTGCAACTCACGAGGTAAACACTTTCTTCTCCCCAAAATTTCAGGGAAAAGATTTTGTGCACCGCCAGTCCCAACCAACAAGTCTATGAATGTTAATATTTGTATATTTTCTGCTAAAGTTTCAAAATATTTTGTGAAATTATGCTTGTCTGACCAATAATTTATGGCTTGTGGTATCGTATTAATGACAAGTTTCATAACCTTTCTTGTGGATATGTATTTGAAAGAAAAAATATGGTTCCAGCTATGTTGTATAAATATTTTTGCAATAATATTTCTATATATCTGCAAGATTGTTTTACTTGCTGATTGAAAAGGACTTAGTAAGGTCATATATCCTCTGGTATGACAGCAATCTTGGTGTGTCTCAGATATTAATCATGAGACTTTTTTTTAAGGAGTAGGCTACTGCGAGCATAATTAGACCTTATAATATGGAGCTATCAGAGGTACAGACAAGCAGGAGCTCCATCTTGCCCCTGGGGTTAACTATACCACATGTATACATGGTACTATGTATTGTGTTAGTGATGGATACCCATATCACATGTATCACTGTTTTGGAACTTGTTTAAACATTATTATTGGATAGATTGTTTGTGCAGGTTAAAAAAAAAAAAATTTAGCATCTCGTCAAGGGGATGGGGTAACCCACTAACTGCCAACTGTTATGAATCAGGCATTCTGCATCATGGCATCAAGAGGCTTGCAAGGTTGGAAAAACACCATGTGAAGTTTAATTTCATCTGAGTAACCATTAACATGACACAAATTATTTATACATTTCACCACTAAACTTAATGATTATTCTTATGAATTTATAACAAATGTGTTATACTGCTTTCTCTTATTAGGTTATGGAAGTCTGCCAAGCATGTGGTACTTAGCTAGTGTGTGACCTTGATCACTCGTGACTATGTAAGTTTATTTGTCACAAACCAGGTAGTTTAGATAAAACTCTTGAAGTTTGTAAGTTAGATTAGTCTTTGTATTAAATATTTTCCCTAAAACAAGGATATGTTTCTTTCAGTCCACTCTACATTGATGACAGTGTTGACATGGACATAGCTGTACGGCGGATCATGTGGGGAAAGTGCATCAATGTTGGACAGACCTGCATTGCACCGGACTATGTCCTGTGTTCACAGCAAGTGCAGACAAAATTTGTGGACAAGGCTCGTGATGTGTTGAAGGAATGGTATGGTGAGGACCCAAGGAGTTCTCCTGATCTCTGCAGGATTGTATCTGATAAACATGTTGAGTAAGTAACCTGTTCTATCATAATCTGTACATCAGTGTTGTGGTGCAAGGTTATAAGCACATGTAATGCTGTGGTGGAAGGTTTAAAATTCTACTGAAATCAATTTAATTAACATAACCTTGTGATATGACAACTAATTCTGGGTTGTAAATTTTCAAAGGTGTGATCTTTACCATTTACTGATTAACTTCCCAAAACATAGTATGAATACTAAACTTATTTCCATTCTTTAGTTATGTTGATGACATACAATTAGATACTGTATATAACTACTGCCCTGTTTGGTCGAGTATCAGCTCAGTAAGATTGTATGTGTTGTTACTGTGTTTATCCCAGTTAAATTTCTCAAGAACCGGGTGGCCTCCAGGAACCTTTAATGGTCAGTCCTAAAGATCTGTTGTACAAGTCATGTTGACGAGTTCTTAATGTTGCGTTGTGCCGTGTTAGGTATAGGCAGGAGGCCATGTCGTGGTTTCATGTGTGTGGGGCCGAGTTGCACTTTGGTTGGTTGCAGTATCATAGTCTCAGTAGGTGAATTTTTGTTTTATCTTTGGAGGGTGGCTTGGGAAGGGTGGATATTAGGTGCAAGAATGATAGAATCTCCAAAAAGAGGATATTGTTGTAGTCCATTCATTAAGGAGGAGGATAAATTGTCTATGAATGAGTTTGTAGGTCTTTTGCATGGGAGTAGAGTACAGGTTGTTTAGGTCGCACACTGAAGGTGATGACAAATTTACTTAGCGTAATGCATAAGTTCATAGTAAATTTTTATCCCAAGTTTAAATCCATATCACCATTTTGCAGACGCCTAGCAGAGTACCTCAAGGATGGTAAGGTTGTGATTGGTGGGGATGTGAACAGAGAAGAGAGGTGGATATCTCCTACCATTTTAGTGGATGTTGATCCCAAGAGTAAGGTAAGAAATTATATATAATCCTTGACTTGGTATTTTATTTTGACATTTAGGCTGAGGAACTATAGACATGTTGTTGGCCTGTCCAGCCTCTTGAACTCACTGGAAGCTAATATAGTGTACTGGGTCCAGGTATTACAGAACTTGAAGAGAATACAAAACTATTGTTCAGTTTTTTAATTATATAGTATTGGTTAAGCAAGGACCCAGTGAATGGTGTGTGGTTAATGAGTTCAACCTTAAAAAAGTTAATGCTATTTCAATATTATAAGTGGTCTTTTCCTAATGCGATCTTGTATGAGGTAATTTCTTGGAGGAAGCTCATACAGTATATGCTAAGGAGATTATGTTAGATTTTTATGTTTATATTTCAAGAGAATTAATCTTTACAGGTAATGACGGAAGAAATATTTGGACCCATTCTGCCCATTGTTAATGTCGACTCTCCCTATGATGCCATCAAGTTCATAAATGAAAGGTGAGTTTTTTATATAGATTTTATACCTCTCATGAGATACGTTGGACAAAAGTGAAACTTGAAAACATATTACAAATATTTTGTTTTTAGTCTGTATGTAATCTGTGCCATCAGAGGGTCACAAGTGTTAGTCTTGAGTTTGGATCTTCATTTTTACCTTGGGGGGTAAACAGATAAAGTAAACTATAAAAAAAATTCTCGGTCTGTTCAACTCAAGATTTCTCAAACCCATATTATTATTCTGTATTCCTGAGCCTTACTGAAACTTGGAAATGACTTGTTCTATATATATATATATATATATATATATATATATATATATATATATATATATATATATATATATATATATATATATATATATATATATATATATATATATATATATATATATACGTTAATAAAAATGAGCATTATCTGACCTTACAGAGAACATCCCTTGTGTTCCTACATATTCACCAGCAACTCCAAGATCCAACAAGAACTTGTCCAAAATATTAGCACTGGCTCTATTTGTATTAATGATTGTGTTATCCACTTTTCCAGTGAGTAATTGTAACCTTTAATGTACTGTACAGGTGATGGTGAGCATGTTATAACCACTACTCCCTAATTAGGGGTTGTGGATAATTAGGTTTTGAGATTTGCAGGTAATGGGTGTAGTATTTCTCTTCTACTGTAAGTACTGTACAGTATAAATATATAACATACATGCATGCTGTATTATAGGTCAACAGCTTGTGGTTCATCAGTAGCCCCTTCTGCCTGCTCTATCTGCTGAAGGTTCTGCCTCACATCATTCTTAACATCTTTGCCTCTGAGGTTCTACATGTAATTATTTATCTATTCTGGAAATTATTATCCTTCAATGACATTATTTCAGGAATATTATTTTTTTACTGTTTTATTCCAGGTGTTTGAAGTTGATAATGATTTATGACAGTGAAAGCTAATACAGTAGGCCCTTCAAAGCGGGGGTTAGGTTCTCAAAATGGCCACGAATCGCCAAATCCGTGAATAACATTTGCTGTCCAGAGTTGGGGGTAAATTTTTACTTGTGTACAAAGAAATGTATATTCCCTTTATGTGTTTGCCCTAGTTAAAGCCAAGGATAGTATGTGACTCTAAGGATACATTAATGATATGGAAGTGTTAATACTGTACGTTTATATTTGCTTACTTTTATCCAGGGAGAAGCCATTAACGCTCTACATTTTCACTAAACAAGAAATTATTAGTGATCTGCTGCTCAAAAACACCACCTCCGGTGGTAGTTGTGTTAATGATACAATGCTTCACCTGGCAGGTAGTTCTAATTACATTGATACCATTTTGAGCTGTTCACACTGTATTTGATTGTTTAAATGAATGTACTGTACACCCACTAAAAAATTATTCGGCACCCTTGGCTCTGATACACCCCCCTCAACGATCACTGGTACAGAAGCCGTGATTACGTGGTGTGGTTGGTACCCCTGTACTTTCACACACACACACACAGAGAAAGACGGGTACCAACCACACCACGTAATCACGGCTTCTGTACCAGTGATCGTTGAGGGGGTGTATCAGAGCCAAGGGTGCCGAATAATTTTTTAGTGGGTGTACAGTAATATTTTTGGGAGTGTTTTTCATTGTCAGCCTCTTTTTTTTTATGGAAGATTTTTGGTCATAATTTTAATTCGTGCCTGTAAAGCTTTCTGGTGTACTGTATGTTAATCTTAATACTTGACTCAATTTGGGGAAGATATTCTAGTTGTCAATGGTCAGCAGATAGACTAATAATTTTGGCCCATCATGGATTTTCTATAGCCAGAATTGTTATACATTAATATTAACAAAAGCAGTATTCCTTTACTCAATAGGGAGGCAGAATCTTAGTCATGGGATTGAATTAAACATTTATATATACATAGAGTACCAAGAGCCTGATATCTCCTAAATTGATTGTATGAAACAGTTTCTTTGAATTTTGGGTTTAATTTGACCATAATCAAGGATATAGATATTTAGAGTAGCATTGCTAAAATATCTCCAATGCCACTTTTATTACGGTCACATAATTTTTCCTCGCATTCATTTCTCGAGGTACCAAGCATCAGTATTCATGTCAATAGTGTATTAAACTAACTACTGTACCTTGATTTTTTAAATGTAAAGTCTTCATCAAAGCTCTCTACACTTTCACATCTTGCGAGACTCTCCCACCTGAGGCTGGCATAACTTCACTGAACTATATCTCCGAATTTCAATACATTTTTCATCTTTATTTTCAATATGGGGAGGCATCTTTTTTCTGAAGTTCCAACATTTGAAAATCATAGTAGTGTATTGCATTTTGTTCCGTAAGCTCGTTGGATTCAGATGTTTTGTCTGTAGTGATTGTGTTATGGGAGGTGTGTGTGATCTCAACTTGATACAGTAATGTAAGTAGTTGTCTAGTTTTCGTTTCACTGTTAAAATGTGCTTAGTATATATATGTGGAATTTGTACTAGCACCAGAGTAGGTAGAATTGTCAATAGTCTCCCGGTAGTTCAGCATAGTTTGGCCCAGAGGCATCCTGTGAATTATGAGAGGCTGCATTGGTGCTACTTTTTAACTACAGTATTTCGGAACACATAAACCTGGTTATGAAGTTTAGGAGGAGCTTTGGTTTTGAGTTGCACAGTTTTCCTCCTACTGGTTTGTGACATTCATCGGTTTTATATTTGCTAGCAGATGTGTATGGCATTGACTTGTTTCTTAATAGCAGAGTTGTACAGATACAGTACTAAAGTGTTGGAAGAAAGCAAAACAATTGCAAGTGGTTAATATAGTAGCTGGATGCATAGCAGGAGTGAATTAGAATATTCAAGAAATTACCCTGCTTACAGTTTCACCCAGTAGTAAAGTAGCATCACCAAGCACCAGAGACCAAGAATTCTCACTTTACTTGGTGGGTGACACAGTTATGGTTGCCAGAGACTGGTGGAAGTATAATACAAAGCCGGAGTAATCATTGCCTGGTACAAGACCATTGGGGCAGACAGCAGGAGTCTCGAGAGTGTAGCCGCAATTCACAGATTCCAGATTTCACTACAGTACTAGATAGTTAGCACAGTAAATCCAGATTTGTTGGGCTATTGACCGGGGAAAATCCCTGAGATACTCTTGTCCTATCTCAGCCTTTCTGTGATATGTGGTACTAAGCCCACATAGCTGATAGTCTGAGTTAATTTATATACATTTGTTTATAGGTAATACTGTTGTAGAGAAGAACCTAACCTTTGGGTATAATTTTGAACATGACCTTACAGTATACTGCTTGTCTCCAGAGTTGTAAAGCTATGAAGAGGAAATATAGTTTTACATAATAATAACCTAGAAAACTTTTTCCTGTTTCAGTGCACCGTAGTCTTTAAGGTTGCTGTGACTGGCATCTTCAGCTGGAGAATGGACTTACTCTGTCCTGCCTTTACTGTATATCTTTAGCTTAAGAAATTATGAAGATGAAGGAAATTCGCAGTGGTTTTCATTTTTATTACATATTTTGTCATTTTTTCTATACTGAGCATTTTCATTGCATTCCGAAGCTGCTTATTTCTAAAGCAAAGTTCTCTTTCCCTGTAGAGAGCGACCTCTGGCTTTTTATGTGTTTTCAAACAAATCTGACCTAGTTAATGTTTTAATGGAGCAAGTTCCTTATGGCGGTTGCACAGTGAATGATGTGATGTTCCATGCTGCAGGTATAGTACTGTACTTTCTTACTCACATGTTGTGTACAAAGTGGCACCAGCAAATGGCTTATCATTGTATATATATTTGACCATGGCTCTTACTGCCAGAATGAAGAATTGTATAGTCACAAGAATGATTTATGACTTCCTAGACACAGATTCAATATTTCAGTGTCTTCATGTCTGTCTGTCCATTTAGAATTTTGGGCTGCTGCACTGACTCTAAACAATAATATATTCTGATATATGATCTTTTGACCTTTTGGTTGTATGCATGTTTGTTTATGCATTCTAGTATGTTAGTGTGTGCAGACAGATTATTTCAATACGAGTCATATATTAAGGTTGACATTGGGTCAGTAAATGGAGACAAGTATTGACATTTGACACATGCCTGAATGGAGGTAAATTCAATTTCTTAGATATACTTGTTAGACATAAAATGGTTGCCCCCTCTTGTTTGATAATGGCCGGCCCTAAGGTCACCTAGACGTGAATTTGTTTAAGGTGTAGAAGTTGCTGCCAACACAACAACCACACCCTAAGTTACTGTAATGAACTTAATGACCCAATGTCAAGGAGCTGTGAAATATCTTCTTAGCATTTTGTGTGACTTGGTGTGTTACCTGTTAAATTTGTCAGCTTTTCTGCTTTTTTGTAATTGGAAAAACATCTTTTGTTGTGGATAAACCTTCTCCATTTTTAGTTCAGCTTTCTTCTTCTTGTTGATTTGTCCTGTAACTTTTAAATATTTTTGTTTTAATTCACTTGCAGATTAGTGGGAGAGTGGTAAAATGTTCTTTTTTTGGCTAAACCGGTAACATCATTGATGAAACAACAAATTTAAATTTTTGAATTGAATTGATGAGGAATAATTTGTGCTTTATATTAACCATAATATGAACTCAAATACAGTATTGGAATCACTTGCTATAATATTTAGCAGACCCTTGCCACTGACGGCCTTACAATTTCGACGATTTGCGGTGAGCAGATGGTTGCTATGGTGGCTAGCTTGCAAACCTTTTCCTGCAGCGCAACTAGTCACCCCACGCAGCATCTCGCGTTGTACTCTCAAAACTTTAGTGTCAGTAATAGTGATGGTACTGGAGTGAAATGTAAAAGGGAGAAGTTAGTGATGACCCTGACAAAGAAAGTTGAACTACTGTACAGTGGTCCCTCCATTGACGAGCGGTTCAATTTACGAGATTTCGGTTAACGAATTAGCTCCCATAAGGATTTTCAGTTGTATTAACGTCTACAACCTCTATTAACGACGCCTTACGAGAAACACCCTTTGGTGCGCGTATCAGCTGGTCGGCTAGTCCGCCAATACAGTAATTGGTTCTATGTTTACATTTGTTTCCAGTGAAGTAAATATTAAGAAAGTTGTGCTCCTGAATATTTTTGCATTTTTTATATTGAAATTATTGGTCATTCTGAAATTAAGCTAACATATTGATAATATATACAGTACAGGGAACAGTTTTTGTTCACCCATCAGCTGATCGAATCACCTACCAACACTTCTCAGTTTAACTTTGTTTACAGTGGAATGAACATCGAGTTTGTTGGTCTCTTGAATATTTTTGCATTTTTACATTAAAATTATTGGTCATTCTGAAATTTAGGTAACATTGATAATATACAGTGCAGAAATTATTATGAAATACGAATGAGACATTAGAACCAATGCACTCGGTAAAGATTATGGCATGTCATCATCGACTGCCTCTACAATCAGCTGTTTGCTATGTAAACAAAGCTGCCGGGAGTACGACATACACACCTCATGGTAAGTTAAATACAGTATTGTATTGTTTTTTATTTATTGTTGTAAGTACAGTACAGTATTCTGTGCAGTACAGTACTGTATTTTATTTATATTGAATGTTTTGTTAATTCTATTACCAGTATATAGTACTTTGTATGTACTTTTTCTGTGAGTTGGAACCAATTACCCAATATCCCATTGAAATTATAGATTCGGTTAACAAAATTTTCAGTTAACGACTGACTGTGGAACCAATTGTGCTCGTTAATCGAGGGACCACTGCATTAGATAAGTTAAGAGGAGATGAGTGCAGCCGTGGCTGTTTGGTATAGGTATACAGTAGTGCACTAAGGTAGTATAAGTTGCTATTCGCAGTTTTGTCTATTCATGCCATTCCTTGGAACCAAACCCCGCGAATTACAAGGGTTTACTGTACGGTACTTAGAATGGTAAGGTTTTATTATATGCTTGAAGGCCACTGTATCATGTGCTGGAGGTATTGGGTATTTTCCTTGCATGTTTGTTTTATATGTAGCATGTACTGTAATTGTTTTAATTTGTAATTTAGATGTGTTGTATTTTGGATTATTGTCTTTTCACTAGATTGTGTTTTTTAATGTTGCTTTATGTATATTATGAACTTATCTGTTAATACATGTTGTTTGCTGGTTAGAATAGAATTTGTTTCTTAATGATGAATACCTGTATATAATGTGAAATATAAATGATTGGTGACTGTAGGACATGAATTATTTATATTTTATATCTACAGTTCATGATTTGCCATTTGGTGGTATTGGCAACAGTGGAATGGGAGCATATCATGGTAAAGCTTCATATGACACCTTCACACACCGTAAATCCTGCCTCATTCGCAACTACAACAAAATTGCTGAAACTATTGGCAAGTAAGTAGGTCTTCCATGAATGATTTTGAAACCAATGATTGAAGAGATTAATTTTAAAATCGTCCTCAACCTTCAAATTAGTATTAGTACAGTACTAGTCGGCTACAAAAGTAAGGTAATATCTCCGTTGGCCGGAATCCCTCAAACCTGGAATTCTTCGATACCCGGAATTGAAATTTTCTCGGAAAATTGCTCCCAAGGCCAGAATTTTCCGGAAAATTCCTGCTTTGGGAGCAATTTTCCGAGAGGCACATTTTCCCGATACCCAGAAAATCCGGGAATGAGGGAGTTTTTTCTGGGTTTCAGAGATGAAAATCAGGCGCATTTTCTGGAAATTCTGAGACAAATTTTCTGTTAACGGGAAAATTCCTGGAATGAGGGATATTTTTCCGAGTTTGAGAGATGATGTAATGGGCAATTTCTGGAACTTCGAGAAAATTTTTCCGTTCCCTGGAAAATTCCGAGGATGGGGGATTTTTTCCGGCTTTAAGAGAGTTGTTTAGTTACCCTGAAATCTCTCATTCCCAGAAGTGCTCTGCACCAATTGTTCCGGCTAACGGGGATATCACTACTGTATATGGAAATGTAAAGGCATACAGTTTGTGAAGAGGTACTGTGTATGGAATATTAATGGAGTGATTCATATTTGTGCCAAAGGTAAGGAGTTTTGAGAGGATCCATAAGAGTTCAGAATGAAATGAAATTAAAGGAAATGTTAAATATATATACAGTATACACCTAGACCCCAACTTACGACGGGGTTAGGGACCCAAATCCAGGTCGTAAGTCCGACATATAATAAAAAAAAATTTTTTTTTTTTAATAAAAAATCTACAATGAAATACAGTACAGTAAAAGTAATGAATAATGATGAATGGATACAGTACAGTGAAAGTAATAAATAATAAGGAATGGATACAGTGTGACTGAGCACTTAACCTTTAATGTAGTCAGCTGAATGCACATGGGGCCCCCATAATTTTCTAATTATACATGGAGATTACATTAACTGGAAACGTTTCGGTATAGAAAATGCGTGTGTCATTTAAAATTTATTTATTTAATTATTTATTTTTTTATTTATTTATTTATTTTTATCTATATCTGAGGCGGTCGTAAGTCCCGACGGTCGTAAGTCCACGTAGTCGTAAGTCGGGGTCTAGGTGTACAGGGTATATTTATTTTTTGACCATTGCTCTTTAACAAAATAACGAGGGAAGAATGCAACTCGACATATCCTGAGTTACATTGCTGTAGTCATAGGGTTAGTTTATGATCTTGGTGATAGTAATAAGTGAACAGAGATACATCCATAGCTGGAATACATTAAAGGCATTTTTTTAAGTACACGCTGAAGCAGGTTAGGTTAGATTATGAGTTACACACTAAAGTAGGAGAGCTTTGAGAAATCAGGTCATTTAGGAAACTTCAGTGTTGTGTACAGTTATGTATTTTTGTGTTCCAGGAGTCGTTACCCGCCATACAGTGAGAAAAAAACAAAGTTCCTGTCCCAGATGTTGAGGGAGCAACCTTTCCCCAGCTTAAAGTTTGTGCCATACCTCATTGCTTTTGGCCTTGGTGTAGCCTCTGTGTTTGCATACAAGGGAATTGCAAAGGTGAGTTTGTTTGTGGTTTTGTTACATCGAGTTAGGTTTAATTTGTATATATCCACGATGCAGCAATTTTTTAATGTGAAGTGGGGTGAAAAAATACGTCCTTTGTGTGTGGTCTTGTGTCGGAAACCTGAGAGAATTGCACCTCCTGGCTATTGAAACATTAACTTCTAGGGTACACTCCCCCACTGTACTCAAAATCATTAGTAATCTTATCAAGGTGTTAAAACATTGTATTCAAGGGATTGAGTTAGTTCATAGTGTGTTAAGTCATGGTGTTGTAGGGGTTGGCATTATACTCCAAGGGTTATGGTGTACTGCTCTTTAAATGTTGTTAGTGGAATAGAAAATGAGGCCTCAATAGAATTCTTTCTCTTCAGGATGGTTTGCGTGAATGGATGAGTCAGAGGGTTCGCTCGCCTTTGTGGTTATTTCGATCATCTGAGACCTAATTCATATACAATACACAAGTAAACCTTCTTTTGTTATTCATTTATAATATCTGATGAAGTAAGTTTCAGTCTTGAGGGTGTTTAAACTTTGGCCAAGGAAGTTTGCTGCTTTTCTCTCTTGATTATTAGTTCTTATAGCATGTGTGGTTTCTGTTTCCTCCTCATAAGATGTTTACATTGGAAGATCTCCAGCCTGAATTCCTTGAGACTGAGCAGTGTTTGAAGTACTGTATGGGTATTGTGGGATTACTGTATATATACACTGATCTTTGAAAACAATGCTAATGTACTTTTCAGGTACCAGATGCCAGGATATAACTTAAAGTTTTGTAACTATTCAGCAGTAAATAAAAAAAAAAAGTTTCACTCCCTTTCAAGTTATGGTGAAGTTCTGTAGCTACTAACACAATAATGGTTCAGATATACATGTCTCTCTCCATGGTTGGCCAAATTTACTCTGTGCTTGGAACTACAACTGCCAATTCCTTTATTCATATCACACTCGGCATATCACATAGCCTTTATTATGGTATATGGTGTTGTTACCTTGATCTTAACACTCTCAGGCTACACACTGACTCGCCCTTATTCTCTTGATAACATTTAATGGGAAGTGTAATATTCTTCCTCCTCACACCGCTGCTCTCAGCACTGTCACTTGTTCATTTGTTGGATGCTGTTGTAAGAGCAGAATTAGATAAAAACTCGTAGAAGTTAAAGAAATAAATGAGAAAAAACACCGAGTACAGTTTCCTTGAATTCAGAATGGTAGAAATATGATGGGAGTGATATTATGGGCTATGATTGCATATGGGAAACAGAAACTCAGACACCAACGTTGTGTTAATCTTTCTTTTTTTTTCTTTTTAATATTGGATGCTTTTGCACTGGAGATCTTTTATTATACTCTACGGTTGGTAGGTTAAGTTTCACCCTGTAATGGGATATCTTATGATTTTGCTGTTTTGTTGGTTTAAATATTTTTTTTTCTGTTGCTCTCTCTCTCTCCGATTGGTAACTCAACAGACTGAGAATTCCAACTAGACTTTACATATGGACAGGTGTTGTGTGGTTTAAGGTGGTGTGTAACCCTTGGGTAGTTCATTGCAGCACACATTTATTGGCATCATTTAGTATATTTTGTATCATACTTTACTTTTAGTGACATATTGGTCAGTGGTGGTAATTTGGGGAATCTTTTGATTTTCAGCACTAGGGGGAAAAGGGCAGGTTTTCATTCACAGATAGCACCTTGATAGATACTGTACTGAGAGAGGGTTGATAGTGGAAAATACATGGATCAGATAGAAGAAAAAAAACATTACAATACCTGGAGATAGGATACACAAGAAGACAGAGGATTATTAGACTGTGTCAGTGGAATTATTAAAGGTACGTTGATTTTATGTGACTGTTTGGGGGAATATTCTTTTTCCTCGATAATATTCTGTTAAAGCAATGCAGTATCAATTTACTTATGGTTTAAAAATGTCGCTTTGTATTTGTGTTGTATGATGTAATTATTTAGGATGGAATAACCTTTTGAAGATTGTTTTCTGTACTCTTTAAAAGTTTATTTTTGGATGGTATTAACCCCTTCAACAAATTTGTGTAAAGTATAAAATATTTGTGTGTTGATTTTATGACTTTTGGAGCAGGAATATTTGTACAATTATCTTAAAGTGATCAGGATAAGGTAGCATATGTTCTTTCATTTCTATATACAAGTAAGGCCTTGATTTATGAAGCTTCATAATTTTTTCTTAATAAGAATGAAAATGTGTTAAAATAATGCTTACTTATTTCACTATTTCTTTCATTTTTTCTCTTAACACTACAAATAAGTTTTCAATGCGTCATGATCAGTCTTGTACAGTCACCACATTACTCACTGATGACACGTAGATCTTGGAGAGCACACAGTCACTCGGCCAGTTGCCTGATTGAACAGTTTCTCCTTATTTACTCTCAATACAGGATGTTTGAAAATAAAGTAAACTAATACAATTATTCTGTGTTCTTAAACTTCATATGTTAATTATGTACAGTAAAGGTGTAGAGTTGTAAGAGAAAGTAATTAATATTGGCTTATAATCATTGTTTACATAAAAAATAACTATTGAAAGAATTTATGGTATTAATATAGATTTTTATTTTATTTTCTTGGGGGGAACACGTCAGTTTTTATGATAGGCGTCTATAGAACGTGCACTGATTTACAAAATATTTAATGTATAGGAGGTTTTTGAGGAACATAAGCCTTTGTAAATTGGGGAATAATGTACCTGTCAAATTATTTCATGTATTTATTGTTCTTTCTTGATTTCAGGCCGTTGGTTCTGATGAAGATTAGACAAGCATAAGAAGACCATCATTGTTTATTTTTTATGATGTTGGAGAGGAAATGCAAACATAATTAACCTTCATGTTGGTAGATTTCAGAATTTGTTTATGATTGACAGAAGAATAAAACAGTAAGTACAGGGTGTTACAAAAGTCCACCTGTAATAATTAACACTACAGTAGTTGTTCATTGTTATGTACCATGCTCTACTTACACATACTGAACCATGCAAAGGTTGTATACCCCCACCGATGCCTTCATACAGCACTGCCCTTTATCTCTAGGGTTAAGTCCATATTACAGTGCCATTAATTTTTTATATATTAAATGAAGGACAAAAATTATTTCTTCTAAAGCATTTGATTTACTTCTTATAGTGATGCTTAAAGATTGAGAGCCTTAACATTGTGAATATAGTCATCAAATAATACTGTGCCTTTATGGACTTTTGTTATAGCTGAGTCACTGGATGAAAAATCTTCAATACCTGTATATGTAACAGATTTTTCATCTAGAATCATTTGATAATTAAAGTTGGGTAACAACTCGTCACTTTATGGAAAAGCCTTAAAATATTTACTAGTTATCATTATGTACTGGAAATGGATAAGAAATAGTCAAGAGACTACACCATACCTTTCTCTCTCTCTCTCTCTCTCTTTCCATAAAATGGAATAAAGATTAGACATTACAAATAAGTTGTCAAGTTGAGGTTGTCCAAGGAATGTAAGGAAGGTGGCCAAAATATAGGCAGCCAAGATTTATCTTTACACTTGTGCTTTTAATAATATAATATAAATCTGGTTAAGTGGTCTGTCTGTAACTAAGATTTTGTCATAAATTTTTAAAAGGTGCTCCAAGTGACACATTTATAGACTGTGTCCTATAGGCCTCTAGTGTAGGTCCCCTACAACACCCCACCACTCCTAATTGCATCTCAATACACACAATCACTGTGGAGGCAGTAGTGTACATTGGTCTCCATCTCCTAGACCCAGAACCATCCACCTGGTGGGGTATAGGATCTCTTCACCACAGCTAAACCAGATTTAGATAAATGATTTATTCTTTTATATCCCATTAACCTGCATGCAGTTATCTATATATTCTTAATATAGTAATCAGTTAAAAATATACATATGGGGCATGACAAATTAGAGTGTATGGAGAAAATAGGACTTGTTTATTGAATATTTGAAAAAAAAACATGTATTTGAAGGTTGTAGAAAAGGTTGTTGTTTCTCATATCAATTCATGTTCATCTGAAGCACTGTAGACTGAGTGCACAAAACTTGATAAAAATATTTTGGTCTACGTTAGTAGTTGGTCATGGAAAATACAGTATCTTTATATTACTGTATATGTTTGTTAGGACAACTAAGTCATTGGGAAGCTTTATATAATTTAATTTAACAGTCTTTATGTTAAATTAAATCATTGTTATATTGTAAGGCAGATTTTAATAATGTAGCTAAGAGCCTTTATAGTATAAGTACAAATGATATATTAACATAGAACCAATATACAGTATGTTGCTAAAAGTTGCTGATGTTAGTCTTTATATATTTAGTACATTATAATGGGAAGGATATGTATCATTTTTTACATTTCTTTAAGCTGAATTATAATAAAAGAACAGAGTTTGATCTGTTTGATTTAACCTAATTGTTTGATAGACCATAAGTAATTGTGTGCGAATGCATTCGTGTGTGTGTGTGGCGACCTGTGGTGTAATGGTCATCATGCTCGCCTCGCAAGTCAGTGGACCCGGGTTCAATCCCTGGGCAGGGTGAAACTATGGGCAAGCTTCTTCACACCATTTGCCTCTGTCTACCCAGCAGTAATTGGGGACCTGGATATTAGTCGATTTGTGGATCGTGTTCTGGGGTAATGGTTACATAAGAAAATAAGGACCCTGCAATAGGCCAGTTGGCCTGTGCATGGCAGCTCCTGTCTAGAGTTACTACAACACACTATTATCCATGAATCTATCTAGCCTCCTTTTAAAACTTTCCAGCATTACAGCACTTACTACAAAGTTGCTAAGCTTGTTCCTCTCATCCGCCACCCTATTTGTGAACCAGTTCCTTCCTATCTCCCTCCTAAACCTAAACTTATCCAACTTAAATCCGTTGCTATGAGTCCTGTCCTGCTCGGATATTATAAGAACTTTATCTATATCACCTTTATTGATTCCTTTCACCCACTTAAATACTTCTAAGTCCCGGAATCATTTTCGTCATTTTTCGCTGCACCGATCAGTGAATTGATATCCATTCTATAATAAGGGCACCAGAACTGAACCGCATAATCGAGGTGCGGCCTGACTAGCGCAAGATATAGTTGCAATAAGACCTCAGCACTCTTATTACACTTCTAGATATAAAACCTAATACTCTGTTTGCTTTATTTCGAACATTAACGCACTGTTTTTTAGGCCGTAGGTCTGGTCTTACAAGTACCCCTAAGTCTCTTTCACAAGTCGACTTCTCTAGGTTGATGATGTTAAAGCTGTATACATTGATAGTATTTGTTCTTCCAATATTCAGTATGCTGCACTTGCTGGTGTTGAATTTCATTTGCCATTTTTCTCACCACTCTTGCAGTTTATTTAAATCCTTCTGTAGTGCATTTGCATCCTGTCTGGAATTAATCTGCCGCCCTATTTTGGTGTCGTCCGCAAACTTGCTTATGTCACTGCTGATCCCAGTATCTAGATCGTTTATGTAGATTATGAACAAGAGTGGGCCCAGTACTGAACCCTGGGGAACCCCACTGGTTACACAACCCCACTCATATTTAACACCATCTATGCAACGACCCTTAACTTTTCTCAGAAGCCTCTGATGCGGTACTCTGTCAAACGCTTTGCTAAAGTCTAAGCAAATAACATCGTAATTTTGTTAGACAAGATTTTCCCATTGTAAACCCATGTTGAGAGTCGTAGATTAATTTGCTTTTCTCTAAATGCGTTCGGATGCTATTTGCTATAATTGATTCAAGAAATTTCTCCCCTACTGACGTCAAACTAATCGGCCGGTAATTTGACGCTGATGCTCTGTCTCCCTTTTTGAATATGGGTACTACATTTGTCTGTTTCCACAAGTATGGCACAACTCCCATGTCTAATTATTTTGTAAATAAATTTACTAGGGGTTTGCTAATCTGTTACTGGTTAGCCAGTGCAGTTGGCGAGTTGTCCGGTTTTCTCGGACTATTCTTTGACACTGGGTCATGCAACTCTTTAATTCAGGGTGTGGTTGTTGCATTGACGACAGCTTCTACATCTTAAATAAATTCACGCCTCGGTGGCTCTATGGCCGGCCATCCTCGTACACGAGGGGCAACCATTATTATGTGCAAATTGGTAGTGGCGTGAAATAATTGTTTGAGTGCCATCCTCCCACTCCCCCACTGAACCAACTAACTCGTGTGAAAAGAAATGTACTGTATATTCCCTTTAAGTGTTTACCCTTAGGACAATTATTTCTTTTACTTTTTTCACAATATGTATGTAGGATGGTGTGTGTATGTAACCGAGTAAAAATAAATGGAGAAATTTACGTATAACTACCCAAAAATATGAGTGGAAAAACGATTATAACACCTTACGGCTTGGCCCAGTAGCCTGGTGGTTACAGTGACGAGTCTAACCTAGCTTCAATGCCGCCAGTGATGTTAACAGATGCAAATGTGAAAAGAATGTTATCTGTAAATCTTCATTTGTATCATGTATTTGTAGGTTTAAAAATAAATGTTGCAGGTTTGGCATTAGTCAATTGTAATACTTCACTTGTAAGAATTCAGAAATGGTTACTGCTCAGCTACCTCTGAATAGTTGTGTCTGCTGTACGGATGTTAATCGTCTCGGGTTAACATCATCAGTACAGGAGTTATAAATTGACCTTTTGTATTTACTAATTATTTTTTTAATAATTAAAAATAAGGAATCCAGTTTTTGGTGTTAAAATTATGGTACCTGCATATAAGGTTATGGTACAGTAAACACCCCTACATTATTACAATCAATAAGTCTAATAAAAAAATACTGTACAAACAGGAACATTTATAGAGGATGAAATAAAGGGAATATTTGTTAAAATTCTTTATTTGCCGCCTAGTCAGTCATATATACTACACGATGCCCAAGAAAGATAAATGGTGCAAACTGATTTATTTTGTAATGCTGAGTTACAGAAATCTTATAACAAACTTATTTACATGGTAATACCGTACTGTGATACTTATAATCGTTAACTATTTATTCCACTTAGGTGGACTGACTCATAATTTTAATATCAATCTTGCAAAAATATTAAAGAGCACGACCTTGATATTTACTCCAATGGAATTGAATGTAAGCCTAGAACAGATTACTGTATTGGCGGACTAACCTACCAGCCGATGAGCAAGCCAAAACATGTTGACATTTTTTAATTTTTATTTATTTTTTTATAGAATTTATTAAAAATTATTATTACTACTACAATTTTGCTGCTGTGCCCGAGTGGGCTAATCCCTGTAAAAAAAAATACTCAACTACACCCTGCACCGTAACACATGGTGTGTTTATTTAAATACATAACTACACTATGTATACTGCATTTCCTTCATCCATGCTCACTTCTATGACGATTTTACAGAATGAATCTCTATCTATTCATCCATCTGAGTGATATAGTTTAGTTACCCATATTAGGTTTTCTATGAGCGAGGCGCGCAGTGTGACTCATAACAGTGTATAACCGCCCAGGTTTTGTTTTGGTGTGTGAAGGGGAGTTGCTGGGAGAAAATGTTGAACCAATATATTCAAGAACTGGAGCAGGTAGGAGAGATTAATGAACGTTTTAGTCTAGTTCACGTCATTAACTCAAGTGTAATTAAGGTGTTATATGGTAGGTTGTCCAGGTGTTAGTAAGAGTTATTTTATGAGCGGACACCAGATTCTTGTAAATGTTTCGGGCAAGAATGGGAGACAATCACATGTTAACACCAGGAATTGGAAAGAATTAACCAGGAATATAAATGTTAACTAAACTGCTATCACTAGAAATTGGTTGTTGATTTTCTTTTTCTTTTCGCAATACATATTAATTGGATGAGTTTAAGTATAATAAAAAAAATGACATTTTTCTATTATGATTTTAAGGATTTTTTTTTTTAAGAATTTTTCATTTACTCTATCTTACGATCATAAATTCCTTGTTAGTGGGCAGGGCATGAAGGATGAGGGAAATTACTGGGTAAAAACACGGTGAACGCTGTTGTTATGGCATTAAAATTATGCCTCTAGGTGCATTTGTGACGCCACTAATCATTTTCTTACATTTCAAGAGTCCGGCAGCACATTTTCTTAGGCTCCGTCATTGTTCGTTGTTGATATAGATTCTGTACCATTAATCCTGATCCTTTAAATACAATAATTACGCATCTTTACTAAATTTACAATACATTAACACCAGTCTATTGTTCTTTTGTTTGGTTATTAAATACATTTAGCCTTCTTTTCATATGATCAATATAGAACCAATAAATTATGTGTGTCATATTTTAACTTTTACAGGATATTGTAGACTGATTCCATTCTCTTTTAATTGTTTTGAATAGCGTTAACAGTCGTCACACTTCTCTATTAACTGTCTCTCCTCACAGGGGGGGTGGGGGCATCATTTCGTCCTTTGAACATAATGGCGAGTTGCTAAGGTTGTGCATTTTCATATCGGGATTTATCAAAACTAGTTCTTGATGATCTCGCTTGATATCTTTCATTTGTGACCATGGGTTAATTTAGAACACTTGCAAATGTTCCAGATGTAGAAGAGACTTACTTCTTACATATTACGAAAAACAACAACTTTCATTGTTATACGAGATCCTACGATTATGTCCACAGACACGGTACAATTAATCGGTGCCGTTTCAAATATTAAGGTAAGTTGTTTAAGATTTCCATTTCTGTGTTTAATATTATGTTATTCGCATTATATAAAAATAATGTAGTTCAAAATTGTGCAAAGAACCTGATAGAACCTCACCCACAAACCCTGGGTATATAAGGTTAGGTTCTATGGAGAGTGTTAGGTCAGGTTCTATTAGGTTCTATGTTATCATTTCCATTTTTGCATATCATAATATTAGTGTGTAGAAAAATTTAATCAAAATCGTACATTTCCTTCTGGTGATAGCAGTTTCGTAAACCTTTACCGTGCTTTCTTCCATCCTGAAAATAGGGTAAATTAGCATTTGTCGGCCTAACTCAATTTCTTAATTAAAAACACACTTGGAAGCTGCCGTGCTTGTGTGTATCGCCGCACTAATGATATTATGAAATTGCACAATCTACTGATAAACACCTTTTTGGGGATACTGTATTATTATTATTATTATTATTATTATTATTATTATTATTATTATTATTATTATTATTATTATTATTATTATTATTTTTGTTATTATTATTATTATTATTATTATTATTATTATTATTATTATTATTATTATTGTTGTTGTTGTATTAATCTATTTAAGAATTTTGGGTATTATTATCATTTTGGTCATCCTGGAAATCTTAGGAATTTAGGTTAGGTTAGGAAGGCTTGGATATCTAAATAGAAGGATGACCGAAACTATAATTTTACAGAATTTTTTATCATCAATGTCTCCACCCATATTTTCTGAAGCTGATGATGTTGTTTTTAGAGAGTGTGAAATGGAATGCATAGTGTTATTAACGTATGAAATGTTCTGATTCCTGTTGCTCAAGTAAACAGCTGACTAAAGCACAGTAAACATGATGATGGCATTGCTTATGAAACAAAAATTTGTTTTATTTTGAGATAAGAAATAAATTTTGCTCTATAAATATTATTCATTAGGTTATGGGTTAATTTGGACCCTTGTTCTTAACTATTTCAGCACCAAACCTACAAAGTGAATAGGATTTGCACCTTATGTAATACTGATTTTGCAAAACTGTATAATGTATGTTCATCAATGTCCTACTTCCCACAGACACCAACTTCAATATTCACATTGCCAAGTTTTTTGCTTTATATTGTTCCATATACACAAATTTTAGAACATTTTTGTATAGAAAAGGATTTATGTCTTACTAAATTTTGTAATACAGGGAGCCTCCCAAATGCACAGGGGTTAGGTTCTGAAAATGGCCGTTAATCGCCAAATCCGCAAATAACATTTGTGTACAAGGAAATATATATTCCCTTTAGGTGTTTGCCCTTTGGACAATTATTTCTTTTACCTGTATTGTATATATGTGGGTGTGTGTAGACACACAGACAAAACACATACAAATACTGTAAATAATAATGGGAAAATCCTCTCACTAATAATCAGAAACAAATTTATTCAAAATGTGACAGTCTACCCTCAAGCCCATACAGTACTTTATTAATACAGTAATAAAGCACGGACTTGAGGGTAGACTGTCACATTTTGAATAAATTTGTTTCTGATTATTAGTGAGAAGATTTTCCCATTATTATTTACAGTATTTGTATGTGTTTTGTCTGTGTGTGTGTCTACACACAGAGGAACAAATTACCAGCAGTGATGAAGCTGAGATCATGAATGAAACCATTTGTAATTTATAATTTATGGATTACCTGATAATTAATCCCCCCCTGGCCATTTAGGGTGGTTAAACTTCAGGCTTCTTAAACTGAAGGATGACTTCGTGTGAGCACTTGGAGGGCTGAACTTCTGGTTATCCATAAAGGCTAAAATTACTAAGGGTTTCGTTTGTAGTCTCAGTATTGACTACTGTACATCCTACTTATCAGCTACCACTTCATTATATGATTTGTTGGAGATAAAATGAACGAGCCTAATCTGCCTGTCCTAATTCATTACATAGCCTAACCTAGATGCTGGTTGGGTAGGTTGGTTCATCTTAACGGTATATCCAATGAATCATACACAGTAATGAGGCAGTAGTCGGTCAGTGTTGGGAAGTACAGTATTCCTGTGGATGAAATGAAACCTCCAGAGCATCGTAGTATAGCCTGCAGTACACTAAGATTTCTTTCACTTCATGCTGTACAGTATTAAAGAGGTCCTCAGCTGCAGTATTATAGTATAACAAGGTATTAACTATTGATATAGGACCATATCCATCTTTGTGTCAGCAACAGACATGGTGGTTGGCTGCCATGTGTCACTGAAATGGTGATGCCACTGCTGCATATTTTCACCATACAAATACAGTACAGTACTCCTTTCACCATCAGGGTAGTGGCCCATGTCAATACGTGTACTGTAGTAGTTACTTTTTTGGTTAAAGCCCTTGTTGATCATGTGACAGTGACTGCCAAAAATGTGACTAATAAACTACTCAGCTCCTGTCCTGTGTAGAAGAAACAGGACTTGTATAAAGAAAGAGAGTTTCACAAATAGAGTAAATGTGTGTATGGCTGTGTAGCAATTCATAGTACTGTATCAAGACTCATTTAATCATTAAGAATATTTACTCTTCACTGTGTATTATTGTTCTCATAATACCGTTGATTTATTAATTGTAATAAATATGCTCTACAGTATTGGATTCCCAAATTCATTCACAAATATATTTCTTTCCCTTGTTGGCAGGATCCATTTGATGGCGAGGAGTTTGTTGAGAGACTAGCATGGAGAGTCAATGCTAGTGTGTCTCCTCCAGGCAGTACAGAGAGTGTCTTTAACCCTGACCTGCTCCATGAAGCCTTCACACAAGCTATTAAGTTCGTAACATGTAACTGTGAAGTCAATTGTTGTTGAAAGTGTTGAATTGACAAATACAGTACAGTATGGCTTGTAGTTCTAACATTACAGATGTGAAGATGTGTAATTGAATGGGCTGTTACTTACTTTATAGTATATAAAATTGCAATTGATATCGTTAGTTTGCAATAAACAAGGGGAAGAAGGGAAAGAATGTACTCAAACAATTCACTTACTACTTTTCATTTTATTTTATTTTATTTTATAATACTTTATTATACATGTACAGTATTATATTTTCTGTATTTCTAAGTAACATTGGAGCATAGAAATGACATTAATATTATATTTTCTTTACTGTATTTCCTGGGTAAGTTAGAGTAATGAAATGGTATTTCCACAACTTGTATGGTTTCTTAGTGTAAACAAACACTGCGGCAGTTGGCACTCGGCCACGAATTATGAATATTTGATGGCTATATTTAAAAAGAGCTACAGTAGTAATAGAGGTACCAGGGAATTTAAGAAAACGAATTTGTATTTTGTGAATTATGGAGACTTCACTCTACTGTATAAGCATAAGAACAAGTTCACTGAATTACTGTACCAAGCCTTGTGACTAATGTTCATTGTTGGCCGTTTAGACACAGTATGGGCTTTGTTGATAAATTGTATCAGATTATTTTTTATATTCCTATTTCCTACCATTTTTATTCCAGGGACCTGCAGGTGCTAGATGAGAGAACTGCTAAGAAGTGTGAACGTGTGGAGGCGGAGGTTCGAGAAGAGGAGGTCCGGCATTGGCATAATGTAGCACAACTCTTAGACAACAACAAGGTGAAAAAATGTTTCTAAATTTATCTTATTTTCCTTCATACTAACTGATGCATTGGTGCACAGTTATTTGTCATAGAGTGGTAAGTCATGTTACTTTTCCACCTACTAACTCTTAAACTGTGCAGTACAGTACAAATCTATGGTTACCTCTGCTATGCACAAAAAAATGTAGCTAATTAAAGATTAAAATTTACTTTCTTTGAGTACCCAGTACAGTACAGTACAGTACTTTCTTCTTTAGTAGAGTACTTGGTGAGGGCTATGCAGCTGATTATTACAGTCCATCATCCAGAGTGACAGTAAGTCACCCGGAGTTTAATTTAAGGCATCAAAATTTAAACATGCACCATCTATTGACATGTACAATGAAAGACAAAAATCATGTCGTGAAATGTGGTGAAAACATATGCCAAAGGGCTAAACTTTTGGTGCACTCTGCCTTGTGGTAGGGGACTCTCATAATGTTTCACGAGTTGTATTTAATCTTCGGACAAAACCGCGACACAACTTTTGTCTTTGATTGTATAATATAGCAGTGAAACATGCACCAAATATTGATATGGGAAGCAGTTTAAGGGTTCCTGGAAATTTTTATACCAAAAAAGGTGCTTTTTTTTTTTTAAAGAATGGAATTTGTAGTTTATTTTCAATGACATAATATTCATTTTTGTAAGACACAACTCTTAAATTAGTATTATTTTTTGTTACAAACTTCTCAGGATTCAAACATTCATATGAGTACAGCCACTGTTGTATGATACTTCTGAATGTTATTATATCACAGGCTTTTCAATGAAGTGTTCTTAGTTTTTCAGTACTTGAAAAAAAAAGTATATTATTTCACCTTGTAAAAACTACATTCTAGAGAAATTTCCGAGTTCCTCAAAACCCATGCTACTGTGCCGTAAATTTATTTATGGGTTTTACTTTTACATTTTTGTCACTTCAATATAATTTTGCCAAGATACAGTAATTAACATTGATATAAGATGGCCAGAGAGAAAATGACCCCCTAATTCTTATCATTGGGCAGCTTGTGAGTTATCCACCCCTCAGCAGTACAGTATATTCGTCCACCAAAGGCTTGTTGCACCTTGATAGCAGGAAAGAAAAGAAAAAATGTAACTTCAGAATTTTGCAGTCATTTAAAGATCTTATTTCAGGAAGCCTTCCAGAGCTTTCAAGATCTAGACAGTCACATCAATAGTGTAGCAACAAAGGTTGTTCATCTTGGTGACCAACTAGAAAGTGTCAACACGCCAAGATCTCGTGCAGTCGAGGCACAGCGTCTTATGAACCACTTCAGGGAATTTCTCTTGCCTGGTCCTCTGGTTTCAGAAGTATTCACTGACAAAACAAAGGTAAGGAAACACCCCGTATGTTAGATTGAAAATACTGTACTTAAAATTAGGAATTACTCAAAGTGATAAATGTACCATAATCCCTGATGTTTGACATGATTATATAACTGTACAGTACTATGATATAAAAGTTAAGTAACAAACTTTGTTATTTGATAATAGAGTCTATTTCTTATATATGATAAAGGCAGTGGATATTTTGCTGTGACCAGCAAAGTTCCTACTAATGCTATTTTACCGTGAATACGCTCTGATTTGCTAAGCGTCCCTTACTGGTGAACAACGCGAGAACTATATTTGAACGTGACTCTGGCAGCATTTGGCATTTATTTTGCTGTGAGTCGATCATAGTGTAGCTATAAACATACCTAACTATATTTCTGTTGTGCCTGGAAACTTATTATAAAAGAGGCGACATTTACTAGAACCTAACCTAACCAACCAAAGAAAACTTATGTAACCTTACCTAACTTCCTAGCCAGCAGGCAGACCCCGCCATATTAAACAGAAAGTACTTAGCCAATCAGAGCGCACTCACGGCAAAATAGCATTAGTAGGAACTTAGCCGGTGACAGCAAAATATCCAATACGTATGATAAAAGGATCAATGAAACCTTTAATCTCAGTGAGTGATTGTGTACAGACTCATAAACTACTGTATAGTCATAGAAGTGCAGCAGTGTTGTTGTGTGATGACTTACACTGAACTTGTAAAAGAAGAGTTCAAGTTTCAAATAGAGAAATATTTGCATTCTGAACATATGTTTTCAGATATACGAGGCAGCAGATGTCATTCAGAAGCTACACCTAATAGCACAGGAGCTCCCATCTGGCAAGTAAGTCATCCATAAATGTATATTTTTTCTGTAATGTGCATCAGGTACTTTTTATGAGACTGTTTTACCTGCTGTCTATGATATTCAATTCTTTCTTATGTACTTAATTGGGGTATGGTAGCTGAGTACAGCATATGCCTAGTTTACTCAGTCCTTCATTGTATGTAGTGAGTTTAATAAAGCCTCTGCCCCCCCTCCCCCCCTTGAGTTATGGCTGACATGATAGTTCAGCTGGTTGGTTCACATACAGTATGTGTGAAAACAATTCACATAGATTATGGAACCAGCTGTTCCCATCTTATGGGTTAGTGTTAGAAAGGGCATCCAACCTTAAAACTTTGCTTCAGGTTGCCTGATAGCAACCAGGTCACCAGAACTGTACCCATCCCCTGGTCTCTACTGCATTTTCTATGCTGGTGCAGTACCTGGTGAGCAGGGTGGGGTTTACCTAACAGCTGCCTTCAGGTAACCATAGCTAACCCACTCAGGCATGGAAAATGGCCATAAGATATTGATGATGATAATTGCAGTTTTGAAACTGATATTTACAGTTTGGATCCATTTATGTTCTGGTCAGTGTGTAGCAGAAGTGTTAAATACAGTGCAGTATAAAGACTATACAGTAAATCCTGACTCTAGGTTTTGTCATTTTTTTTAGGTTTGAGAATGCCAAGCAAAAGATTGCTGAGAAGTATGACGAGATTGAACGTTCTCTTATTATGGAGTTTGTCAAGGCTCACCGGGCAGGGGATAAGGACCGGATGAAGGAGATCGCCACTACTCTGTCACACTTTAAGGGTTATTCACAGTGTGTTGATGCCTTCATTGAAGAGGCACAACATGTAAGTTTTCTGGCAGGAGAAGCAGGATACTTTTTACATTATGAATCCTAGATGAACTCTTGTATTTAATGTACAGTAATTGATTTTCCAGATTTAGAATAAATTTTATATAATAGATTGTTTACATTTACTATATAATTATCCGCTAATCACTTGGTTTGCTTCTGCAGGGTGCCCTACGTTCCCGAGACCTCTACATGGAGGTGGTGCCACTCTGCCATCGGTCGGAGGTTCTTATACGGGAAGTGTTCACAAATCCAGAGCAGGTCATGGGAAAGTTTGTTCTCAACATATTCCAAGGACAGTTACAAGTAAGATTACTTCTTTCTTGTAGAGTCAAGATCTTGTACCGATAAGGTAAATCTTGAAGCCATTTGCAGCATTTTCAGTTGACATATTTTGATATTAATTTCTTCAGCACAAGTGTTTGATAATTTCAATGTTGTCCATCTAGGAATACATCCAGGTGAGGCTTGACAATAAGAGTGTGCCAGAAGTGTACTTGAAAAACCTACACGAGTTATACTGCCAGACCCTCAAGCTGTGTACGGATCTACAGCGCTTCAACCTGGGTAATGACTCACAGTTTCTGTCCAAACTCACCAAGTCCATCTTTCAGCGACACCTACACTCATATATCAGGTGGGCTACTGTGGTTTGTGTGAGGACTTTCTGAAATCAAATATGAATTAATTGAGACAAGGATGTATATATATTTTTTTAATTATAGATCGATTATGATGTTTCATTGTTTAATGAATATTGTTGTCATGTAAAAGAACTTATAAATACAATATCAAATTTTTTTTTCTAGTGTGGAGACCAGATATTTAAGAGAGAAATTCAATATGATCTTGAATCGCTACTATGAAAGCAAAGGTCATCAGAAGAAAAATATACAGTCTGGAGGGTAAGGTCAATAATGTGTCTTTATCTGTTGTTCTAAGGAATATTCTCATGTATCAAAGTGTAAGTTCATCTGATAAGGCAGTAAGAGTGAACAGTGACTGAAGGGATAAAGTAGTCTGTCATCCTTGATTGTGACCCCTTGTGTTTTTTGAGGGACTGGGGCTGCTTTCATGATGGTGTTAGTCTCGGGGAGGAGTCCTGTAGTAGGGAAGAGTGTACACTACAGGTATTAGGGTGAAAGAATTATACACAGTTTCAGTACTGACCTTCATCCATGGCACTTTTCTTACCTCTCTTGTTTAAGGTACAGTCAGTCCTCAATTATAAAAGCTGAGATACGTTCCTTTGAAAAAAACTTCCCAATTATCTTAAAATTCTCTTTAACATGTTTTTAATGACAATTTTTGGTGTATATAATGATTATAAGCCAATGATAAACATAATAAGGGAAATGCATGCCGTACAGGAATAATTTTATACTTACGAGAAATTGTAGCGCTTGAAACTTATTGAGAAACTGTGCTACTAGTTGTGAAGTGTGACACTGTGAGGTCCAGCCAAGACATGTGTTTTTAATTTCACGGTGACATTCCAATTGATTTTTTATTAGGTTTTATCCAAAGAAGAAATGCTAAACTTATTTTTATAACATTTTATTTATTCCTTCCACTGACAATAGATTAAACTCTGAGATACTAAACATGTTAGTGTTCCCATAGTTAAAATACCTTGAGTCAGCATCTTGCCACTGCTTCACCTAGTAAACCTTTGAGCCATGATAACTAAAGCTATACATGTGTTTTATTTTTTACTACTCTTAACACAATACAGTTCTGTAATGTTAGTTTTAGTGTAATTGTCTTTATAGACTGACCATGTCTGGTACATGAAGCCCTCAGATTCCTGTGTTAGCCCCTCTACACCTTATAGTGTTAAATTTTCATCAGCAAAATCTGAAGCATTTGCTGTTACCCCTATATGGGTGTCACACAGGTGTAGTACAATAATAACCATTTGCTGTATTAAAAGTAAACCAATCTCTAGTAAGAATAAAATGAGTATACCTTTGGGTTGTTGTTACTGCATAATGTATAATTTAGATGTTAGTCCCATCATCACAAGGTGTCAATGTACAGTATAGCAACAGAAGATTCATTAAAATTATTGAAGATAAGTTGATGTAGTTTGAGGTTTTCATCTTGAGGGAGAATATTGTCTCCCAGACTAGTGAGACTGTCAGTAATACTGGATGTGTCTGACAACACAATACCTGTTATATCATATATTTACCACAACTTCTTATTTCTAGTATTAATGACATTCGACGGAATATCCAGGACGTGATTGGCACCAAAGCTAACATCAACATTGGACCTGCTGTAGAAAATTATGGTGGAGAAACGTTTTTGTCTGAGGAGGTTGCAATCTCATTGCTTCAAGAGACCAAGCAGGCTTTTAAGAGATGCCAAATGGTGAGTAATATCAGATTAAGATCATCAATAATTTACTGCTATATGTATAAGTGATGGTAGGTTGTGTGAAGGAACAAAGTTAAAATAGATACTAGTATAATTTTCTAAGACTCAAGTAACTGCCTACCACAGTTCTAAGGTTCTGCTGCTGGCAATTTTTTCAGTGATTGTCACACATTCAGGTCATTCCTTTATATTCATTGTTTAAGAAGTTAACAGATATATTGGAGACAATGAAGATATGAAAGTTGTTTTGAAACGAAAGAAAAAATTACATAATGAAATTTGTCATTTATTTGGTGGCTTCTCTATTCAGTGTTGTACAGTTACCTCCCCTTGTAGTTTTTGTGCATTGACTTAAATCCCAAAGATAGACTCAGGTGTTTCAGATCACTACACATTTCAATGAAGGTCTTTGAGAATTATAAATGAAATGTTAAATAAGGGCGCTGAATTTTTTTCCCCGGGATTACACAAATCTTTACCCTTCTGACATATTTTAAGTCATGTGTTATAAAGCCAAATACTATTTGTGGTTTTCAGTTGTCCACACAGTCAGACGTCCACAATAATGCAGTGCAGGTATTTGATCTTCTCACAAAGGCTCTACTGATTGAACATGTTGACTATGCAATAGGCAAGTACAGTACTATATTGTTGTGTATTGTTGTTTTTAACCTTTAAGATCTTTCTAAACTTAACTAATTAAAGATTATGTTTAGAATTGGGGAAATGGAAGTTTAAATGTGAAATTATAAAAGCTTTAGGATGAGAAGCTAATTGATGGTAAAATAAAGTGGAAGAGTGTGGAAGCAAGTGAAGTAAAGAGTAAAATTTTTCATAAAAATGTATGGAACTTTAAGGAAATGGCAAAAATGGTTTAAGAAATCTTGGAAGTGTAAAGGTAAACTTTGCTGTTTCCAGGTTTCCATTGTCTTTATATACTGTAAGGCTTGATGCACTTATTCCATACTAATTAGTTAGGAAGGATATTAGGTTATTGGAAAGGGTTATAGAAGAATGATTTTTTTTTTATTTTGGACAGGATATCCATAACCTTAAGCTTGTATTTTTTATCCAGAACTTGGGCTGCAAGTCATTCCTGGAGGTGAGGTTCGGACACATCCAGAGATCAGTTTCTTCGAGGTGCTTCACCAGAGCAGCTCCATGATGAACCTTCTTGACAAGTTATTTAGTGACACACTTGTCCCTCTAGTTATGTAAGTCATAGGATTCCTTTACTTGGATATTTTATATTGTATATGAATGTTGATATATTTTTCATTATTTCAGGGTTTTCACTTTGAACAAGATGCTACCACAGCTGAAATCTGGGCCTGAACTAATTCTTTCATGGAACTAAATGGTTGATTTTTGGATTTAAAATTATTACCCTGACACTAGAGGCTGCAAGAGACTGTGCAGCATGGAGAGCTGCCATCAGGTAGTCATGACTAACCCTCACAAGCATGGAAAATGACTGTAAAATGCTAATGATGTATGATTTCTTCTTAGCTCTACACCCAAACATGGAGATTGCTTGCAAAAGAAGAAACAGTTAGGAACAAACTTGGAGCAGAAGTTGGACCATGGGCTGGACCGTACCTTATCAGCCATAGTCAGCTATGTTCGACATGTGTTGACAGTTGAACAGAAGAGGACAGATTTCAAGCCTGAAAATGATGACATGCTCATAACAAATGTTACAGTGGTATGTTATTTAGTTTATTACTTTTTTTTTCTGAATGTTGATTAAATGTTAAAGTTCAATGAGTATTGCAAATTATTGTCTTTCTCCTGCACAACACTGGTCTGACCTTGACAAATAAAACCTTGCAAACTTTTCTAACCCTTCACAACAGCGATGCCATTTTAAGTATTTTATTTGGCTAGAACCAGACAATTTTATTCAGCACAGAGAGGCCCCTATAGACAAAAGGTTCAGCACTTTTGAGTTATGGTTTAGTTTTTCATGAAAATTATTTGTCACCCATTGTGTTTCAGGCTTGTCAGAAAGTTGTACGATATGTGAGTGGAATAGCTGAGCGTATACGGGACTCCCTGGACGGTCATAACTTGGAGAGTGTACTCCTAGAGCTTGGCCTTAGACTTCACCGGACTATTCTTGATCACCTCATGAAGTTTGAGTACAGTGCAACAGGTCGGTAATATATTATTTAACCGTGTAATTCTCTGATAGCTTTTATCAGGTTATGGAAGATTAGAAGATGAGATTTGTAATTTATGTCGAATACATTTTCCAAATTTAAGAAACTGACAAAATCATTATTAGTATAATGAAGGTTTGGAGAAGCAGTGGTTTTTTTACATAATCATCATCATAATTCCATTTTATTTACATTTTCCTCACTTATATGAAGACTAATATTGACAAGGAAAAGTTGATGGAATTATGGTCAGGTAACTTGTACTGTACTTATTTTCAGGAGCAATGGCTGTAATCTGTGATGTGAATGAATATAGAAAGTGTGTAGCCAGTTTTAAGGTGCCGCAAGTGAACTCCCTCTTTGATACTCTTCACACCCTTTGTAAACTTCTCCAAGTCTCTCCTGAGAACCTCAAAATGGTTTGCTCAGGAGATCAGTTGGTAAGTAGATTAATTTGTTTCCTAATCATCGAAATGTCATCAATAGCAGAATGTTTTATGCCATACGTTTGTTGGTATGGTACAGCAAAACCTCTATAATTCAGAATAACTGTAACTAACCCTTATGGAAATGAAGGAAATTATGAATCATAATAAATACAGTAAACAGTGCAACATAAAACATAAGTCATGTAGTAATAATTTCTATGACTTGGCACAACTTTCTTTCTGTTTTGGTATTAGAGTATTGTACATCAGCCGGTGCCGTACAGTGTCAGGTCTTCACCTCCAGCCCAAATAGATGAGCCGCTGCTGAACCTCAGTCTTTTATTTGAAATGTTGCGTTATTTTATTATTTTGTTTTATGAGATGATTATTACTTGAATGTTAGGTAATAATAGTAGAAATGTTAAGTTGTGGAATGTATCCCAGGTTTACATTTATCATATGTAATTGTTTGTGTTTCATGGGACTTCTGTTCTTGCAAATTTTGAGGTTAGGAAATACAGTAGCTGAATTATAACAAATGATGAATTATAGAGGTTTTATTGTACAAGCTTTCATAGACTTAGGGCAGAGGTATCACATGGAGTCTCTGTTCCTGTATTATAATAATGGAAGCCCCTCGAAATCGAGGATGGCCAGCCCAAGGGCCACCTAGGTTCGAATTTGTTTAAGGTGTAGAAGCTGTCGCCAACACAACAACCACACCCTAAGTTAACGAGTTGCATGACCCAATGTCAAGGAATAGTCCGAGAAGACCGGACAACTCGCCAACTGCACTGCCTAACCATTACCCCGGAACACGATCCGCAAATCGATTAACATCCAGGTTCCCAATTACTGCTGGGTAGAGAGGCAAATGGCATAAAGAAACTTTCCCATAGTTTCACCCAGCCCATGGATCGAACTCGGGTCTGCTCGCTTGCGAGGCAAGGATGCTGACCATTACACCACAGGTGTATTATAACATGATGTCAGTCATGTGAACCTGGAGGAGATCTGTTGTTTGTTTTGACTGTCTCTCATCTTGTATGTTAGTAATCATGATATGGAAATCACACACCAGTTTTTCATTAGTGCTAATAAGATCTACATGAAATTAATTTAACAGGTACTGTACTGTACATACCATGAAATATTATTGTGAGTAATTATCAATATTGTCAAACTTGGTGTATCAGAGTCTTGTTCATGCTATTAATTTTGGCATAAGCATCTGTCATTATCTGTGAGTGTAGTTACCAGATGTAAAACAATAAGTGAGAAGGGACCTTAGTACATCGGTTGAGAGACTTATTAGTTTGTGTGCATGTGTATGATATAAACAGCATCGCCTTTCATTTCTATTTTCAGAGTGGTCTCGATCGCAACGTCCTCGCAAGTTTCATCCCATTACGCTCCGACTATAAAACGGCAAAACTTGGTAATCAACTCAAGTAGATGGCCACGTGAAGAACGGTATCTTGAACTGTTGTTTTGGAGATCCACTACAGCATCTTTATATATGGTTTTGATTCTCATCAAGTTACTTTAAGTGGCTTTAATTATGTTAGACCTTAGTTCTAAGCTTTAAAATTAGGCTGTGGCTACAACCCAGGTCATGCTTTCAAATAATTTTGGCTACAGAACTGGATATACCTGGCATGTGTACAGTTTAACCATTTATGATAGAAGACTCAAACCAACAAGGACTGACTTATCCAACCTAAGTCTTAACCCTTTCACAGCTGGGGGTTACTCTAAGCTGAATAAAATCGTCTGGCGGTAGCCAGAATAAAATGGCAAGTGCGTGAAATGCAGCGAAAGGGTTAAGTTAGGTTTGACTTATGTTCTCATGCTTGTTGTGGCTTACAGTACATAAATATTATTACAGTATGAGGAAGTGGGCCTTTTGCACACAAATGCCATTTATTTTGTACACAGGCTGTGAGCATACAAGTATTCAGTTGTTTAGCAAAAATGGAAGTGAGAGTTGGACCCATGGTGGAAGTCTCTTTCCTAAAGATATTAAGTCTTCTAAAACTCTTTCCAGGTCACATTAAATTTAAGGCTTATGAATCTAATGCAGATTGGTTTTTGAACTGTATTGATCACATTCCTTACAGCTAGTTAATATTATCTGCTGGGATGGTCAGTACATGTATATATGCATATAGATATACAGCACTGTTATACAGGGGGCCCCTCAAATTTGCCTGGGATATGTTCTCAAAATGGCTGCGAATCGCCAAATCCGCTAATAACATTTGTGGACTAGGAGGGGAGGGTATATTTTTACTTGTGTACAAAGAAATGTATACCCTGTATTCCCTCTATGTGTTTGCCCTTAGGACAATTATTTCTTTTCCCTGTATTGTATATATATGTGTGTGTGTGTGTGTACAGTAGACACACACACACACACAACACAGAAATAAATAATACAGTAATTGGAAAATCCTCTCAAATAATCAGAAACAAGTTTATTAAAAATGTGACAGTCTACCCTCAAGTCCGTGTTTTATTAATACAGTAATAAAGCACGGACTTGAGGGTAGACTGTCACATTTTTAATAAATTTGTTTCTGATTATTAGTGAGAGGATTTCCAATTATTACTTACGGTAATTGTATGTGTTTTGTGTGTGTCTACACACACACACATATTTACAATACAGGTAAAGGAAATTACTGTCTCTACAACGAATGGCTCCCTGTCCCAGCCACGAAATGCCGGCAACTTTAAAACTACCCACAGACATTCTTGGGTACATCCAGGGTGTCATCCGCGAATAATAGAGGACCGCAAAATAAAAAAGCGCGAACTTGGGGGCCCCCTGTACTGTATATATATATATACTGTACAGTACATGTATATGTATAAGAGACATGTATATTATAACTATGAATATTTCTTATCAGGCTATTGGTAATCTGGCCATACTTACCTTTTGTACTTCCCCTTGACATAAAAGGGCAATTGTTTTTTAGTTATGCATTTGTTAGGAGTCTCATAACAGTAGATTGAATTCTTACATAAAACGAAGCTTTAGTTCAAATGGCCCCATCCCATCAACCATTAGAATTTGAGCCCATTGGAATGGGGTCTCCTTTAGACCTAGAGGCCCTTAGAACTGGGCTCCAATCTTAATGATTTATTTAGGTTAGGTTGGGGTCCAGTTACCCCCAACAGTGGCACTATGGTAAATTTAGCACAACTTCTGAAGATTTGTCACAACATAAGAAATGCTAAGAGGACAGTACAGTATATACGACAGTAACACATCTCTATTAAACAGACTGCACCAAGAGGAAAGTCCATTATTTCAAGGGTCCGTTACATGTGAAAACCCCCGAACTAACTTATAATATGGAGGAAGAAGTTCGTTATATGGAGGTTTCACTGTATGAGTACGGCACATTACACGTACAGTATTAGTTTCATGGTTAAGGTATTCAATGCATTTTATATACATGATCTGATCCGAGAAATGGATCAATCAAATTACAGAAAAACCCGAATTTTTATATTCGATTATTTGTTCGTTTTCTGTTCAGGTTTTGCACCTTGCCTTGGCTGGCACGTAAAATAGGTAATCTATTTACAATTACTGTGCAAACAAAAATATTTTCTAAATATACATACAGTAATAATGAAGTAAATAATATAGTAATAAATAAATGTAACGCTTGAGGTGAACTGGCGAGGGGTGAGGTGCGATGCGAGGGATGAGGTGACGAGGCGAGTGGTGAGGTGACGAGTGAGGAGGTGAGGTGACATACCAAGACACTCGCACATTAACAACACTACTAAACCATTGTCTTTTAACATTTTATTTTATAATTTCTATTTAAAATTAATTGATACATGATGGCTCAACAGGGCTACTTTTTGCACTTAGACGACTGATCAGTGAAACCGGGGCATATGGAGACGCATTATACACTACAATAATATTTATTAAGTTCTGATAAATATTATTTACTAAGTGCTGAAGACAGACCCTGTGGTAAGCACCAACCTTTTTGATCAGTGACAACAATGGTGCTTGAGAGATAGTGGGTGCTGGGTCAATGGGACCAATCAGCTGTAGCTGCTCTGTTAACAAGGGACTGAGACCAATAGCGCATCTGGGATTGAGTGTGGGATATTTTGGGGGGGAAATTAATTATTTTTTGATAATGCTTTATTAACCTGGCACGAAATGTAGTTTTGTACAGTATCTTAAGATAATTCATATTCTATTCCTATAATTCTATTCCTATTCCTATTTCTTAATATATTCCTATAATAATAATCGACTTCTCGGCACCACTCGTTTATTTCAGATTCATTCCGAATTCAAATCATTAAATTCGTTTTGGAAAAAAACCATACGAATTAAGTCAAAATCCGAATTGTAACATTCAGAATTAATGAGGGCACAGCGTACACTATTGAGTTACGACCACATTGGGAGCTTTTGACGACAAAACGAAATTAAAAAATACCAGTGAAAAAGACCCACTCTGTTGACTCATGATTGTATGGATGACAGGATTAAGAAGTAGGGGAGTATAGAAAGAATCCATTAACATGTAAAGCGCTGTAAACAGTAGAGTACTTCCAAAACCTATGAGAAGTATAGTGTGTAATTCACAAAGGTGGGCAGTTGCGCCTCACATTTTTCCAGAAAGTTGCGGAACTGGTTGAGGCACAACTTTTACAAGCGTTTTCAAGCGCAACGCACAAACTTTTTCGGCAATTAATTGAAAATTGGAATAGGACCGCATAAACAAACGGGCATCCCTAGAGCCGCGCATTACAAAAATTTCTGTTTCTGACGGAATGATTCAGCATACACATGATACAGGTCGGGCAGCATATTTCTGAACTGTAATCCAGATGAGACCCCCCCCCCCCTCTGTCGCTCCCTCACTCCCCTTCCCTCGCTGTAGTTGCCAGATTTCATCTTTTACATAAACTCTAGAAACTAGAGTTAATGTGAAAGATGAAATCTGGCAACTACAGCGAGGGGAGGGGAGAGAGGAATGATTCATATCATAACCAGTCAGGCAGTCAGTAGCTTAGCAGTTAATGCATCAGTTTTTTGTTGTTTTGTTTCTTGTTATTACTAGTATTATGGATCGTTTTGTGAGGAAGAGTCTGTGGCCGGCAGCAGTGATCCTGCCGACCAGGACATGGACACGGAAGTTGAAGTGACTGAGACTGTTGACAGCCAGTCCATTGAGGCCAGTGTCAGTGAGTCAATTTCTTGGTAATTTTGTAATAAAATATTGATATTAACTTTTTTATATAAATTATATTTTGTTTTACTTGTAAATAGGCAAAAAAATATTTTAGTATTGTTTATTTTATTTTAGTTTTAAGTTGCTCGTTGCGGTTAAACTATTTCAGCAGAGTTACGGTTGCGGCGCAAAAAAAAAAAAGTTGCGCTTGCCCACCTTTGGTAATTTGCCTTCGGGGAATCACAAGCTAACCCACACAACCATGGAAAATGGCTGTAAAATGGTGATAATAATGATGGGATTACAAAATTATATTTAAGCATCTCATAATCCTCCACTGTTTGCTTTTGACGGAGAAAATTCATTTATCATAATACTGTACATATAGATACAGTATTGAGTAGAGCAAAAAAAAAAGTCTTGTGGTCATGATTGTATTCGCACTTCCTTATACAATACTGTACAGGGAGTCTCCGGGTTAAGAACGGGTTCCATTCCTGAGGACGTTCTTAAGTCGGATTTGTACGTAAGTCGGAACACATACTGTACTACGTGCATACCGTACTTCCAGAACAATGTTTAAAATCCCCCCATATCATAGTCTAAATCCTTATTTACATCTAAAACCACTTAATTTAAGACAAAAGAAGAAATTGAATGACAAAATACAATAAATGAAAGTAAAAAATAAGTAATCGGCTAAATAAAATACTATAAATTTCAAGTTTAATCCCGCTCGTATCGGCGGGCATTCGTAAATCACACGTTTGTAAGTCGGGGACCCTCTGTACTAATTATCTGTGTCTAATCATCTTTTGGCACTTAGTATTATCATCTGAGTGTAAGCAAAATACCAGTACAGTATATGAAACCCATCTCATGAGTGCAGTACTGATGACAGTTGACACTTACCAGGTACAGAACAGTAAGAACACTGCACATAACCTAGGCAGCTCCTTCACCTAATACAAGGACTCTCGCAACATCTAACTGGTAGGGATAAGTATAATATGTCTTTGAAATTCCTAAACACCAAAATACACAGGAGTATACAGTACATACACCCACTAACTATATACTGTACATAACCCACTAATTACTTATTTCAAGGTGCTTTACTTAGTTGCTGGTCATTTTGTATTCATGATTTACAGTCATTTTATACACACATTAATTTTTTAATTTTGTGTTGTGTACTTATTATTTAAGTATTAGGTTAGGTTAGGTTTTGTGGAGTGGGGTTTTAAGTTAGGTTTTGTGGAGTGGGGTTTTGGTAAGTTTGGTTTAGTTAATTTGGGTTGTCTTAGGTTGGGTAAGATAAGGTTTTATTGCTATATCATGAAATTTCAATTACCTTGAATGTATGTATGAAATTACTCGTGGGTCGATACAAAACAACCATACAATTTGAGTATGAAATGGCATGAGTATATTTCACTTATTTCCTGTAGATCTCAGCAATTAAGGACACATTTTTAACTCTCTTTTACTCTTTCTCTCCTTCCTTCCTCGCTTCCTTTGCTTATTATACATCACTTATTTATCTCTTCACATAGTCCCTGTCTCCATTGGTCTATCATCACCCTCTCTCCATATTTTGTTACATAAAAAAAAAAGAGAACAAAATGGACATAAATGCTTGAATCTATATGGATTTACTGTAATGAGGATGATAAGAAAATGAATAAAAGGAGCCTAGATATCTTAATATTCAGCTAAACAAAAGTAAGGTGTGGGGATGAAGGGTAACTTCGTGGGTGTAAAATTGCAAGTGATGGATGGAGGGGAGGAAGTGGAGAGGGAGGAGATCTGTCTTTGCTATAGAGTGATGAAGTATGGGGTATTGGACAGAGCCATTTGGGGTCTAATTGGACGGTAAAGACATACGGTACTTGGAATTGGTAATGAAAGATCGGTAACAAGAATGTGTAATGGGGAAAGTAGGAAGGAGAGGAGGTAACTGAAGAGGATGTGAAAGAGATGTTCAGTAGGAGGGTGAAGGACATCCAGGAAAGCGGCCAGTGTATGTATTGGACTCACTTGGTTGCATGAAGTGATTGGGATAAATTGTATGGAAATTTTGAGTCCATAAGGAAACACCAGAGCAGATCACATACAATAGTTTGAGATCTTATACAGCAGTTAGAAGTCTTATACAACAGATAGGGGTCTTATGCAACAGTTACAGGTCTAATACAGCAGATAGGGGTCTTATACAACAGTTACAGACCTTATACAGCAAGTAGAGAATAATGATTGGCATGAAATGATGGAAGTCTGATGCTCTTGATTCTAACCATCTCGCTCTCTCTGGGTTAATGCCCCCTCTTCCCTAGAGTACAGTACAGAGCTCACAAGCTGTTTCCTACTATGACACAAGGTGGTTGAACATAGACAGGTGCTGATTCCTTAACTCTTAGCATTCAGTAACTAGTATTGTGTAATAGATATTTAATGACAGTAATTATAACAGTGCAAAATACGTTGTTAATAAGAACTACGAATGTTATTTCCAGTAGAGCTGAGTTGCCAGGCTGTGTACATGAAAATGGGGCTTAAGACTTCATGAACTATGGTTACCCGGTACTATTTATAACAAGACTTTTAAGCTTCATCATAAAGAAGGAGATTAACTTATAGGTCACAAGTTTGATATTAATTACATATATGACCCCAAAAAATCATGATATGTATAACTAGTTCTTCAGATACCTGTAGCAATTGTAGACTTAAAATTGTGGTATCCTGCCTTAGATGGTGAATGTAAAGACTACTTACCAGATAAACGTAGAGGTGTGGCGTGAGTGGGCCTGCCATCAGAGGGTGCATCGGTATATTTAGGTTATTTTAAATTATAATGCTGTATATATATATTGTTTAATACCTATATGAATTTATATCATAGAGAGTTATTGAAATGAAAATATTAGTTGTAAATATAATGAAGCAAGTTTGACAAGTCATTTGGGTAACTCAGTACAGTATATCTGTATGGAGGGTGTAAGTGTGGACCCTCTGATGATGCCATGCCTGAAAGTAACTATTTTGTGTACTTTCTTTCTTATCAGATGGATCTTGTAATAGACTTTGCTTGGAAAATGTGTGGGACTGACATTGATCTTTTAATTAACCCATGAATGGCACTTTACGGTAAATTGACTGAGCAAATACTGCCTCCAAACAAACTTAAATGCATGGTGGTGAAGTTCGGACTCAGATGTTCGAGATGAATTTATCTTGCGGTTGTACAATAATGTTTTTTATAATTTCTATAGGACCATCAGTAAATATTTAAAATTTATTATAAGTGTTTTTCATGTCTTGAGCAATTGCCAAATATATATACACATATACCATATATATTTCATGTACATCCTGCTTTACTATGTTCTTTACAGTCTTCCTTATCTCTCTTCACTAACTACATTGAAACCCAGTGATGTAAGATTGACAAAAAAAGTCAGCATTTAGGTTCCTTCATAACCACTTGGTCTTGTACAGTCAGCCAAATAAGTTCACAGAGACCCATCAAGTAGGGCAACTGATCTGGTAACAATGTAAGGGGAGACAAGGAGTGGTAGGAGGGGACGTCCTCATTTGAGTTACAGGTACGGGTATGTCATGCATTTGGAAGTGAGGTTTTTACATCACTACCAGATCTTTTACCTGGCCCTATATTTGTTGGGTCTCTGTGAACTTATTTGACCAATTGTACCTTCAGGAAATGCTTCAAGTTTCATTGAATAATTATTTTTCTCCATTGTCATTTCTTTTCTCTGGTGTTTTTGTTATCTTTTCCTGTTAATAGATCACCTTCAATCAGTGTATGTCTAGACAAGAACAATAACATTTTCATATTATAAGTAAAAAATGAACATGATAAAAGTATTTTATTAACCTGTTAAAAGAGAGCAGTACTGTTGATTCTCTCTTACCTCCCAGTTAATGACATTCAGCCACCATTTAGTTGTCCAGTTAACCACAGACCCAATTCTATTATTTCAGGATATTTTAACAAGAATCACATCGTGGAACAATGTAATAATCATAAAATGATAAAATAAAATAATTTCAAATAGACTGAAGTTCAGTGGCATCTCGTCTCTTTGGACTGAAGTTCTTACACTCTACAGTGAGAGCCCCTGGAGGTGCCACCATCCATGGCAGGGCTTCTGGGGGTGCCGACATCCTTGGCAGGGCCCCTGGGGGTGCTATCATCCCTGGCAAGGCTCCTGGGGGCACCGACGTCCCTGGGAGGGCCCCTATTGAGAAGTATCTTCAGCCTTTGTTGAGAAGTACCGGTATATGATGTGGTGGGCTTTTAAACATTTATCTGTAAGTACGGTATGCATATAACATGTGTCCCGATTTATGTACAAATCCCACTTAAGAACGTCCTCAGGAACGGAACCCATTCGTAACCCAGGGAGCCCCTGTATAGTGGCGTACAAGCAACTGGGAGTGTAACACCTCAAATTTTCAATTTAAAATTTAAGTTTTAGCCTATACTTGCCACATAAGATAACCAGTAATGAGTAGTCCTCGCCAACCATCTTCACTCCCACTGACTGTCAGGTCTGGTAAGCAACGCACCCTAAACATCTAACTTACGGCTGGGAGGACTGATATGGGCGGTAATTCTTTGAAAAGACCTTTGTCCCCAAAAATTTTTTATGCTGGGTGAACTCTAGCAATTTTCAGTTTATCAGGAAAGACACCACTAGTGAAGGAGGAGTTACAAATGTGTAGGAGAACAGGTAGTAATAAGTGGGCTACTTTCTTAATGATGCTCATTGGTATATGGTCTTCGCCTGCTGCTGCATCTTTGGACATTTTTATGATGGCCAATAATTCTTCTGCTGTGACAGGGGATAAGAACAGCTCATTTTGCTGTCTGTTTTGTAGGTAGGCTCTAAATTCCTCATGGTGATCAGTGATGCTCTCTGCAAGATTTATGCCAACATTAATAAAATAATCATTGAAGTGGTTGGCAATGGGGGAGGGTTCCGTTACAACTGAATCATTTATCATAAAAGCTGAGTGGGGGGCCGAAGGCTGAGTGTTCCTGTCCTGAATATAATTGATGATATTCCAGGTTTCCTCACTGTTGCCTGATGCTGACTGGAGCTCATATATATAATATGGCATTTCTAACTGCTTGACTTACTCTATTTCTGATACTTTGGGAAGCATCACAGAAAGTTATGGGTCTTTTTGCAAATTAACTTTGGAGTTTGTGTTTTTCTTTTAGTATTGCCTTGACTTCACTTGTGATATAGGGTTTGGCGATAGATACAGTTTTCATTGACTTACTCTTGAGGGGAAAGCATTTATCAAAGCAAGCATTGAAGATGCATGAGAAGTTGCAGGAGCTCACATTAGGGTTGTCCGGGGCAAAGATTTATCGTAACAGACAAATTTAAGTTATGAAAGGGATAATATAATTATTAAGCAAACTGAGTAATTTAATAATATATATATTAAGTATTGATTAACATAGTTAATTCGGTACATTACATAACACAAGTAAAACACAACTATGCATTTATCAAAACACACCAGAATATTACCTGATTATTCTTACTTTAAACATTAAATACACATACTATATACAACACAAAAATGGCAGCAAGTCTAGGTTGAGATGGCCAGCCACAAGGAACCAGGGATTACAACCTTAGTCCACTACCATTAAACCATCACAGGAGAAGAGGAACACTGTAGGCCGCAGAGAAGAGACCTGCATGCTTATAACTGAAACATTCAAGATCCATTGTGAGTGATGCTAAAAGCTTCAACTGTATTTAATTTCAGTATATTTGTCAGGTAAGTCGAGTGTTGAGTTTGTAAGGGAGAGTAAAGAATCCTGACATATTTCTGTGGGACATGGGAGAGTACTGTATAGTATCCCCATTAGTTACATAGCTTATTAATTGTGTTATAATAGTGAAATTTCTTCGCAGATTTCGTATTAAATATAACCCGAAATTAACGAGTTTATAAATCAATGACATTATACAGGAAGGCAACTTTAATATACTAGATTTATTTATTTTATATACTACAAACGAAATTACTAAAATGACAGCTATGTACGTTAAATCAACCAATGGGAAGCTAGTTTCAAAAAATGCTTTGATTTCATTGGCTCATTTTGGCGATATATTAGATTGAGTGAGAGGAGTCGGATGCGCGCACAGCTACACCGTCTGCACAGAGAAGGACCAGCTGAGCCTGCCATTATTACCATCTCTCTCACAACATAAAACATCTCCATGGCGACTAATAATGAAGCGTATGTTATCCTCTTACCAGTACCTTGTTCATCTTACCTTAGTGCTAAACGTACATAGTAGTTATTTATGGTTAGGTGAGTGTATGTGTGTTGGAAAGAGATAGGCGTATATAGAAGACTGGGTAATATCTGTTTATCAGGAGCTATATGTCTCTCAGGAAGAGGTTATTACTTATTTAAACCATCTGATTAAATATGTCTCTAGTATGACTCAGACTATATATATATGTATTGCTGTCAATGTTTGTATATACTTGAGTATAAATATATCCTCATATTTCGCATGTAATACAATTTGAGAGAGAGATCAGACAGTGTAGTATCATTTTATAAAAGTAGAAATAGTTTGAATGTATTAAGGACATCAAAGTATTTATCAAGATGACGGCATTAGTTTATCTCTTAGAATTCCACTTCACCTTATAAAAAATAAAGGTGAAATTTGGGAATTTTTCACTTTATGGTTTTAGTATTTTTCAGTTATTTTTCAGCGGATTTTAATATTTTGAACACTGTCCTCACCTAACCAAACCTTCAGTAACCTAACCTAACCTTTTAAAACCTAACCTAACCTTTTAAAACCTAACCTAACCTCTCTAATTTGAAGCCCCCTGGACTCTGTTTGGACTCTGTTTTTGTAGTTGCGGCCATCAAGTATTGCCAATAATTTTGATTACCCTTAACTGTCAGTGTTTGTGTCGTGGAACCTTACAATTGGTGCCGTGAGATCCTTGGCTGGGTTTGTTTCGGCACTACTGGGACTAAGCCATCAGTGGAGTGTGTCAGTGTCATCCAAGCCTAGTCCTTCATATTGCTAATTGTGTTGTTTATTTTATTTGATCATTATTTCACCATTTATTAGCTTATTGGTATTATTTTTAGGTTAAGTTTGGTTAGGTTACATTAGGTTAGGTTGGTTGGTTTAGGTTAGTCTGGGTATCTAAATACGGGGATGACCAATTTTACCGGCGTACTAGCATTTAGGGTTATACTGTATGTCTGTTCGTTATTATATGCTTTGTTACAACCTTTATTGTCCAGTGTAGTTGGGTTCAGTAGCCACTTGGGTCTGATGTGAGATGGATGTTGTGCCGTGTGATTTCCCGAACATCAGAGACTTTCTAAGTTTCTGCCGTCTCTTCCCGTACAAACACCGGATCTTTATGGGATGGTCCTCGTGAAACCTCCAGGGAGACATTCAGTTGTTAATACACCAATCAGTCATCAATTTTTTTGCTTTTCTCGCACAACGACTGAGATTTTTCTTTACACGAGTTGAACTTTAAAGGATGAATTGGCATGGGTCATATTGATAATTACCTGGTTTGATACTTGGGTATTTGCTAACTGCGAGATAAATGTAATCATCAGTAAACTCTAGCTTAAGACACCGTTCTATTCAGAGTTTGTAGTCAAAGGTCAAATAACCTAAACACAAGAATCTGCACAGTGTCAGATTTAAAGTGCATGCCAAGATTCAAGATTGGTTTCAGGATTTTGACCGCTTTAATCTCGCTACTTTCCATCCACCTAACCTATCACAGTGTATCATTTGCCAAGACTGAGACTTTGAGAATTTCTTTTAAACTCAGATATTTTACCTTAATGTCTTCCAAGTAAAGACCAAGTGATGGTGATGCTTACAAAATTCATCTATAAACTTTTTCGGAGTGAGAATTGTGAACTCTTGGAACAATCTGCCAGAGTGTGTTGTAATGACACTGAGTGTGAGCTCTTTCAAGACCAGACTTGACCAACACTGAGGCAGGTGCAGGTACATTCAGGAGCCGGTGCATGCCCAGTATTTGCCAAGAGTGTGTAACAGAGAAGTGACCGACCACTCGAGCGGCTAACGAGCCTATCAGTGGTGAAGAGGATAAAAGTACAGTACTGTACAGTAAAAGTTTAATGAGACAACTGGACAAGCATTGGGCAGATTGAAAAACTATTCCTTATGGTGATGAAATCAAAGTGAAACTGTCCCTGACATGACAATGTTAATTGATACTTAGTTAATTTATACAGGATTGGCTGTACAATACTGAACTACGGTGCTAGTCTTACAGAGGAACTGATAGCCTTAAATGTTGGTAATTGGGGCATTGTTCCATCCTAGTTTATCTTTATCTTTATCATCAGATTCTGAATTAGTTCATTTGAAATGCTTAAATTATCAAGACAGTGAATGATATGCAAATTTTTTTTCTTTATTTCAGAATCTTGGAAGAAATTGAAGCATTGCAAGCAATCATGTTGGACGAGGTGAAAGTCTTATATGGAGATGGGTAAGTAAAAAATATTGCTTCTCATTGTTTATGTAACAGTTGAGAAAAGTCACCAGTTGCCCTTTGAGCTGGATGATATAAGTTATTATGAACAGGTGAATAGATTGTTGATGATTCCTACTGCCAGTATGTGTACACACAGTATTTCTACTTGCTGTCATAGCACTTTATTGCTGTTCTCTATACTGTACTTGTCTGGCACCTCTTCCTTTCTACCATTTGATTCACCACATAAAAAGTGGAGGGGTGATGATGACATACAGACTGTACAGTAGATGCCAGGCCATCATGTAGGTGAATTGTTCTATTTCCATCTTGGCTTTCAAGATATTGTGTGTTGTTTACTCACAATTTATTGGGCTTTGGCATCTTACTAAGCATTTATACTCATTATTATCACAGGTATTATTTTGGCCTTTTCAACTGCTCAAGAAATTTAGTCTTCTTAAGGAGTTGTCATAGAGATGGTTAAAATTGATACTGTACAGTACTTTTAGATTACAACTGGTTGATGAGTTTTTGGACATTTTCAAGGATGAAGGCCATTTGCACCCCAGTGTGCATGTAAAGGACTAGTGGAGTGATTCAATTTTTTAATATTTTGGAGAGTCATATCAGAAAACTGTGATGATGAATTTTTCTGATATACTGTAGAGTACTGTACAGTATACCAGGACAAAGGCAATAGGTACACTATTTCAAAAAAGTATGTGTCCACACACTGTGATATATTAGGAAACCACGGAGGATAGATACTGAGACATGCATTTATTTTGGTATGTAGTTTAACAAAAGTACTAAATGTGTATTTATTTCAGTATAATTAATATGGTGTTGGGTTACCAAATGTAGAAGGATCAGTAGGCCAGAGCCACACATACCAACCCTCCCGGAACACCACCAGATACATGTAGCATTTCTGAAGTCGTCGGACCCATCCTGGCAGATATTTTTTGTGATACTGGACCTGAAATATACTTGTGTAGGAATGAGGGATTTGTAATGCAGGTACTGTACTTGTTTTCTTCTTTATTATGGCAATGGTCTCAGGAAATTACAGGACCATAAGGATCTGACTTTATTGTCATAATCATTATCATAAAATAAGTATATACTGTAAAGTACTGTATGTTATTTAGTTATTTCACTCTAAGTTAACTTTGCAGAGGTGTGCCAAATGGGGTAGAGGTGGTGGTAGTGCCAGCCACGGCCCAAAACATTGAGGAGCAGCATGTGAGAGTGACCTTAGTGTTGTTACTGCCCCCGGAGTACCCAGACACCACTCCTTCGATATTACTTAGGTCAGAAGAATTTCTCCTATTGTACAGAATGAGTCTACATTAGCTTAAACCCCTTCTCAATGCAGTTGACAGGGAATATACACTTATTTTTCTCTGCACTTTTAGACATTCTTTTCTGCTGTGTTGGCGGTGGCTGGAGCAAAACAGACTTTCCCTCATTCATTCTTCCATACTGCTTTATTAGTTATGTTGTATTCCAGCAATATAATTGACCACAATGGTTCTTACTCATGTAGAATTATTTATTATAAGTATTGTCTGCTAATACTCAGGAAATCAGTTGTTTGTTGAAACAAGCTGTAACAAGTCAAAAAGCCTCAGGTTTAGATCCTTATTACTCTCAAGAAAGTCAGAGAATGGTGTTACAGTCTCTTGTTTTCAACTTCAGAATCCTTTACAGAAGGGTCTTCTGTTTTTCACAAGTACAGTACAGTACTTAGTCAGTTTTTACCTTTTGAATGCCTGTTACTTCGCACTCAGCACCCCTCCGACCTCATTAATACATCATTATGCAATTTGACCATATTTCACATATTGTTTAGATTTATTTAGTCCTGGGTTAATAAAACATTATCGTAAAGTAATAACTTTAAAAAATCCCACACTCAACCCAAGATTATTTATATGTGGTATTAAATTCCTGGTTCTTTGTCAACATAGTGCGGTTACAGCCAGTCCGATGCCTGCTTGTCTCCATGTTGGTGTAACCCACACAAATTTATGAGAAGGGAAGGAGATGTTAATGTAATATAGAACTACTTTTTGTGTATGATGTTTTGTGGATGTTTCTTGGCCGCTGGAACCAAACTAATTATTTCCATTTAAATTAGTTAAACTATAATGTGTGATTTTATAATTCACGATGTCTTCTTGTGCCTAACCAGCAAATTATCGAGAGACTCCACTGTAAATTCCAAAGGTAAAATCTTTAAGGGTTCCTCCTATTTTTTTTTTTTTACTCCTCTCTGACTGAGCGGCCATTGGTAGTTTGTGCAAGCTTATGTTTCATGGGTATTTAAAAGATTGTTTTTTCAGGAATCCACGAGGTGTAGATGATTATGTTTTGGAAAAGATAAAACAAGAAAGCAGACAGAGGTGTGAAGAGTATTTAGGCTGTCCGGTAATATATGAACTCATTGAGGTAAGTTCTAAATAATTTCAGGAACTTTCAAACTTGTTGATTTAGAAGATGCTAATGTTAAAACTAATTAGTATACAGGCAGTCCCTGAGTTATGAATGGGTTACGTTTCTGGTCCATGTTCGTAGGTCAGAGCGGTGTTATTTCCTTAGGTTAGGTTAAAGCATAACCCTGCCCGTACAAAACAACAATAATGTCCTTTAAATATTGTACATAAAGTGATTTTAGATATCATAATGTTCTGTAAAAAACATACAATTCTAATTACCTTAACCATTCATAAGTATACCTGCTAATGCTCATAGGATGGAACAACTTTTGTGGTGAATATTTTTGGGGTCCCATTTGTAAGTATGGGTGTTTGTAACTCGGAGACTGCCTATGCTGTATTTTTATTAGATACAGTAGTTACATTAGATTGGTTCTGCTTAGGTGGTCATGTTTAGTAAGCTCATTAGGTATGTTATCACTGAAATAATCAACCTGAGGGACTTATCTTTCTTGTTTGATAGAAGACACAGAGTTAATACTATACAGTATACAGTACAGTAAATGGATTTGGATTCAACTGGGCAGCAAGACAAAGTGGTTTCCCATGAGGGAGTGTCCTAGGCCTGATTTTATTGATGTTTTTCTGTACATCATTAATTTACTTGCCTGTGTGTCTTTCAATGTACAGTGTTTCATTTTGTTGATGATTCAAAGTTGATCCATCATATTCAGTTTGACCAAGACCATATGTACAATGAAAGACAAAAGTCGTGTAGTGAAATGTGGCGAAAACATATGCTGAAGGGCTAAACTTTTGGTTCACTCTGCCTTGTGGTAGGGGGCTCTCATAATGTTTCACGAGTTATATTTAATCTTCAGACAAAACCGCGACACGACTGCCAAAAATGGTTACATGAATTATTATAGGAAAATGAGCTAACTGAGCTGAGTTAAGAGAACAGAAGACAAGTGCTTGGGTGTCTTGGTTGACAGGATATAAACAGTGAAGTCAAGAAAACAGACCAGAAGATAGATCTGAACTGGTGATCACTTTTTCACCTAGATATAAAAAACAGTAGATGGTTAAACAAGGCCTGTTTTTGCCCATATTTAAAGTATACAACTGCAATAAGGCATTACAACAAGATGAATGGGGAAGGGGCCATGGTCAGGGCAGGGCCCAAGTCATTCGTAATCCTTCCTTGGGTGTTAGACCATTTTAAGGTGATAAAAATATTGAAATTTCAGTTTTTGTGTTATGATTTTATTTTCTCGTTCAAATAAAGAAAATGTGTTTGTAATACAGTATTTGTTTGTGTGTACAGTAATGTACAGAATATCCTGTAGTTCATGATTTCTCATAGGACTGGAAATTTAAGTGTTTAGCTCTTTAATATTTTCTTTATCTTTATACAGTATTATATGGTAGACTATTTAGAATTCTATCAGCATGAAACAAGTTGTGTATTTCAATTTTCTGTAAAAAAAAAAATATTTGTGGCGTCTCCAACCAAGGTTGTCCGCGAGAATTTAACTGCTAACAACACTCCCAGCTGCCCCTGTGCCATCTGCCTCCACCACTTCACTGACAGTGATGTTTTTACCAAGACTCCATGCTTCCACTATTTCCATTCATATTGTCTTGGCAGGTATGTGTGCCTGGATTGTGTATAACAGTTAACTGAGAGAGATGACTAATAACACCATTGTGGAGTGAGGAGGTGCAAAGGGCCATTAATGGGTTGGGTAAATCCACTGTGGTAGGACGGGATCACACTTTAGGAGGGTGATCAAGTAACCTCAAGATAGGGAGGAACTAGTGTGGAGATAAGTGTAGGAAAATTAGAGAGAGAGAGAGAGAGAGAGAGCATCAGTAAGACCAGCTACATCAAATAGAGACACACACACACACACACACACACACACACACACACACACACACACACACACACACACACACACACACACACACTCACTCCCTCCCTCATTCCCTTAACTTCCATAATACAAAGTAATTCATTAAACTTATTAATTTTAACAATCCTCAGCAGTTCATTATGCCTGCTGAAAAGTTATATGCTGCATTCACACCCCCCCTACACTACCACATACACCGAAAGAAAAGTATTTATATGTATAATGCATATGGGTGAGCATAAAAATAAGGTACAGTACTGTAATATGTCTGTGGAATTGAGTGAATGTCTCAATTATACAACTGTAAGATGAAAAAGGTGTGGAAAAAGATTGTAAACTATTAATCTGTGCATAAACTAGATAACACTGTATGGTAAGGATAAGAGTAGTCAGGGTAATGAAGTCAGACACATTTAAGTACACTGGGAGATGAATAAGCAACATTTGTTTATATACAGTTAATCTCCAAACTAGATCGGTTTTATTGCAAGCAGTTCTATGAATTTTCCATCTGTACTTGGCAATATTTTAAACTCACCCTCTCTGTTATGTGCTGTTGACAGGTATAAAACAAACTGTGAAGAAGAGGCTGCAGCAGAGGAGGAAGAACCACAGCCAGCATGGATGGCCAGAGAAAAGAAACAACTGATGTGTCCTGTCTGCCGGGACCCCATCCAGACTGAGGTACAACACATGCACTGTATCTGGGAATTATTGTATATGTTTATTGAAATTCAGTACTGTATTGTGAGAGTTGTATTTATTACAGGTAATGTAATTTTATTGGTGAGGGCACAAGGGCATGTGTATAAGGAGGGTACATAATCCTCCACACACTGGTCAGGAGGAGCTGGTGATGGTTGATGCTGGGTTGTGGGAAGTGACCCAATAGATATTTGAGGCTTTGTTTTGGATGAATGACACTAAGTGTAGGGTAAGTCTGTGTCTCAATCTGGTCTCCATTCCAGTCATCCTAAATTAAACCAGGAAAAGGATTAAAAAGAGTACAGTACATGTGTAGGATTAAATCTGTCTTTTTATCATGTCAACATTGAGAGTGAATGTTACTATATATGTTATTTTGGCTAAATAATTAGTTAGCCAAAGTTATAATTAAAAAAATATATTTAGATTACTGTGACATGGGTGTTGGGGAGTCAGGTCATAACACTCTTGTGGTTTACTCTTGGGCCATCAGTTGTAACAACAGGTGATCTGGATCTTGTAAGTCTTGATGAAGGCTTTTAAGCATAAAAATGATAGACCTTGTGGTGTGAGTTTATTCATTCTCTTTGTACTCGGCCATAGATTATGTCTGAAGTAGACAGACATTATTATAACTGTCATAATTATTAATAGGAGTTGGTTACACATATCGCCTGAGATTGATAACCGTTAATTGACGTGATTATATTTCTTACAGCTTAACAGTACTGACCTGCTGTTAGCTCCCCCACCTGAGGAAGAGGAAGGTGTTGAAGACTTCAGAGCAGACAGTCCCGAGTTACTTGCTCTTCAGCAGCGAATGGCTGACCTTTATTTGCAACAGAAAGAAAAGGGAGGAATAATTGATTTGGAGGAAGAAAAGAATAAGTTCTTGCTTTCTTCAAACAGAGTAAGTAGTCTATCTGTCTGTATGAATTCAATTCCAAACAGTAACTTGAGAGGAACTTTGCTAGTTGAACAGACTAAAGATAAGCTGCTTCAAATCATGAATATCTGAACTGCATCTGATAATGATCATTTTATTTAAATATAATGATATTGTTGTTACAGGCAGATTCTTGTGAAGGACTAGAAGAGGGAGTCGAAGACGTTGCTAGAATTAATATTCCCGATTCTCCTGTTGAACCACGACAAGAGGAACCAACTATTCCACCTCCCAGTAGGAGAGGTGGTCGTTCCTCACACCACAGATCCCAGGGGCAAAAATCCCAGGGTGGATATGGTCGTCAGCATTGGAGGAATATGGATCAGGGAGGAGATGGCAGGTACTGGTCTGGGAATCGTGGTGGGAGGGGTGTGAGTGGTAGTCGTGGTAGAGGGGGAAATAGTCGTTTTGTTTATCACAATTCTTCTAGGATCATCTCAGAACCTCAGGAATACAGTTCTGCAGACTATAAGACCACGTGTGTAATAGACAATGGGTATGGCACCAAAGGTCATGGCAAACGTGAGGGCAACTCCCACGAAAATGGCAGCATTTATACCTCCGGAGATAACCGAGCCAGAGGTAACGAAGTCGGCAATGGTGCGGGAGGAGTATGCAGAAAGGGCCCCAAAGGTTCTGGAAATCGACAGAGATACGGTCCCGGGAGGGGTAGGGGCCGTGGACCACCACCACCAGGGTTTGCCCCATCATCTTTCCGTCATTCCGCTCAAGACTGGAGTTGACGATTGTGGCTTGCAGGGTTATGTCCACCCTGTCTCTTCTTTACTCTCTGTCTTCTTGTCTATTTACCAAGTATTATGATTGTGACTTCTTTAACCTTGAAGTATTCAGCTTATTTAACTTCAAAAAAAATTAAATGTTATAGAAATAGTTTTGATGACAACTTTATGCTTGTTCATTCTAGATCAGTAGTAAAATGTGTTAAATGTGCGTATATGTCATTACTCCGTATTTCCTCCTTACTTTTCAAAAATTTGTATTTAAGATATAAGAGTAGCAATATCTTGTCATTTGACATAAGATACTCATCCGATTTTAGAATAAGAAAAGTCAAGATTTCCTTACTACTGCTATATTTACAACTTTGACAGGAAAAAAACATTGAGCACACTTCCCATATGTTGGGGGAGCAGTATAACATGAAGACCAAAGGCGGTCATGTCATCAGAGTCTTGCATAATGTAACACTACCTACAACAGTTTCCTCTCAACCATTTGGAGGCTCAAGCACACAAAATAAGCAGCTTTGTTTCACTTTATATTGTAAGTATCAGTTTGTATTTGGTTTATTGAAAAATTTTATTTTTTATATGCACAAAATAATTACTTTATATAGTAGGTTATTTATCAGATGATCAAGCGTTAGTTTATTTGTACATGATCTTCTGAATTCTTTTGTAAGGGATGAGGATTACTTGAAGGAATGAATTTCTTTTAATTTAGTAGTTAAAATTGGTGTAAATAGTCAATATTTTGGAGTGTGTGAGTGCCTGCACAGTATTCTGAGAGGGTAATGGTACACATCTGACTTAAGAATATTAAATTATATGCAGTCTCACATTAATGTGAAAACACACAAGTATCCTGTACACAAAAATATGTGAAAACACAAGACTCTACCTTACTGCCCCAGTTCACCTGGGAGGAAGTGGTATCCACAAAGCCTTCCAGATCACATTGCCAGCATTTCTATTGTCATGCTTGGCATTAGACAACAGGAGTAAATGACCAGGTGACAGGGAGGCATACCACTTAGTGGGTGACCATCACATTCCAGACAGCTAGATCAATGCCCCCAAAAGGACAGCAAACTTTTGCTGGTTTATGGGCACACTGGCACACATGGCACTCAAAAGATGTTTTCCAGTCATGATACAATATTACCATGCCATTTAAGACAGCTATGTGGGAACAGAGACTGAGTGAGTCAGGAAGCTGCCCATCTACACAGTAATCGTACCATGCCAGCAATGCCACCTAACAGCATTGCCAGCCCGCTTTGTCGATGAATTCAGTCTTGTGATTAACTGCGGTAATCCAAATTCGTGCCCATGTAAATTAAAATAGGGTAAAGATGGAACAATTACAGTACTGGATATTATTCCAAAAATCTTTAAATAAATTTGCTTAAAACGTGCGGTGGCAGCAACAGTATATTACGGTAGTAGAAAAGAAGGGATGGTTGGAGAAAACAATATTTACCATGAGTTAAGGGATAAAAATATCCTCAATTTGTAGTGAATAATCATAAAATAAAAATTATGGTAGGCAACGGGGAACTTAACAAGTAGAAAATTTTGTGTATATGGGAATTCACATTAGCTGTGATGGTAGATGTGCAAAAGAAATCAAAACGAGAATGGGTCAAGGAAAAACAGGATGGATGAGTGAAATTAAAAACTGGATCCCCAGAGAGAGACAAAATCTCAGAGGATTGGTAAAAACAGGCCGAAAACATTTGAAGTGAAGGGCTGCGGCCGCCAACCCTCGGATACGAGGATTTTTCTTTTGATTGATTGATTGATGAGGCGAAGGGTCTTTTAAACACATCCAACCACATGTGGTAAACCCAACCTCCCGCACTACCTGTATATCTTACATATATGTTGGAACAAAACATTGGTGCACTAACATCCTGCCAAAGATGTGGGATAACACACTATACCTGTTTCGTTATTTTATTAATGCAATGAATCGATAAATAAAAGAAAAAAGTCACCAACATCTGGGTTTGGTAAAGTAATGTTAGAATGATATATACTATACAGTACAGTCAACCCTCGCTTTACGCGGTCCCACGTTTCCACGTTTACGCGGTACCCTGCCGAAACCGGAAAGCTCACATTCCGCGGTGCGTGTACCCCTTTACGCGGAGAGCGGCTGGCGAGCCGCACCATTTTTTGATCCAAACCTCCCGCCATCCGCCATGTTGTGTAAGCGGCGCGAGCAGGGTGCGCACAAGGTCGCCCAGTCATCAAAACATTACCGAGTTCTTCACCCGCCACCCACCACAGCCGGCCCAAGTCAGTGATAGTGATAATTATAGTGAGGATATGGACTTATATGGACTTTGAGGGGTTTGACAAAGAGGCCCTGCAAGCCTCTGTGGTGGATAGTGATACAATTGATACAAGTGATACAGGTGAGGGCCAATAATCTGCCCTCTGCCTCGGAACCAACCCCCCATCCCCGTGTGCCCAGCCATCTTTTCTACTAATGTAAGTGTTAAAAAACCTAATATTATTGATATTTCTCTTAATTATTAATTGTGTGTGCATACCATCATAAAATTATGAAGTTATTTTTACTACAACGTAGGTATTGTGTCTGAAAAAGTGGAGTTTGGGGGTCGGCCCGGTCTCTATTTCAATTAATCCCATATGTTATGTTGTTCACTTTACGTGTTTCTCACTTTCCGCGGTACCCTGTGGGTTGAATTAACTGCGTAAAGTGAGGGTTCACTGTATATTGGATGTGTAATGTAATTGAGTTTTTATGTGTTTTCACATAATTTTTGCTGCTTTGTGTGGCCCAGGTACATGCTTGTTTGTGTCAAAATATTATAAAACTTTATAACTGAAAACTGTAGATATTATGTACTGCACTATATGGAGGAGATAGATGAATAAAGGATATAAATGTCATCCTGCCATGTATGTACAGTATATTTTTATAAATGTATTTTTGTGCATTCATGAAGGTGGCTCTTATAGAATCCTAATGGAATATTCAGTCAATTAGCTAGTTGAGGAAATGTCCAGATGAAGTGCTTAAAAAGAGAATACTGTACTATATTCAGAAACAACTATACGGGTACTGTACAGTGATTTATTCATGGTTGGGCATTGGATTTAAATGCAAATTAAAGTACAGGCACAACAGTTTATATTTATACCATATTTTAATGTTGTGATGATTTATATTTAGTTTCATTCAATTGTAATTTTCAACTTTACTTTGTATATTAATATATTTTGAAGCAAATTTAATGTACTGCAGGAAGGAACGGATCTGACTTTCTGTCAGTATGATTAGAATCTAATTATGCTTGGCTAGCTGTAAAGTTACAGCTTTTGCTTGATTTCAGATTATTTTCTCAGCTGTGCAATTACCTGTTCAACAAAAATTCATTCTGTTTTAATTTGTCACTGTATCTACTGTTCATTTTGAAGAATATATATTTTAATTCACCTGGCAGCAACTTTAACAGAGGATGCTGAACTGTATGAAGCAAAAGTAGGCACACACAATAACTGGTTGGGACAGCTGAGTTGCATCAAGTGAATGTTACTTGATGAGAAATATATACGTACAGTATACATACAGTATGTATGGTAAGCACAAGTATGTTGTTATGTTCAGCAGTCCTAGAATGGTTGAAGCAATACATGGTCCATGACTGGGAATGGTAGAATTTGAGTGTCATCAAGGAATGGTGTTCTAGATTTAAAGATGGAAGCTGTGGGCCAATATAGGCATTGGTATTTTCTTTCTTGCCATTTATTGATTGAGACATTCCAACATTTTGGCTCAGTGCTTTTAATAGGTAAAGGCAACAGGACAGTGCTTAAATTTGATTTATGACTTATAGAGAATATTCAATATAGGTAATAGATTGTTTCCATAAGAAGTGAACAACACATTTTTTGGAGAGAAAATGACTTGTTGCTTTCCTTCTCTTTACTCTTGTTAGTGACAGGAGGAATAAAGTTCTGGATTAAAACGAAAGTACTGTATACAGGTATTATTTTTGTTGATGAAATTGTGAAGGTGGAATATGACTAAGTTTGATTAGGAGAAAAGACTGAAATATTAAGAAGAGTGAAATTTAGGGATATTGAGTTATAAGAGTACAGTTGGTAGAATAGGTACAGTCGCTATTGTACTGGACTGGTAGTCTAGTGGTCCCAGGTTCAAACCTTCCTAAAGGAGACAGTGTTTGATTTACATCTGGTGTTGGCTGGTACTGTACTACTGTCTTAGTATTGCCAACGCCCCACTACTGTCATAACACAATAAAATGATTAACAAATATCCAAATGAAATCATGTATCAAAGACCATACACAGTATTATCCTACAGGAATATAGTACATTACTGTACTTACTGTACTATCAAACAAAATGTGAAGACAAGCAATTACTCATGCTGATACAGTTCCATGAGTAGGGCAGTCAGATCATCTTTATATTACTACTGTATCTATTTAAATACTGTACAGTACTGTATCTCTATACTGCCCATGTATGTTCACAACTTAATTTAAGAATGGGAAAAGTTACAATTTGGGATTTATATTTGGCATACTGCTTATGTAGACTATACCAGGACAGCCTTTAGCATAGCTGTGTTTTTTGAGACAGAAGGTTCATTTTCAAAGTATCCAGTGTAAGTTGGTCCAGTACCACACTTAAATGCAGTCTAGGGAGCATATTTAAAAGGGATCAACTATGTGCCAAATGTACTGGGAGGATATTCTGTATCTGCCATCTTCCTGTGTTGCGAGAAACAGCATGTATGATGCATGTACTGTACTCTATTCAAGTTTTTTGTTGAAGATGTGTAAAACATTCCAAAAAAGGGAAGTCTGCATATTTATATTTATGGAAGTGTCTCACACCACCATTTGATATTCTTACAGACAGCACAAAATTAAGTAGGTATATTATAACAGTACTGTAGTTCATGTGTAATGAATTATTTTTTATTCTGTGATATAATTGAAGTCACCAAATAATTATTTTGGATCTCTAAGTTTCTGTTATAAATTACAAAGGATTTGCTCTTCTTTCTAAATATTTGTCACTGCCACATGAGTGGTACTCTACCCTAGAACAGCAAACTCTCCTCATTTCCCGTGTCATATATTCCTGGAGGGAGGCACTACGTGAGCTCATTTTAGTGTAATTTTTTACCTTTTTGTTATTTGT